ATAAGCAGGTGATAAAAATGAAAGTATGATAAATTTAATTACAGTAAATACAGATGATTGAATGATAAAGTGTAATTAGCAATTTGAATTCATTTTGAACGCTGTCCAGACCAAATAACTAAAAACCAGTTCATCTGTAACATTTCCAAGATGGTTTAGATACTCTTTTAGTACTCTTGATAGGAAATTCTTATTGTACATACATCTCTCGCGCTGGATTTCACTTTAGTTCTATATCTATTGTTCCATTTATTTTCTGTATTTCATCTAATTTATGAATGAAACTATCTCCGAAACTATTGATTGATTGCGGATGTGTTTTCATCAGAATTGCGAAATTACACCAAATTTCAAAGTTCTTGGTAAAACACAATGATTATAAAATTATAGTTTCATGAATAAATAAATACAGATATTGAAATATTGCAATATTTCATAAGTGATAGAAAACGTTGTGGGCAAATCCATAGTTAAGAATCACGATTGAATTTGATATCCAAAGAAAAAAACACAAAACACTAAGTCGGTCGACCACAAAGTTTAATTACAAAAGTTTTGTGATTAGTTTCGGCTCAAGCAGCCATCTTCAGACACAATATTCAGTACCTGTAAAGATATTGGTTTACAAGAATAATATAACATATTGAGGAAAAAACATACCTATAAAAGGACACGTGGAATCACATAATTAATTAAATTGAAATTTGAATAGCAGGGTCATTTGGCCAAAAATTTAATCCGGTGAAAATATTAATACTTTTTTGAACCGACTGAACAGCCAAAAGAACCAAATAATAATTAGATTCAACATTGGCAAAAATTGGGAAAAAACCAGCAATAAATTCACTCAAAGGAGTTCCATCTTAAAATTTGATATTGTTCGGTTTCTACATATCGGCAATGAAAACAATTTTTCACTACTACACTGCAGTATAATAGCATATATTATTCCCTTAGGGTATAATGGGGTGCAAGAGGGAATGAGTACTATTGATTTCCAATGGGAATAATACCTGGCACATGGCATTATTCTGCAAAAACCACAAGTATAATACTCTATCAAAATTAGTCGTAAATAAAGTAGAGTATACTACTCGCAATAACGGTATTATAATCAATTATTACACTCCTACTCGTTAACGATAAAAATAAGTTATATCGTATATCCTCTCCGCAGCTCGGTTTGGAAAAATGTGTTCTGTATGTTATTTTTAGTAGGTATTCGTAGTCAGGTGAAAAAGGCATATTGATTTTTGATGACATTTTCTAATACCTTGCGCAGTCGCCAACTGAATATGTTTCTATATAGGGTTTGCATAAAAGGTTTCAGGGAATGATCGATACACAGGCTAGCTGAAATATCAAATAATATGTTTCATCCATGTACTTATTTTTTAGGGTAGCCATTTGGAAATCCACATTAAAAAAATGTCTGAGTTGGTGTGATTTAAATATGTTGAAACTTTTCCTTAAGGTAAAGAGTAGAAACATGATATGTCTCTAACAATTACTTAGGGTTCGATTTTGTAGAAACCCGAAAACTACAAATTTGTATGTTGGTTGATCCGACCACCCTTTCCATTTGAATTTGTTCACATGGGGGATGGTGGGGGTAGAAGGTGACAGCGAAATGTGTTCCTGGTTTATGTAGAATCAAAATAATCGCCTAGTTTCAAGATTTTTTGAAAATAATAAGCAGGACTATAGTGGCTCGACAGAATGATGCATATCACGAAACCATTTACCTATTGTCTGTTTACACCTGAAGATAGTACCTACCACATGATCATCATTGTTTGATATTGTTGTAAAAATGTCAACATATTATATCTCGTCTTATCACAAAACTAAAAGCTGGAATGTGAGTCCCAAAAATATTGTCGAAACAAAAATATCTCGTGAAGGAGACAACATCATGGAAATGAAAATCAAGAAAATTCGAATTACAGAAATAAATCAAACATTTAAAGTATATCTACAGCGTAAGTTAGTGCTCATGTAAAAATATATACTTCTAGATAGATAGGTAAGTGGAGGATGAAATGGAAGCTGACGGTCTGTTTATTGTCAAATTGTTGAAACCATAAAAACCGCATATATATCCTGTATAAAAATGGCGTCCTTTATTTTCAACATTTGTTGTATATTATAGTAGGTACTCGATATACTGATATGTAACTCTCAGCTCAAAACTCAATCTTGACTATTTTTCGAGATACAGGGCGTTGTAATTGAGAATTGAGCAATGCAACTTTTCCTCGGCCATAATATCTATAAGAAAAAACCAAGTAATTCGATTTTTTCGCAGTCATATTTTGGTTATGCCCATAGATACAACAACCATATGGAGATTCGACCGAAACTAATTATTATTACAGGGTGGTTCACATTTCAATAATTATTGTTTTTTTTCCTAAAATCTCAATATCAATGTTAAAAATAATAAAATTACAAAATGGGAATTACATCTAAGTATGTTTTTGTACATCAAGTGAAATCATAATATGTAAAAATTATACATGGTATACAGAGTAATTCTTTTATAGAAAAAATTGCCAACGACAAAATAATTTCAGAAACATCTTTTTTTTTTCTCGTCACTTTTTAATTTGAGATTATTACCGTCAAAGTAGAATTCATTTTAACCAATATGCTCAATATGAATACCTATGTCAATGCTGAATTCGTAGCATTGATATTTAGATATCCAAAAATACAATAATTGTAATGTAAATCATACTGTCATGATAATTATTGTCGGTCGGATCTCCAGTTGGTTGTTAAGTTCATCGAGTTTTTTTGTCCTTTCTCAGGGTCCGAGGACAAAGTGGCATTTTTCGAGTTCAGTTCAGTAGATCGAGTACTGCAAAAAAATTCCCAATATTATTTCTCATAAAAAATACAATTTTAATTTTCATAAAAACTCACCGCACTGCCCAAAATGATGTTTGTCTATGAAAAACTGATCATATTGATGATTATTCATACGGGTCCAAATTTTGTACGAATCGCACGACTATAATATAGTAGAGAAATAGAGGGGGGTCGTTTCAAGTGAGACACGCTGTATACCAGAGATTTTGATTCGACCAGACGGCATTTTTATATTATGTAAAGTGCGGGGTCCTTTTTTATAAATATGTCCAATCTTTTTTCTCAAAAAAGACTCTTGTTCCGATTCGGTAGAACTAATAAAATAGTTCAAATTTTCATAATTTTCAGTAAAAAATTAGGAAAATAATTTCCAAAAACGTTGGGGTAGTTACTTCATACTATGCTCTTCTGAAATATCAACAATTGTACCTCCTTTGGCAGTCCCCGCGAGATTAACCCGTCGAGTTGAGGCTTCGCACCCCTTCTTGGTCACTTTGGAGACCTGCAGAACATCTCTCTCCAAAGACTCGTTCATCCAACGAACAGCGAGGCTCTGGAACACATTGCCAAGGGAGGTGTTCCCCGAGGCATATAACCTCCAGAAATTTAAGAAGAACACCAATTCCTACCTTATTTCCCTTGGTTCCCAAGATGTTCTCTGAACATTACAGGATATCCCTTTTCGTGGGAACCAGAACATAACAAATAAAAACACCAAACATTAAGATTCATTTCTGATTAGGACCATTCGTGATGCCAGAATTATATCAGCGTATCTTATTCAGTAGAACTTTGGCAATTATGGCAACAGAGAGATTCCAGAACAATTTTAAGGAAAACATATTATATCTTACTAGCTAACCCGGCAAACGTTGTTTTGCCATAAACATTATTTCTAGAAAATTTTTTTCAGATAAATATTTATCAAAAAACTTATTATTTTATTTCTACTTCTTTTTAGTTTGGCTGGTATTTTTAATCTGTGGTTTGCCTATCCATAAAAGCAGGATTCGTCAGTTTTTCAAACTATTCTATTTATTTTCTACCTCTTTTTAGTTCGGCACTCTAAATTTTTTCATTTTCTCAAACTACTCTTTATTTTCTACTCACTTCTTTTTAGTTTGGCTATCTATAAAAACGTGTTTCATTAGTTTTTCAAACTACTATTTATTACAATAGCTGATACCCGGCAAACGTTGTTTTTCTGTATACAGTTATTTCTAGAAAATATTTTTTTAGTTGAATATTTATCAACACACTTATTATTTTGTTTTCTACTTCTTTTTAGCTTAGCTATCCATAAAATCGTGTTTCATTGGTATTTAAAACTACTATTTTTATTTTCTTCTTCTTTTCAGTTCGACAATCTATCTCGTTTTCTACTTCTATCCCGTTTGGCTATCCATAAAAGCATGTTTCATTTTCAAACTACTATATTTATTACAAAGCTCTTTCGCCATATTGGATCTGCCATCGTGAATTTCCCAATTTGAAACCTCAAGTGATGGAAAACTTGAGCATATTTACGTTTTTTTTTTTCTATCTATGTGGAACTTTTCGATTCTCACATTGACGGAGAAGAAGATATCGTAGGAAGAGGCCAAATGACACGAAAAGAAGAAGAGTATTTATTAGTTCTACCAACGCTGATCTCACGTAGAGTAACTTTATAAATAGAGTGACGACAATAGTGGTACACTTTTTGATTGGTCAGATCTCTAATATTGTCTTGTTTTCTTCATTCAGTTCTACTCATTCTGTTTCACTTAGTCAATGCTTTGTCTCTATACATATACAACAATAAGATATGAAACTCTATACGTCACTTCCCTGGATATTAACTATTAGAATCCGTCTTTTGGGACTCGTTAGACTCATATTATTTAGATGATGAAATGAAAATATCAATATCTAAACCAAACTCAAAAACCAGGTGAGCACTTCGAAGGCGCAAAATTATTACTGCATGGGAGATACCCTTCAGATTTTTAGCTATTCAGTGACTGAGAGTCCCTAAGTTTATAAACGCACCCTGAATATACAAAAACGTCAAAACAAGAGTGTCAAATACATTAAGGAACTCTACTGGTACAAGGCTAATACACACTGACTCATCATTTTCCCAGATCGACGAGCTCTACTGCGAAGTCCTCTACGAGATCCTGCACAACGTAGGATGCGATGTCGCTTTGGAAGTGGGCCAGACGGCGCTGTTCTCGTACGCGCAGGACGCCTTCAAGATGCCCAACGACAAGCACCACCACTTCATGGAGCTGGCCGAGAAGAAGGAGGCGCCCGAGCTACTGGTCAACGTCGAGGTAAAATAATGAATGTTCATTATTTAACCATCCAGCGGGCGCGCTGTTGTAAAATTTATGACAAACACGCCTAATAACTTCCCCCACGTTCATCTATCAGTCGCAATCATAAAGCTTCTTGGGCGTTACTGTCTGTTTGAAGTACTGAAGTATCGTGTTTGCACGAGACTGTTTGTTATCCTTTGATATTTGGGACAAGCGCTATTTTTTCTTCTTTTTTCACTCCCATATTCACAGCATATATGTGGAGAAAACGCCATTTATATGAAGAAATCCAGATGACGTTAAATTTGCGACAAAACGCCTGTTGATGGACGGATGGAAACGTTCACAGCGCCACTGCTGGAAGGTTAAGAATAATTACATTATTTACAATAATCACCATTCAATAAACATTAGCCGTGTATATTTACGAGAGCCTAAAGTTTGCGAACCATTCTCAAAACCTCATTGTCAGATTGGTCTCAATGAATCACGTGATACATTATGAACGCATGTGCATTCGCTCGCAGAAAAACTTAGAATTATTAACGATACCATCCAGGTCTTGAAAGGAAGGAAAAAAATCACTACACAAATGATCACCGTGGGCTGACGACATGCTTAAAGTGGACCAGAATAAACTATTGAATTTGAACGATCCCCCGCTTACCAGGGATTTATATTATTCAACCACTTGCCTAAAACAGTTGGAGGACTGAACAAAAATATCTTCAAAAGCCGAGAGAAGTTTTTATTATCCTCCAAAGGCTATTATAGCATTGGGGAATTTGTGTGAGACTGCGATGTAGTCTATTTAACGACGTACAGCTAAATTTTACATGTTTTTGTACCTCTGATGTAATATTTTATCTATAATATCACTATTTGTAATTGATACGTATTTGTTTCTGTATGTTCTATACAACCCGACTTGTCCTTTACTTTCTGTGGATGTCTGAATGGATCAATGATATATTTATTTATTTATTTATTAATAAAACTCCCTGAACAATCTCATACTTCACAATTTTATTGCAAAAAAATGGTCATAAAAAAAGAATCCTAACATATCACGTGATGGAAATGGTTCGAAATATTTAGGCACTTCTGTCCATTTCTCCTCACGAAATGTGTCATAAAGTTAGTGACGTCTACGTTTCGCCTTGATTTTTCCTCTTGATTAATCCTCGTTAAATTCGTTTAGAGCATTCCCTTATGATCAATCCACGGTAACTTCGCGTGGAGCATTCTCTTATGATCGACCCACGATATTTTGCATGGAGAACATCTACTGCCACGTTCAATGTCTCAAAAGAAAATGTAAAGAAAAACCTCTCTTGTCGGCGGAGCATTACATGTTTCCAATTGATTTTGCGCGAAAGCCAACTTATGATTGTACTGAAAAAAATTAAATACTTGTATGTTGCCATTAACAAAAAAGTTGACAGTTGGTGTCGTTAGAGTTTGAATAATTAGAAGAGAAAATTGTTGGTGCCACCCATAGTGGAAGGAAAAGATGGTGTGCCTACGCGCATATTATGTGACGTCATCTGGGATACCAATATCAGCTGCTAGTCACAGACAGATACCGTTGCCATGGGCGTGCGCAATAAATTCAATCATGTTTATTGAAATTTCTATGTATTTCTCGATCTGTTCAGAAATAGTTCAATTCATATAAACAGGTACCCATTGCTTCGATTTTACTATTTCATTGATTCTGGAAATTGTGATCTTGAGGTTATTCGCAATCGCAAATAGCAAATACATACGAATTATCATGCATTGCCAATCCCATCTGAATGATCCACTACTGTGTCGATTCTGACAGTTTAAAATTCAGCAGTTAACGACGTTGACGGTGCTTCTGCTCCGACATCGACAACAGAACAGGAGTATCAATTTTTGCCGTTTTGTTATTCAAATCTTTGCTGCAATTTATATTTTGTGAGAAATTAGGAGTTTTGAATTAATTTTCAGTTATTTCGTACTTGATATTCGACGGAAGATGTTCTGTAGGAATGGCATCTTGTTTCAAATATTTGTGATTTTTTGGAGGTTTGTAAGTCAAGAACCGTATACTTTCGCAGTTGTTTGGGAACATTTTGCATGGAAATGTTTTGAAGAAATACGTGCTGTAATATGAAAGTGATGATGATATGATAGGTGAATACTTTGGAATGAGGATATGAGGAATATGAGGTAGGTACCATTATTTAATTGAGTTTATATTCTGTCGGCAGCAAGCTCCCATCGTTTCATTTGGTCTCCATCCTTGGGAAAGCAGAAAAATTCAATATCTATACGTTTTGTATGTTAGTTGGAATTGCCATAACCAGAAACAAAAAAGTGGGGATTTCGAAATTATTTCATTCAATTTCAGTACTTATATAATATTTGAAGTTCGAGACATCAATCACGAAAACAAATAATAACAATGACAGTTATATCCCAGCTGACGTCATGCGCAGAACAAGACGAGTTTAAGCTTTCTGTTGAGCACACCATCCTCTCCTTCCACTATGATGCCACCCTGAAGTATCTGATGAGTCATGTCATTTGCGTTTTGTTCCTCAAAATTGGATGATAAATAGCGGCGTTATGACTAGGGGGGTTTTTTATCAGTTACCAAAAAAAAAACAACTTGTTGCTGTTCACACCGCCATAATCAATGCATGTTTATGCCAAAAAATATATGATATTTGTTGGATTAATCCTCAACCCCTCCACGTTAAACTACCATGGATTGATCCAAAGGGAGTTCTCTACGTGAAATAGTGTGGGTCAATCGTAAAGGAATGATCCACGCCAAATTAGCGTGAAGTGGGAAAGATCCACGTGAAACGTTGATCTGTGTCACTACCTTAATGATGCTTTTGGCGTGGAGGCGTTTCGGAAAACAACATCCACATTAGCGTGGATCTAGACAATAGGTACCAAATGATGACACAATTCATTGTTAGGAACAACTTGTACGTGGTATGATAAGCGAATAGAATAAATGTAAAATATCTAGTAAGTTTGTTTCGGCGAATCTAGATCTGTACACTACACACTGTTTTACCACTAACCAAACCGATGTTTTACACCTCGACACGTGTTTCGCTTACTATGTTAGCATCTTCAGGAGAAGAATAATGAATAGGGATAATGGACCTATCCCATTAGCCCTCTGTATAGTTGAGTGATATAAGATCAAAGTTAACATGTGAACTCAACCATGACTAACATTAACTCGGCGATTATTGTCTATTCACGGTTGGGTGGACATATACCTAGTCTAGTACAATCTAATCTAATCTAGAACATTTAGTTTCATTTTTTTCCTGAAGATGCTAACATATTTAGCGAAACACGTGTCGAGGTGTAAAAATCCGGTTTCGGTTAGCGGTGAAACAGTGTTTAGTGTATTATCGTGCCAAAGTTTCCAGTCTTCGATATAATAGTTGTGTGGAATACATTCTATGTTTGTTCAGTAGTATTCTCAAAAAATTACTTTTTCCATAATTTGAAGGTGATCGAGGCAAAAGATCTCAAGCCTAAGGACTCGAACGGCCTGAGTGACCCGTTCGTGACGCTCTATCTGGCCACAAACACGACGCACAGGTACAACACGTCAGTGAAGACAATGACGCTGGATCCGGTGTGGGAGGAGCATTTCGCCTTGTAAGTCATTTTTTTCAAATTGCATTCCCTTGTTGGTCATACCACTGGAACCAATGGGTTGCGTGCAAGAACTGTCAGGTGACCGACCCTGGAGGTGAAACATTGAAACACAACCTCACTTTTCTTATTTGTTTACAAATGATTGATTAATTCGCGCATGCCACCATATTGTGTTGTTTAATGCACAAAAAATGCAGCGAGAGACGAAGGAATCCGGTTGGTACATTATGATTTCAAAGTAAGTACCTACTATAGTCACTCACATATAGTTTTCATTTCGAAATTTGGTAATTTCTCTAATTTCTCATCGGAATTCCTTCTGCAATAGGAACTAATTGAAATACTCGTGAAATTTCCAGAAATATTCAACAAGATTAAATTCATGCAATCAAACGGGAGGACTGGTCTGACATGCTGACGAAATATGATCGTGTGTGTTGTAGACATTTCCAATCTATTAGCAGTATTAGCTTCTATTGCAGAAGTGGCAGAAGACATTTTAATAAGAAATGACATAATTTCATAATGAAGACTATGTGAGATTACTATTTACCTGAAAAATCATATTCCTTCGTCTCGCTGCATTTTTCGTGTATTGTACAACAGCACAATCAGAAGGCATGCTTGAATTAATGAATAGCGGAAAAAACACGATTCGTATGCCAAAATATCGTGAAAAACTACAAATAAAAAAAGTGAGGTTGTGTTTCAATATTTACAGAAAAGTGAGGTTGTGTTTCAATATCTTACCTCCAGGGTCGGTCATCGTGCATGTGACCTATGGCTCAAAGGTCGGAACTTGTGCGGGGTTAGGAAAGTATATAAACACAAACATTCATGGCCTGACAGGGGCTCGAACCCATGTCTCGGTGGAAGTTTCCTTACAAACTCAGCGCCTATACGCTTTCGCCTTCCCCCCCCACACATATTTAATTAAATCTCCCATTCCGTGAACTAGCCGCTCATAACACGAAGACATTGTAGTGTACGTGTACCTGTCCCGATAAAATTGGTTTGATATTCATTCATGATATGTTAGGGAACTTTAAACATATTTCGTTACTGCGAATAAACTAATATCAAAGATTGGCAGCTGTTGTTATCCATAAAAGTACATATTACTTACTATACCTTCTATCGCTGATTAGACAAATAGCGTATTGGCCAAATTTTCTCCTTTTGTTCAACCTTCGCAGTTATTGAAAAAGTCAGTAGAGCTGGAGGGGGGGAAGTTGACTTCACTATCACAGAATAGAGAAGATTTTTAGTGAAACAGAAACCTTTGAATGAATAACCCACCTACCCTTCATCCCTAACAGACTGCAAACAACTGTTAACATTGCTAGTATCACTACAAAAACCGCAGACGGATTAGAATTCATTTGTTCTGAAGGTTTTTATACAATAATGATATTCCATCCCAAAAAAATGGTGGTGTAAAACACCTATCTGTGTGTTTTACATATTTTTTCAACTCGTACATTTTGATGATCGATTTCCGGATGTTTTTCAGACCTATAGCAGAAAACAACAAACAGGACACCTTGTGTTTGGAAGTCTGGGATTTCGATCCAGCAGAATCCGTGAAAGAAAAACTGGGCAAAATATTCGATGTGAAAGGAGTCAAAGGAATGAGAAAATTGATGAAGGAAATCGCAGTCACAGCGACAAGTGGACAGCACGAGAACGAGCTCATTGGTAGAGCCCAGATTCCACTAGGTGTAAGTAACCAAATGGGCATTTTTCTAAAATCAAATATAGTCCCTTTTTGGGAATCCTAGGACAATAATATATTTTTCGTGCAATCGAACGCGAAGTACAACTTCCGGATTTGACATTTCTAAACTACGACAATTGCAATAAGGTTAATCAGTGTCAGATCATGGTCAGATCATATTTTCGGTTCGTCAAGAACTGTCAAAATATTTTGTATTTCTTCAAAATGTCATTTGAATTATTTAGTTCAATAATTTTCACGATTTCATGAAAAATAGTGTGTATACCATGGCCGCGAATCTTTTTGGCAACCTCAAGATTATCTTACCTCGGCAGGAAACGGCCTCGGTGATAACTTTCCTCTCGATACGCCAAAAAGGTATTTCGCGGCCTATAAATAGCTATTCAATCATGGAAAGAAAGAAAGAGACTCTAGTGACAATTTCAATGCTGTAGTTTTTCTGTTGCAAACGCAAAATGGGCTACTGGACTCATAGAGAATAGCTGTGTCGATACGGACCTGAATTAATTTTTGCAGCACTTACGCGTTTGTTATGTGAATCGTTGTTTGACATTGATGAATTTGAATGCTCATGTCTAACGGGCCGTGATAGCCGCCAGTATGGTAACGTCAGATCTTATGCTGTTTCATTATTGGTCAGTTAATCTTCCATTCCCACTAAGATTGTCAGATCATCAATAATTGTTATAATCAAGTTATTAAAAAGTTGTTAGAGCCCTATCTTTGAATAAAACCACATCGAAATAAAATATCTCATTTGACTTTATAGGAGGGAGGCATGATAGTTCCCATTCGTATTTCAACATATGGCAACTGTGCTTTGGTCTGCCCCTACTTACGAAATCGTGATGTCAGTTTTTCTAGCTGTTTGAAAATTACTGTAACAATATTGATGACTTTAGCACCTTAAAATCGCCGGGAAAATCTAAAAAAAAATTAGGAATTGGAAGGTCATTGTGAACCAAAATACTAGTAGTTCCCTCTAGGTGAATTTGGTAGTACAGGTCCTACACCTCAATATCATTATGATCGGTAATTATTTGCGGTCAGCAGTCGCGAACTCTTCCCTGTTTCGGGCCTCAATCTATTTATTAATAGGTGGCGTACTCGACCTAATTTGGAAATATTATTTATCATTGTTTCGGCATCTAGACACCTGTGGCGGGCGCGAGAGTCTTGAGTAGAAGAAGGCGAGATTTTCCGACGTTGAGTGTTATTCGAGTAATAAAATAAAAGTATACTAAAAGAATAATAGCCTTTGAATAGTGACTGGCCTTTTGTGTTAAAATCGAGAGTGTCAACGTCAGTTCTGGTATTAGGTAAGTCATCGACGATTTAGTTGATATTCAATATATCAATCGATGGTTGAGACCTCGCAAGTCCGGCTTGTGTGTTAAAATGACGTTCATAGTGCCACCAGTTGGAAATGTATTTTGTTAATTGTTATTTCGACGACTAGTATATGTGTGGGCATTAGTTTTTAGTTGCCTGGCTCAGTACTCGACAGCAAGTGGGAATAAATCATGGGTATTTCAAGAATTGGCGGTCTTTTCATTCTTCCTGCTACCTGGTCTCAGAACCCCCAACCCCTGAGACACCCAAACCTACGTTTCGGTGCAATTGACTGATGATTCTATTTAAATATAAAAAAAAAAATGTCCACTAGCCCATTTTCATATCATTCAAACTGTAGATTGCAATCACTGACCTACAAGAAACAAATGGAAGCGCAATTATACATGAGGATGCGCGAAGAACTCAAGCTAGCATTAAAATTCAGGCTTCAACCAAATTTTCCAAGCCAATCCAATTTAGCGAAAAACTGAAAACTAACATTGTCCTTCCATTTGTTGATTGTAAGTCAGTGCTTTCAATCTTCGTGAAACAGTTCACTAGTTACGGTATTAGCCATTTTTGACAGACTGTCATAGTTGTTTGTCAGAGAAATAGAATGGGCAAGTTTCCCTCAGATGAGTTTACATATAGTACGTTCGGAAATCCTCAGTTTTATGTCCACGATGTACAGAATGGCGATCGATAAAGTCCAAGTCGTTGTTATTTTCAAAATAATTTTCGGGGCGGCAAACTGTAACGTACATTCTGCTACGAATATAGCTGATGATGAAGGATATAGCTAGCGAATATCTAACGAATGAAAACAAGTAGAAGAAGATGACGACTTGGCGTCGTTGTTCATTATATAATAAAAAATAACGAACGAACAAAACAACTATAAACTGTAGACATAGGCTAACGAATAACTGGAGATCAAAAATCGACACAAGTAAAACTGGTGAACAAAAACATACATAACCACAAAATCAGATCAGCTCTCGCCCTCTCGGTGTGCCTGTCAGTATGTTGTGTGGTGTGGACGAGCTCAAAGTATTATGCGCTGTTGCAATATATAATCTGCTACTTTCCCTAGAAAATAGGTATGTTTTATAAAGGAAACAAAAAAAATGACTGTGACAAGTAATGATCATTATTTGGTCATATGACAGTGAAAAATTATAGATACTATTGCAAAATATCATAATGTGTCTTTATTAGTAATTAACTTCATTCAGCAAATAAGAGATTTATGAAGATTATCCATAATATTTGAAGAACTAGTAAAATAGTTATTTGTTCCGCTAGGTAGTCAATCTACATTTGCTGCCGTGTGAAACATATAATTTTTTCTCCAAATGTTAGTAAACCAATTTTGTGTATTTTTTTGAAGACTCCATCATTTTGTGTTCACCTAATGTCAGTGTAAATTTTGATTACAAATTTAATTCAAATTATTTGGAACGTTGCATAGCAACAAAATCATTCTGCCCAGGCAGAGAAAGTACACCTTTCCTGGCTGTTAAATGTCAGAGAAAAGCCACTTTCTATGCCGCTATTACACAAAATTGTTTTTTTTTATCGCTTGGAGCGCACGAAAGGGAATCCCTATAATGTTCAAAGAACATCGTGCGTTCCTAGGGAGGATAGGGACAGGACGTAGGTATTGGAATTTTTTTTGAACTTTTGGAGATTATATGTTGTTGGGAATACTTCCACAGGCAATGAATTCCAGAGCCTAGCCGTTCTATGGATGAAGGAGTCTTGATAAAGTGCTGTTCGACATCTTTCGAGGTTGACAACTAAAGGATGTGCTGACTGGGCATGTCTAGTTCGTCTGATTGGTATTGCTAGTGAAGGGATGATAGCAGAGATTTCCGAAGAACATTTCCCGTGGAAGTATCGATAGAAAAGTGAAAGGTCTCCGACCTTTCTACATTGTTCCAATGATGTCAAAGAATGATTGAGTGTGGCGTCACCCACCAGGCGAATGGCTCTTCTCTGGATGGAATCTAAGAGCATCAGCGTATGTTTCGGTGCTGAACCCCATATGTGGGAACAGTATTCTAGAACAGGCCGTATCTGCGCTTTATAGATCATGAGAAGCTGTTGAGGTGTGAAGTAGCTTTTCGCACGGCACAAGAATCCGAGTTTTTGTGAAGCAGCTTTTGCGATGGATCTGACATAACATTTGGAGAAAAAAATATGTTTCACGCGGCAGTCAATCTACTACTTTGCTGCCTAGTAAAGCAAATAACTGTTATATCATTGCTGTTATGATATAGTTATAATGTATTCAAATAACAATTTCCGAAAATCTAGACATATTCATGATGCCGGCAACGTCGTACGGACACAGGCAATCGTATTTTAACTTGTGTGAATGTGGCTTTTCTGAAAGTACGTCATAGGAATGGTGAAGGAGCCACGTACCGTCTTCATTAATTTTTATTTCTGAAGTAAAATTTGATCTTACGAGAAAAAGACAAAATATGTGTATATTAAAGTTTGACAAACTTCACAGTGAAATAAAAACCTCAATATTTGGGACTTCCGCATTATAAATAGATGGTCTAAAAAAATTATTATTTTCCAGACAATTCCCGCATCAGGTATGACAATGTGGTACAGTTTGGACAAGAAGAATAAAGTCACTCGACAAGGGGTGCTCAAAGTTAGGATAGCATTCAGCTCGGAGAAAAACAACCAAGTTGCTAAACAAGAATACCGACACATGCTGAGGATGATTTTGATGCATGAACTAGAAGTTTCGAAGGTGAGAGGTTCTTATTTTTTTAATTGTCTCGGTCGCGCATTGGCCACATCATACATATTCTGAAAGGTCTTTTCTGTCCTGTCTTACCTGTGTTTTTCTTTTTTTAATGGATTACGTTCTTCGGAAATTCGACTTGTACCACACACAATTATTATAGTTCTCTGTAATAACATGCTGTTATTGGTACTCAATAAATTCTATTCTATTCTATTCTACTTGATGGAAATCCATGGCAAATGTAAAAACTTCACAAACGATAAGAGTCACTCATCAAGTTCACTTCAACACGACATGTCGCAGCGACAATGCTGCTTAAGAAAATGTAACCTGTATTTTACCCCCTTTTGGGAAAGAAATTTTAATATGTTTGTACCGTATTTAACCATAATGTCGATATTTTTAAACTGGACCAGAGATATTTTTATTGACAAATTTTCTTGTTAACCTGACGAGTATCCACTGATGATGACTTAACAGTCGAAAGCGCTCTGGAGTAATAAATTTGAAATAATTATCTTGCACGAAATACAACACTTCCCTTCATTAGTAAACATTGTTTTGTCAATGAAACGAGCAATTTGTTATACTCGCTACCCACCAGTTTCCAAAATCCGATCTCCAATGATTCAGACGTTACAGCACTGGGGGCCTATTCTCGAATGTCGAACGAAATTTGTCGTATGCAACATAATATGTCGATAGAAATTGTCGCACAACGTTAAAGTGTGGTAGTCTCGATTGCATTCGACTTCAAACTCGCATGAGAAAAAATTTGTCGAATAGCATGAACTGGCAACATCGAATTGACTATTCTCGAATGTGTTCTGTGCCAATGTGTTGTGGTTTCTTTGTTGTTATGATGGAGGTTATGTCAATGTTATGTTGAAATAATAATGGCAGTGAGAAGGAAAAAGTTATTATATTTCATCTTATAAGGAAACACTTAACTTGATGGAAGAAAAATAGAATTAGCCACTTTTGTCTGCAAAAAACATGCAGAAGACCTATGTCCCTGTACCAGAAATGGTTCTAGCACTCACTAACAGTGCAATGGACTCTCACTAATTCCTTACCTTAATGTTTTTATACATTTTATGTCCGATAAAAATCTGATCGCATTATATACGTTTTCTCGTGGCCGTTAATGATTTTCTTGATTCTTCTTCTTCTTCTTCGAAGCACTGGTGGGCAGGTGAACCCCCTGCACGTGGGCCTCCTTATTCGGGTCCATTGTGCGCCCACATGTTACGACATTCAGCTGGGTATGCCGACTGCCTTGGAGAAGTTCAGCAGCTTCCTCAGCTGAATCTCTTTTAGGTCCTCTGGCCTCAAAATTATGTTGCCTAGGAGAGCCCTCCTCTGATGCGTCAGTGCTGGACACTCAGTGAGGACATGTGATGACGTTTCGTCATCTTCCAGGCACCATCTGCAAAGGGGGTCATCCTTGATCCCAATAAGCTCTAGGTGCCTATTGAGGTGGTTGTGCCCCGTTAGGAGCCCCACTACCATTTTAAGGTTTCGCCTGTTTAGGAATAAAACCTCTTTTGCGAGCCTCTTCGAAGGTTCCTTTATGTGGAGCTTCGATTGTCTCATTCCTGGTGTGTCCTGCCATATTTTGAGGAATTGCTTTGCAGCTGTTCCTCTATAGAGGACATTGCCAGGCTATTTGGTATTCCCAAGATTGGTTCCGGTCCGACCGAGGTCCTTCCTGAACCGATCTTTGCCAGTCTGTCTGCCTCCTCGTTTCCGGGTATTCCCGAATGTCCCGGGACCCACATGTGGCTGACTTTTCTTGATTTTCCAAATTTTCAATTTCTATTAATGAAACTGCCATTCCCAAGTTAACAAGTGAACAAATCAGTCAAATATTCAATCTCGCAATCGACATCAAAATGTCGACTGCTTAAGACCACTCTACGATTTGCCTATCGAAAATTTTCGAATGCGTCATTCGAGAATGGGAACTCACGTTTTTTGTTCGACAATGTAGAAATCTCGCATGCGACAAAATATCTCACCATTTGAGAATAGGGTCCCTGGCCGTTTATTGTGCACTTATCTCATTTCAACAATACATACTTTTATTCTTTGGTTGAAGTCCATATTGCTCAAAGTGGAGTGAAATATTTCATAATTGAAAGGTCTAAAATACAAAAACAAATGATATTGAAGTGAAAGAATTACCTATTTTGTGCTGGACTTACCCGGAGTTGAAAAAATTTTTGATGCTACTATTCAAACGAATAGAGCACACCTCGATCTGACCCTCCCTCTTCCCCAAGGTCGCCCCCCACTGGTGGTGCGGCTCGTTCAGCCCCCCCGGCGACCAGCTCCTCGTGCAGCACGTGGTCCAGTCGGGCATCCCGGCCGTCGAGGCGCTCCTCTGCCAGTACTGCGTGTACGCCTTCGTCCACCAGAGCCACGCGCTGAGCCTCACCTTGTTCGCGAACTCCCTGGAGAAGTTGGCGAAGCCGATGAGGACCGACGGAGTTTCCGAGGAGGACTGTAAGTTGTTTTGGGACGCGACGAAGCGGCTGTTGCCGTCCTGTTTCGCGGTGGTGAGGAAGATCAGGAAGAAGAATTGCAACGAGAAGACGACGATGAAGCAGGTACATCTTGGTTTTTTGATTTGTTTTTTTTTGCGATAAGTTTGAGTGTTGGTATAAAAGAACAACGACACTGTTTTATCCAGGGCCAGAGCTGACTAGATTCCTTTCTCATTTAGCCGACATTGGTTTTATCTATGTACTAATACATTTTACCAGAAAGAATAACTTTTTTATGACTACTTATCATTACAATTGTTTCGAGTATTCAGATATACGCGGTACACCACTGTCTCACTGACTGACTGCTGCTGCATGAATCGTTCCTCCCTATATATTAGTTTGCCTTGACGTGTTATTCTAATAAGTCAAAAACAGACAAAACAATTCCTATACACAGGATGTTATTTAGAGCAGGAGTGATCTGATTATTTCACAATCCAACACATATCGTATTTCATTAATACCATCTGAAATATTCTATCGTGTTTCATACCTTGCAATGTTAATGGAACATCTCTCCCTCTCTCTTTTTGACTGAAACCGTAGAACAATAAAGAAAATTCCACCGCAGCGTTGTGAGGGGTGTTCGGGAATACGTAGGTCCATTCTGGGTAATTGGACTGTTCGAGCACAATCTGGAATGCACTACTTAGTCGAATCGACGTAGTCTCGCCTACTTACAGATATTTGAGCCCCCTTTCAGGGAAATATCATCACAATATTCCCTAGATCAGATTACAATCGGTAGCCAAGCACGGATTATCAAATAAGAAGGCCAATGGTGACGCTAAATAATTCTATGTAGTGATAGGTAAAAAATCGAGGGCATAAAATTTCATCAAATACATCGAAAAATGTAAAAAATTCGTCACTTAACCGTCACGCATGCATCGAAATGTTGTAAAGTACCGAGTACCGAATAAATATGTTGAGGTATGCGTATGCCTGACGGTTTCTCACGCTTTTTCGATACTTTTCGATGATTTGCCGCATGCGTGACGCCGAACTTCATTGAGTAGCTAGTTCGTATATTTAGCAAGGGTGAGATGGGGATAGTTTATCCAGAATTGGCATTGGTGTACTACTTCCCCCACATGAAGCGAATCTGCTGAATCTGGAACTCTAGAACTTTCATTGTTATGGTCGCAGGTGACCGAAGTGCTGAAGATCCTCAACCACATCCACTCCTTGGAGCCCCCCGCGAACGTTGACCTCTTTCCCGCTACCAGCTACCCCTGGGCCACCTCTGCAGACTGTGCCGATCGCAGCATCCCGTCCACTTTGAACGATGCCGTGGTGCGGGGGGCGTCCGATTGGTTGGATTATATTTTAGAGAATAACGAGAGGCCAGACGAGAGTGACGTGTCGCGGTTGCAGAGTCTCATTCAGATCATACAGCTGGTCAGGAGCGATTTGCAGAAGGCTATCGAGTTCTACGATAAACTGTTTCAAGAGTGAGTATTGGATATGTTGTATAGGTATTTGCACTCTCGATTTATTGCATTCTTATTTTTTTCTACTCACATTACTAAAATGGCATTTAGCGTAGGGATATGTACCACGCTAAATGATCTGTGATTTATTCAAAAATTAAACACGTTACCATGGCAACACAATTTCTTAAACGCATCACCATGGCAACAGAGTTTTCCAAACACACCTTCAGTCGTTCGTGTCTTGTCCGGGCTGTCAATTGTAGGAACTGTCAACTGTCATTTTCGAATTTTGTTGCAATCAGAATTATTCAAACGATTTCTGTTTCTATCAGAATTCTTCATTAAAAATGTATGCGAAATGTAGACGAAAGTGAAATCGAAGAGATTGTTTTAGGTAGGTATCTCTAAGAGCTCTAGGTAGAAACGGAACTCTCATCTTTGTGGGCAGTTCATTCTATGTTAAGCATGACAATAAACGTTAAATAAATTAATATCTGAAGTGGTATTACAAATATTAATAAAAAACTATTAATTTTTGAGAACTTTACCACCCTGTATCTCAAAAGTTAGGACGTTTAGGTCATACGTTTATATGAAACTTTCTTCTTAGAGAATCGCCTCCCCAAATATTGACATCCAATTATGAAACACCCTGTATAGACAGTCGAGTTATGGTGTATCGGGTGTGCTGCTATCCACCTTAAATAACTTCTTTCAGATAAATTGTTTCATAGTAAATAGCAAAAACACGATTCATAGTTTGATGTTTGACGTGAAATAGGTATTGTACTGGGTGAAGCGCCTGGGTCAATGGCCATTTGGTTCAACCAATTAAGAACAGGTTAGATATTGTATTGAACGTCTAGTGATGATCACTCCAAACAGAAATTAACATATCTTGATGTTTCTCTATGAAACGATTTCCTGAAAACTATTCAAAGTGTATAGTCTCAAGATGCTCATCTGGTTTAGCAATGGTCATTTTTTCATATTATTCTGAGATATAGATCATTTGTAATAATAAAATATGGGGCTTGGTCGAAATATGCCGTTGTAAATATTGCTATGGAAGAAGATGTACAGTTTAGAAGTAGGAAAACGTGAAAAAGTATTCTTTTATTTCATTTCTAACAACACACTAAGAAATACCTAATAAGTTGTTCTAGAATACGAGGATGGTTCCATGTTCCACACTATAAATACAAAAAATGTTGTAGGTTTTATAGTATTTCCGTTTGAGGAAATGCCTACAGTTACTTTTCAAAATATCATTATTTCAACTTATTTTGGTGGGGACAACCTATGGCATAATTTTTGCTCCCTCAGGTGAATCACCCTGAATATGGAATATTCCTTCGTTTCCAATAGATCTTCTGGTGTTAAATACATATATAATAACAATCATTATGATAAATTTAACAATAATAATAACAATTATTATGATGAATTTTTCATTAGGTATTGATGTAATAGGCTTATATCACAAAAAAATTTTATTTCATAATTCGATAGAAATCACCCAAACTAGCTCACCACTGCAAACCGTTTCTTGCTGTGAGCTCCCTATGTTTTATAAAAAATTATTGAAATCCCCGATTTTTCGGACCTCTGAAAACGAGGCAATGATGTGACGTCAAAACCCTAATACTGAAACAAGACTATTCCAGACAGAGAGAACATTCAAAGGGAGATGCAAGCAGTATCTAGTCTTGGGAATAACATTGTTTCATACCAATTGATCATATTGTTGCATAGGTAAACATATCAATCAGTGACTGATTTGATGAGGATTCTCCATATGATGGGTATTCTGATGTTAAATATCCTTTCAGGTGAACAATTTTCCAATACAACTATAATAGGTACAAGCAATGAAAATTGAATGAATATTGTGGAACTTACCATTCAGATTTTCTATTCCTCACTTCAGCACTGAGGAACTGTATGTTAGAGACATAAAAATCATTAACCATTTCCAAATCAATTTTTGGTAGATTATCTGATGATCCTTTTACAAATCCTGATTCAACGTTCATGTTTATATTCAATATATCAATAATATGTATCGATATAATATAAAGCAAGATTTGGAGGTTAATTTCATTTCGTGTCTTCTCTTCTCATTAATAACTTCGGAATCGGAATTCGAGACTCGATGCAAATGCAGCTCCATGTAAAACGGGTCAACAAAGCAATGTTGCTGCGTTTATGAAATGTATTGGATTATTGTGAAATTGTAATGGTGCAAATGGTTTTGAGATTGAGACATATCGTTGTCTAGAGATTGTTTATATTCCAATGATTCAACCTACAATCGACAACTTGAACATATTTTTCTGCAGTAGTGGTAGTGGATATCAAAAGATATTTCAATATCGATTTCGATCTCTCGGATATCTTGTTTGGATGATATGGCAACAGTGATAAGTGTCCAGGCGAAATGAGGTTTCTACGTCATAAGAGGGTCCGTTTTCAGAAGGTACTATTATTTATGTCCAAAAATAAAACATTCCAGTTAATTTTTCGATCGAATTATGTCGTCAATCATTATTTATGTATAAAAGGATCATTATAAACATGGTTTGAGTTGAAAGTTCTACTAAGGTGTACACGCCCATTGGCTATGTATGAATATGTTTGTGTATGTATGTATATTCATGTGTATGTAAATTTTTTTCTCCTTTTATGTACTTATAGATTTCCTCATGTTCTAAATTTGAAATTTATTTTCTAATTTAAGCTACTCACTGTGAGCAACAGTATAATTTATAATTTATCTATCGCTTTTTCAATAAGAATTTATTCTTGGAAAATTAAGTACATTTTTGATTGATTGATATATCGATTTTTTTCAGGACTGTCAATTTCCAATACGCCAAGGCGCTGTACGTCTACTACCAAGTCAAACTATCCACCATGTGCGAACCGGCCGTAATCGAAATCTGCAAGAACCTGAAAAGACTGAACTACAATGGCACCAGCAACAACGAAAACGCCCCTGACCCCCTTTCCGAGGGCACTTCCCTCTTCGAACTCTACCTGGCCATACAAAGGTATGTATTAGGTCATTCATTTTGCATGAAAAGTGGAACAATACTTACATTGTATTTGAGAATTCTTTTTAAAACTGCATCCCACACTCCACCAGATGAGCACTCAAACTCCAGAACGGATAAAATCGCGACTTATGACTCATACATGTGTGGTTATGTTTGGCATGAATACACCTATACTGACATATCAGTTACATCAAATATCGCAATTTGAAATTCAAATTGCACTTTTTCCGTTTTTTTTTTCAGTCGTTTGAAACATCACTTTTCATTCATTAGAAATGGATATACAGGGTCATTCACCTAACTAATTCATTAGATGTTTATAGAGAACCAAAGGAGACATCAAACTGAAATTTTGGGTACAGCCATTGCATGATGTGATCTATTTTTTTTATATTTTCAATTAGCTGTCTCATCCGGTTGAACCGGAACACCCTGTATACTATTGCATTTTTAGATTCTCCCTGAAGAGCTTATTTCATTAATGTATCACACTTGGGGTCTAGCGGAAATGATTACAGAGATATAGGGTGTTCAAAATGGAAATTAAATGTCCCTATCTCAACTTTCCAATCACTGTCTACTGACATTTAATTAGAACGAATACAGGATGGTCCAAAATTCAGAATTCTGATCACCCTGTATCTGTTCCAATTAAATGTCAATAGATAGTAAATCAAAAGTTGAGAGAGGGACAAAAAAAACATTTTGACCAATAATGAATATTACGAATTGAAAATATACTAGAAAAATAGATCACATCATGCAAAGGCTGTATTTTAGATTGATGTCTCTATCTCTATAAACATCTAATGAATTAGGCGAATGACCCTGTATTTCAGTCAAGTCTCATAAATTAGGAATATACATTCATTCATAGTCCTGTTTGCTTCAGTTTTGCTACAACAGGAAATCATTTTTGCAATGTGCTATTCGAAAGGAATTGTTATTTTTCAGTCTATCTCTACTAGAACCATAGAAATAACAAAACAACACTGAATAACCTGCAAGTTGGAAAAAATAATTGTCTTACCCTGATTGAAATAATCATTCGATCCAAAGTACTCATCTTCGGAAATCTAGGTTTGCCACCCTGGGTCAAGGACTCTGTCCAGCCGACTACGACAGCTTCCACATCAAGAATTTCCATCAGTGGTTCCATGGTGGTGTGGCGCAGTGGTTGGACATAGCAGTTTACAAAGCTCTGCAGCGAATAGAGAAGGCAGTCGAGTTGGATACGCTGACGCCCGTAGATAATACAGTGAAGTACAGTTCTTCGGCCGTCGATACACTTACCATATTTTACCAGGTAATTTTACTCGCAGACTAAATAACAAAATAGACACCGCGATCCATTCATAAATCATTATTAAGTATACGTCAACAATTCTAAACGTCAAACACGGATAAATGAATGAAATCACGAATGGTGGGGATAGCTCTGCGGAATCATTGCCAGAGAATCTATATTCTTCATAGATATATTTTATACTAGCTTCTACTATCGGCTCCGTTCGCTTCGAAGGGTTATATAGTTCAGTGGTTGAAGCCCTTAAATCTTAAATAGACATATAAAAGATCATTACATTCCAATAGAACTGAATCAATGTGATTCAGTATTTAAAAATGAATACATGAAATTTCGAAAACTGCTTTATTGAAATGATTTACTACAACAAAAGTTAATAAGATATATTCGACTACAACAAAAATAAGTTATTTGACGCCCTGTCTGTGGATGGACCAATTCAGGTAGTATTAAATCGTGCATTTTGATTGCCCAGAAGACTAAAACGTCGATGTTAATAATGTCATTCGTGGTCAAGTCACTGAATAGTAATACATTCTTGCCTTCGTAGTGCCCACCTGATGTTTGGTTAGAAAATTGTCTTTTTCATTTCATTATCTGAATAATCCGAGACTTACCAGTCCCAAAAGAGTCAAAAGACGTATTCTAATAATCAATTTCTAAGGTAACGACGTATAGAGTTTCACGTCTGATTGTTGGATATTTTTTGTGGAACAATCATGTCTGCCAAAATAATTTTTTAACCAGTAAAAATTTTCCTTTTTTTTCAATTAAGAGTATTCCATGTATTTTCCTATACATCTAAGAATATGTATACAAAATTTCACGATAATCGGTTGAGTAGTTTTGGCGTGAAAACCCGACAAAAAACTTTCATTCACATTTATAATATCAGTAGGGATATCTAATGAATAGGGATTTCTATAAATGTGTGTACGTGCATCAATAAATTAATGAACTCTTGGGTGTTTTAACATGATAACACCTAATTTTGCACGTGAAATGATTTGGTATTTTCCAAACAAAAGCAAGCCCTCGGACAACACCGCCACTAGACCGGAGTTCTACGATCTGCGAACCTGTAAAATATCAGGTTAGGTAAGGGTGTATTACTCTGTTTTGAAGGTTGTTATGTTTTTTGTTATAAATCACAAAAAGTGGAAAAAGCCGATGCATAGGCATCAACATTAAACGAAATATCACAAGTCTTAGGACAAACTTGAGCCTTGCAACTACAACTATTCCTGCACTTTTGATTACTGCGACCTTAATTCTTAATTTTTGTCTTTCAATCACCTACTTTCAATGAAGCCTAAGATTTTTTGGCAGTTGAATATGTAATTTGCAATATCCTCATTTATTTCAGGTGAAAATTTTCTGGGAACAACTCAACTGGCCAGACGTGGAGAGCTGCTACACCTTTATAGCCAAAATAATCGATGTAAGAATTATCATAAGCCTATTTCTAACCTTTTTTCCAATATTCGTTGAACCTTCTTGTTAAGGGCTGTGTCTCACGGTCCAACAATTTGATCAAACTACAGATCTGTGATGTCATCAGTGACGTCACGTCAAACAGCAGTCGAAGTTTAGAACTTGTTCGAAATATTTGTCATGTTGGATCAAACAATAAGGTTAGGATGTTTGTTTTCATGTTTTCTTCATTGAATATTATTTTATATCTTAGGAATTGGGCACTTCTATAATGAAATTATTTTTCCTTGCGGCGAACAGTATTCGAGATACAGCCAGCGTCCCTTCTTAGTTGTACACCCGGTACATCTAAACTACTCAACACTAATTTCGTCGCACACCAAAATGTCGCCCCTATTATAATGTGAATAACTTTTTTCAGTTTAGAACAATTTGAATTTGGTTCACACTGTTCGATAGCCCAGTCCTCCAGCTATAATGTGCGAAACGTAAGGCAGATTTAGACTTGTTGAAGCCGCTTCAAATGGATAAAATTGATACTTTGCCATCTACTGATTTGTTCCTGTGGCTGTTTTTATGACTTGATCGATTTAGCATTTTCAGATTTTTTTGTTGTCGTTGTCACCTTATATTATTTTATTATTGTTGTTTGTAATCAACTTCCTCATACCAGAATTTTATTTCTGACTGGAAGCTAGTTTTTCAATAAACAATACCTATCGCAGGACATCTGCCGCTGCAGCGTCTTCTACGCGGACAAGATGGCGGAGCGCGTCGACGGCCTCGGCGACCACAGCGACATCTACGAGAAGCGGTTCGAGGTGACGACCGAGTGGTGCCTGGCCATCAACAATATCGACTACGTGCGCGAGACGCTCGAGCCGTTCACCAAGGACCTGGGCATGGAGGACATCATTGAGAAGATATCGGAGCTGAAGAGTCCCGTGGAGGCGCAGCGGTGCCAGCACACGTTGGAGAATGTCATCGCGAATGCGATCGATACTGTGAGGAATAAGATCGTGGAGTTGTTAGAGACGGTGGTTTCGAAGGTATGGAACAATCAAGACCTCAAGCACACTGCTTCCTTTTTATTTATTCGTTCAATTCATATTTTTACAACCAATTAACAAATAATTGATTGATTGTCTTCATTACTCCAAGAAACATTATTGTTTATAATAGGGATATATACAACAAAACATATATAACATAATAAATCAGAACAATAATAATTGCACATTAATTGTTTCTCATAAAAAAATCGTGAATTGAAAAGGAACATTCTCAGATATATTTATGAACCCAAAAAGGTACATTGAGAATTCGCATTCTCCATGTGATGAAAATATTAATCCTTTCTCGGTTTATTCAACATAAAACAACTACTTTCCTGGCTATATGCCACGCCACGACGAATATTGAATTACATCTATTGAACACACACGATAAGAATTTGAAAACAAAATCTTCTGAAGTAGAGACTTTGCGTTCTCCTTCATAAAAAGATGTGCATATAATATAATTCTGAATATTCAACAGAAAACAACTATTTTCCTGGCTATTTGCTACGTCGAACATTGAATTATATCTGTTGAATATCCAAAAAGAGAGCATGAAAAATCAAAATCCTCTGAAATTGAGAATTTACATCATCTCTCAAATCGAATAGAATAATATGATGTATTATGATATAAAAATATAACTTTCCGATATGTTCAGTATTGAAATGAAGATTGAAATGTATAGAAGTATACTTGTATGAACTCTGGTCTTGATGAGCTTGGATCTTCCAAAAAAATCATTCGTATCAGTGATATGGGAATTATATCTCTCACAAGATATGATATCCGAAATGAATTCATATAACCTGTTTGTGCCACGAGATGGCTACAACATGACTATAACTTCATGTTATACCCTGCGTATTCGAAATGGGTGATATACCCGAAGCGTAGAGTTGTCCCAGTTGTCAGCAGACCGAGAGCGGCTGATGAGACCTGGTGGGTCGAAACAGTACTGTCTCGCTCCTGCTGACAATTGGGGCAACTCTGTTCATCCTGGATCTCTTAGTTATGAGATCTAGCAGTTATCATAATGAAATGAAAAAATCGGAAATAGTTATTTATTATACAAGGGAAAAAAGTAGTAGATTTTAGCTCCAGGTTGTGTTGTCTCCCGACGCGTAGCGGAGGGAGACAAAAAACCGTGAGCTAAAATCTAATATTTTTCCCGTATATAATACACTATTTTTTTCTGTGACAGAAGAAAGGACGAATCAATATTGAGAAAATTTTACATTATTTTGAAATCTGAAAATTATCGACGTGAAATTTTAAGTTTTAAACAGTAGGGACACCTGCGTTCTATAGGCATCTTTATCATTATTTTGAAGTAATCCAATATTTGATGTCACTTCTGTCAGGCTAATTCTGTGATTTGATTTCAAAAAATTGCGAATTTAGTGGTTGTTTAGTAATATACGTAACCGCGAAGTCGAATCGAAGATAAGGACTTGCAGTTCTTTCTCGGAGACGGTATTATTGACTCATTTTTCGGAACTATAGCACAACAAAAGCCATCAACAGTGTATATATATGTGATATATATCCGGGAAAAAAGTACTCACTTTTTGCCCACGGGAAAAAAGTAATTTATGAAAAGTGACATTTTATAACCTGCCAACAGAGATGAAATGCCAAACTTTTTTCCCGTCACAGAAAAAATGAATATTCCAAATTATCATAGCTTCTTGTCCAAACTGGCAAGATCGTATTGGAAAAAACACTATACATACACTGCAGGAGGTTGAACATTCGTCAGATTGGGATAGTGTTTCGAAATTCTGTGAAAAAAGTTGAAATTTCCAGACGTACAAATTTCGAGATTGAACTGATTGAAGTTGAGATTCCGACAATGTTGAAATCCCGACATAAGAGTAGAAATTTCGTCATCTAAAGGCGAGTTCGGAAATACGGAGTGGAGTCAGAGTAGGGTTAGAGTAGCATTTGCATGGATTCAGACCACGTGATTTGAAGAGTCGAGAGATCAGGTTGGGGTACTTCAAGCAAATCCGAACGCTTTCGCTCTTCCCCTGGCTCCATGACACTGACAGCTCCTAAACCTAACCCTACAAACACATTTATTGTGGTCTCAAACACATTCAGCAATTTGTTCCCTATCAATATTTCATTTTCATTAGTCGCGTTAGGCGTTAGAGATCATTCGGATCAAACCCATGTCGCTAACCTTCAGTGCTCCTGCCGCAGCCACATAAGATTTAATGGATTTTGTGTTTGTGAAACCCTCGCACTTGCAGAATGGACAATAATATGGATGTAAAAACTTCACAATCGATAAGATTTCCACAATCTTATCGTTTGTGAAGTTTTTACATTTGTCATGGATTTCCATCAAGTAACGGCCGAGTCAATTAAAAAAAAAAAAAATGGATATAAGAAATAATAAAATGCGAGCGATCGGTTGTGTAGTAAGATTTGCTTTCTACTTCTTTTGTGATAATGATGAAGAAGATCATGAACAACCCAAAGAAAGAATCTTGAACGCGGAATTGGACGTATGACTTCGGATCAATTCAAAATCCATTTTCGAATGGATTCCAATACTTTCGAACATTTATTGGAAAGACTACATGAATTTCATGTTACACCTAAAAGTCATCCAGAAATTACTGTTGAGAAAAGTGCTTTAGTTAACATATGAACACCAATTTTCAACTCGATTAACTATGAATGAAATTCGAATTTGAAAAAAAGTGGAAGGCCAGACAGGATGAGCGTCAAAATCGGCGACGTCTGACGTTTATTTTGACGTAAGAAAGGAGGAACTCTTGAAACTCCTGATTTATGAAAGAGTCATCAGAGTGAGTTCTATTTGCCCAGTTTTTAGATTCCGAACGATCGAAAATCGACTCTACATCAACACAGAGTGAACTGTTTTGTCAATACCGAACGTATAGGAGTTACCCTGAGTCACTTGGAGTGACTCTTTTTACAATTCCGAACTCGCCTTAAGTCGGAATTTCTATCTACTGAAAAATCAAAAAAAGCCCATGGCACTTCTACGCTTCCCAAATAAGCCATATATTTTGAGATATTTTGTGATTTTTTTATATAACACTTTGCATGATTGGACTTGAGTGCATATTTCAATGAACCGTTCAATTACAGATGGCTCCAGCAATGAAGAGACTGTTGATAGAAGGTGCAGAACTGTGCAACCAGGACAGCAACAGTATCGATAGACTGATGATGTATGTCGACAATAACCTTAGCACGTTAAATAGAGAGCTGAACGAAGAGAATTTCGATAGGACATTGGAAATTGTCTGGGATATGTTGGCAGGGACGCTGAAAGAAATCATTCAATCGAATTTAGACGTACGTTTTTTTTTGTGTGTGGATCATGAGCGTTAAGAATGATTGAGATTATTTTATAGAAAAGAAGGCCGCCATCATTTTTCGCCAATCTTCGTAAAACCCTGAATTTGATGTTGGGATCGTTCAAGAACCCCGATGACTACAGCAGTTGTGATGTATTGAAAAAAACCGAGAATCTATTGAAAGTGAATGGACTGGAAACAGCTGACTTAATTCATCAAGTAATATACATTATTTTTACTAGTGAAATTTTGACTTGATCAGCAGTTCAATGGGGAAGACCACTGAGAGAAGAAATCCGTGCAAACCTCTTTCAATCGACGAATCATGATTTACGTTTGATGTACAATCAATATTATGAGTTAAAGTTGAAGGGAATCGAATCTATATCGTTTTGAAATCAGCATATTTCATTCGATATTTCAAACAGCCAAATATGATGGTGGAGTCGTGACGTATTAGTCCCGAACTGTAGCTATCTCTCTCGGATACCTCGTCATTCTGCAGTGTTGCAGTGTGATTGGTCAATTCAAGGACAATAGGCGTGTTGGGAATAAGACGTCGCACCAGTCACACCAATTAATTGACAAAATTTCAAATGGAGCAAGAATTGTGTCTTTTGAAATGGACATATTCTAATTTATTTTTTCCATCGTCTTAGCATGAATGACAAAATTCAAAATTAATTTCGCCGGTAGTTTTTCAGTATATAGTTCACGATAATGTCATTTTAAAAAATCAGTGGTCTCCCCCATTTTAGTTTGAAATTTTGTGGCTATAGTCAACTTACGATTATTTTTAGGTGCATCTTGACTTGGCGGAAGATTTTAGAAAAGCCAAAGATTCTCCTTTTGGAGAAATATCTGTGAGAGTGAAATTCGAGGAAAATACTCTTACAGTGGAAGTGATAAATGCAAGGAATTTAATAGGAATGGATTCTAATGGTACAAAATATAGTTATGATGATGCTGAAATTGAAAAATCATTCTAACCTTCTTTTCAGGGTCATGTGATTCATTTGTAAGGGTCCATTTGCTACCTGAACACAAGTTCAGTGGGATAGATAAGCCAAAGACTAAAACTCACAACAAAACTCAATTTCCTTTGTATGACGAGAAGTTTGTGATGTAAGTATAAATCAAATTATTTCTTAATTTTACTCAACTATTTATTTCACGTGGTGGGATTCCAATTTTCCTTCTCAATAAAATGGATATTGGTTTATATAAAACCCTTATAAGTGAATTTTTCCATTTTTTGTTAAAACAATCTACCAGTTTTGAAGAAAAACACAATTTTTTCAAAATCTGTACATTTATTCATGAAGTTCTGAGGAAAAAATAAATGACTCTTTCTCTTCATTTGTATTGACTTAGCTGTTACTTGATGGGAATCCACAGTAAATGTAAATAAAAAACACAAACTTGTGGAAATCTTTTTATAAATTTGGGGAAAAAAGAAAAATGCCCTGTGAATTCGATAATAATATAGTCAATCAAAATATTATTTCTCACCATAATTTGACATTAGAACCAACTGTGTGAGATTTTCCACATGAAAGCATCTTAATTCAATTTTAAAATTGATAATTCTCCCCGTCAAAATTCGCGCCATGTAGTAAAGTTATAACATTCTGGATATATCTATGGTTGATGTGTAACTTATAATAATTAATTATCTGGAAAGCTCTTGTGAACGAAAGAAAATATAGTTCTCTCCCCTTCCATCTAGTCTGTGCTATTAAAGACATCACATGTCATAAATCATTCTGACACCAATTTGCTGTCAATTACTAAAAGTATGTTCATGCTTGTACGACTTCCGCAAAATTTATGGAAAAAAATGGCGACTGAAAATGTCACAATGAAGTTGAAATGTTTGAAATTTTTTACGAATTCGGATGGAATCATAACCACACAATATGCATAATTTAATGTGTTGTTATTTTGATAAACTCAAAATTGGGGAATAAGGGAGCGGACAGCAGAAGCAAAAAATAGACTAGACTAGACAAATTAAAATTTACGGTGTATAAATAGATTGCACAGGCAATTAAATGATTGGTTATTGATGTTTTTCAGAAAACTAAATCCGGAACAAAGACAGTTAGAAGATGGATTAATTTTGTTTAGTGTTAAGGATAAGGACCTGTTAGGATACAATAATCAATACATAGGAGAAGCATTTTTATCATTCAGCGACATTGAAGACACGGTTCAATCTGTTGAAACTTTGTCTCAAATCCATTTACACTTAGGCAGACCTACAGAGAAGTGTAAGTATATTTTACTCAATTGTTGTTGGAGTATGTGGTGGGCGAAAAAGCCAAGCTTCATTCTCGTTTACAACGTTAGCACTACAATATCATGAAACTTGAAGGATTATTTATGATTCTAGCTTGCTAGTTGAGAGATATTGGTAGAGCTAGATTTAATCATATTTACAATATATTGCATTCATGAGTCATGAGTATGCAATAAGTGTCTTATTCAATTTACACCCTTTACAACATACTAGCCGCTGGGTATATAATCAGTTGACATCTACCTTGTACAGGAGTCAAATCATATGAAAAAATCACTTTTGCAATCATTTTGTTGAAATAAATTATTTTCAATTATCCCGTTATTCCAAATTAGTTGATTTAAGTATAAAATGAATAACAGAAAATTTCTAATTTTGAAAAAAAACCACGTGCTTCTGCTTGTTTGGAAATCACTATTTTTTGCGAAAATTCAAGAGAGAATAATTTGCATTATTGAGAAACATCCTCATCTACAAATACCAATCAACCCTACTTGGAGGTGTTTAAACTAGGATTTTCTTTAGAAAAGGAATATTCTCAGATATAATTATGAACATAAAAAAATGGATATTTTATAAAGAAAAACATTGAAAATTCGCATTCTCTATGTGATGAAAATATCAATTATTTCTCGCTTCATTCAACAGAAAACAACTACTTTCCTGGCTGTATGCCACGACGAACATTGAATTACATCTATCGAACATACAAGATAAGAATTTGAGAACAAAATCCTCTGAAGTAGAGAATACGCATTCTCCCACATATAAAGATCTGCACATAATATCATTTTGAATATTCAACAGAAAACAACTACTTTCTACTATTTGCCACGTCGAACATTGTATTATATCTGTTGAACATCCAAAAAGAGAGCATGAAAAATGAAAATCCTCTGAAATTGAGAATTGATATCATCTCTCAAATCGGATAAAATAATTTGATGTATTATGATATAAAAATATAACTTACCAATATGTTCAGTATTGAAATGAAAATTGAAATGTATATGATTAGTATACTTGTATAAACTCTGATCTTAATGAGCTTGGAACTTTAAGAAAAAATCATTCGAATCAGTGATAGGGGAATTATATCTCTCACAAACAGGTTATATGACTTCACTTCACTATCCGATTTGAGAGACGATGTAAATTCTCAATTTAAGAGGATTTTCATTTTTCATGCTCTCTTTTTGGATGTTCGATATGTTCGACGTGGCAAATAGCCAGGAAAGTAGTTGTTTTCTGTTGAATAAACCGAGAAAGAATTGATATTTGCATCATATGTTCATAATTATAATTGAGAATAATTTCAATACTTCCACCTAATCACCCGAGGCGGTCGGTGGTCGAGAGCGTGAAGGCGCTGAGTTCGTATGAGGACTCCCACCGAGACATAGGTTCGAATCCTAGTTAGGCCATGGATGTTTGTGTTTGTATGCTTACCCAACCCCGCACAAGTTTCGACTTATGGGGCGTTTAGTCCCAGTGCTGGGACCAATGAGGTAATGCAATTGCAAAAAAAAATCAAGGGGTTCAAACTTGAACGATGGAAACTTGTTATTTTTATAGACCTCCATCACAGATTCGTGATTAGGTTTTCTTAATTCAGAATTTCTTTCCACGTCCCATATCATGAATATCAATTTATCATAGGTCGCGTGCACGATGACTGACCCTGGAGGCAAAATATTGCAACATAACCTCACTCTTCTGTGAAACATTGAAACACACCACAACACAACAGAGGAATCATAGGATTGAAATAGTTTTTCACAATATTTTGGCATACAAATCGCGTTTTTTGCACTATTCAATTCAGGCATGCTTTCTCATTGTGCTGTTGTACAATACACAAACAATGCAGCGAGAGACGAAGGAATATGATTTTGCAGGTAAATAGTAATGTCACATAGTTTTCATTATGAAATGTCATTTCTTATTAAAATTCCTTCTACCACTTCTGCAATAGAAGCTAATACTGCTAATAGATTGAAAGTCTACAACACACACGATCATATTTCGTCAGCATGTCAGACCAGTCCTCCCGTTTGATTGCATGAATCCAATCTTCTTGCATTATTTTAGAAATTTCACGAGTATAAATATTAGCTCCTATTGCAGAAGAAATTCCGATGAGAAATCATAGGAATTACCAATTTTCAAAAATGAAAACTACATGTGACTGACTATAGTAGGCACTTACTTTCAAATCATAATGTACCAACCGGATTCCTTCGTCTTCCGCTGCAGTTTTTGTGCATTCTACAACAGCACAATGTGATGGCATGAGCGAATTAATGAATAGCCGAAAAATACGATTCGTATACCAAAATAATTGTGAAAAATATTTCAATCACTTGTAAACAAATGTGTTTCAATGTTGTGCCTCCAGGGTCGGTCATCTGACAGTTCTTGCACGCAACCCATACATCCAAAAATAGGTTATTAATATTTGACACACTCCATTTTTGAAAAAAAAAAAATGGAATACTGTATCTCTTCTTCTTTTAGTTATGGCTTCCGATGGAATAAGAGCACTGGAACACAGACAAGGTGATAAATTATCCAAAGATTTCATTAAAAGATTCAAACAGAGAATGGGCACATAGACACACGTGTGGCCACCATTGACTGGCAAATTTTTATTTGTACGTATGAAACTGTAGTTTTTAACGCAAACATGTATTTATTGTAACATTTTAATTATTTTTAATTAAAATTATTTTTTTAACTGAAAACATCATTTCTTGCAGCACAATTAAGAAGACATATTAGATGGAAATAGAAATTTTATTTAAAACATAGATCCCATATTTTCTCAACAAAACTAACTCTACACATCACATAAAATCTAACATAAACTGTACCTGACAGGTTGCATTATTAAACGGCACAAACTCCGCCTCGCTTATTTTTATATAATATAAATGGGATGATCGTATAAATAAAAAAGCGGTGAAAAAAGATAAAATTCGAAAAAGTGCATGAGAAATATGAAATAGGTTTTGTACATTTTTAAATACAAAAACTTTACATGGAATCATTCAAACTTCTGTTTCATCACAGATATTCAATAAAAGTCGAACTCTTCAAAAATAAACATCATGATAAAGCAAAATGATCTGTACAAGTTAGTGACCTCAACAAATAAGTAATTGAACATACTCAAATTCCAAATTAAAACTATGTTAGAAGAGGACTGATGGATATAAAGAGATTGTTACAAGAACTAATGATTATTATTTATTGTCCAACAAACCGCGCCACCATAACATGAGGGCAGGGTTGGTAGAACTGATAAATATACTTCTTATTTTCGTGATATTTGGCCTTTTACTATGACATCTTCTTCTCCGTCAATGTGAATTGATCGTAAAGTTCCGCACTGAGAGTAAAACAACGTAAGACTAGGGTCCCTTGATGCAAACTGACGTATTTGTCATCTAACAGGGGGTATATTCCGAATTCAACTGACAGTACTGAATCTGCTGATTTTTCATTCCGAAATCAGAAAAAAATCACTGGAAGTGACAGATAGTTGAGAGCAGACATACTATTCATTCCAAATATTTCGACTCAACATTCTGCTGAAATTGCTGACTATCAAAAGGTAGTGTGGCTTCAGTAAACTGTCAATATTTTAGAGGGGGAAGGAAAGTCACATTTATTTCCGTAGATTTATCAATAATCAAATCAATTATATCATTTTTAATATGAGAAAATGCCTGTTGTTGAAATATTCGACGCTGAGAATAATATCTAGTTCAGATGAACGAGAATCTTTACATAAGTGACAACCTGCCAACTGACGAAGCTCACCAGCTGATCAACTGCTGCTGATTACTGATGAAAACCATGAAAACATGTTCCGAATTACAGCACTGTATTTTTGATTTTATATTTCGGAATATACATTTTCAGCTGAGTCAGTGAATTCACTGACAGTACTGACCAGTTAAATTCGGAATAGAGCCAGGGTACGGACAGATCATAGCTCCTTTCTCTTTTAATCATCTAGTGACTTTGGTTTCGTGTATTGGCGTCCTTGACATGACATTGCTGTCACGTCACATTCATAGGCGTTAAAAGAGATCTTACAAAATTTTAATTTCATACTTTATCTTGATACGACATTATTCAATTCTGTTTTGGAAGGATGGTAAAATGTGCTGCGTTAGGCTGTATCAATCAGTTGGATGGCAAATTTGAATTTGTCAGCTTTCCATCAATTGCAAATGAACATAGAACATGGAAAGTGAAGTGACCGAATGGGGAAAATTGGTAAATACATCAGAAAAATATTAAAAGTAAAACTAATACGGAATCACATTAAACTTTCTCATTGTGCCTATAATCATCCAATTTTGAATGCATTTCAGTAGAAACAGTTTTGATTAAAACGGAGGATTAAAGGAAGAGGCATATGCCCTACCATTTAAAAAATTATAGCTACATTCAGGAAATATTAAGTAAGACTGCAAACATGATTCCCAACATGAATATATACAGCACACATGACATATGAGCACATCAGTTTGAATACCTTCATAAAATTTTTCACCATTTCTCAACCATAAGGCTTAGTCTGAACATTTGGTAAAATGTATCAATCTTTCAGAAAAATTTGCTCACTGCCTCACAGAGATTATGGTGGAGTTGAAGAATCAAAAACTCGAAAGGATATAATATGTAGAGTTGAATGAGAAATTACATGTGGAAATTACGTATGATACGCCAATGTCCTCAATATAACCTAAAAAACAACAAATGTCAGAAATCTAGTGTATATCCCCAGAAATGAATAAAAATGGAACTATATACCTGTTTCACAAACACTTTAGAGTGAGAGGAGACGAGGATCTGTCCGTACCCTGTTAAGATGACAAATACGTCAATTTACATCAATGGACCCTACGTAAGTCGGCTCACGTCCTTCGATAACTTGAGATTTTCTGTTTGTTCAAATATTCTACATCACTTTTTTCGAATATTTTAGATAAGCAGGCCATAGCTTTAGGGCTATCCGGCAAAATTTTGGGGTTTTCGACTTTGACATTGACCTCACGTTTTAGTAGCGCCAACTGGTGGGTGTGAAAATGTTAGCCCTCATTGACAAAATACTTTTTTTAAAGATGAGCAGCCTAGAATACGTTCACAGTTTACAGCACCCAGAACTTTTAGTTGTCCAAGAAGTCTTCCAGACGCTCTAAAAAAATGTTTAAAGCTTGGAAGGCCTAGGGCATTTTCTCCAATACAAAATATAAAAGTCTGGAAACGAAAAATCCTCTTGTACCGAATCATATGCAAAAGAATCAGAAATGGATGAATTTTCCAGTGAGAATAATGCATGGATGAATTCTGAGTTTAGAGTATAAGATATGTTTCCAGTTATTGCATTTGTTTTGCATTAGAAAAAACTTCAAAATCGCAAAGATTTTTTGGGCATTTCAATGTTAACATTTTTTAATTAAGAAAAGCCTGGAAAACTACGGACGTAAACATCCCCCTACATTTTTTCAATAAAACAAATCCTCATGACAATACATGCAATTAATTTGATATGAATGAAAAAAGTGCTAGAATATAAAAATATCAAGGAAGACTATAATGGGTCTCTTGAACAATCCTATCAGTAACCTCAAAAAAGCTTGATGCAATCCAGCTTGAACAAAGTACGTATCCAAAAAGCAATATCAAATAAAGCAATAAAATTTAGTACAACAAAACACTGTAGAAAAAATATATCTCTGACAACAGATTTGTTTTTTGTACTTGTACCTTTACTAGTTGTCAAAGATATAATTACTGATCTTTTAAATTAAATGTGTCTATGGAGTCATCGGCGCCTATTATGTTAACCTTAGTTGTTGCTAGTGATGGCAGTGAAAAATATTCTAATTGAAATAATGAAATAAGATAATAGTATTCAATTGTATACATTACCAACTCGCTTGAAACTGGCATCCCAGCCTGAAAGGACCAAGCACTTTTAGTACGTATAATGAGTCTTGGTGAAATTTTCTGAATTTTAAGTATGTTATAGACTTCGATGAACTGATTGAACCTACAGAATCGTTCTTTAGTGAACAGATTCTAAAATACAGAGCGTTAAAGTTAGAAATCGATAATTTCTATTTAAATATTTTCTCATAATTCAAAGGTACCAAGTGCAATTTTCCCGCTCATATCATTAACGTACCTCCATATTACTCAATATAATCCAGATCTTTCAAGGGAGGTGTTCCCCGAGGCAAATAACCTCCAGAAATTTAAGAAGAACACCAATTCCTACCTTATTGCCCTTGGTTCTCATGATGTTCTCTGAACATTACAGGATATCCCTCCTCGTGGGAACCAGAACATAAAAAAAAATAATTTCATTAATTCAAAATTTCATTGATTTCGAAAAAATTATTTGGCCATGCAATGAACTATTCTCATTCCATCATGAATCACAATTCATACATTCCATACAGGGTGATTTGAAAATTTGGTGACACATATGACCGATTTATTCCTACACATCCTGTATATTCAAGTAAACTGTTATTTTCCAAAGATTGCTGATACCGTATGAACATGCTTTCGTTGGGATATATAGGGTTATCATGAAGATATTCAATGATGAAAATGACTGTAGATGATTTACTACACTTATTTTCGTCTCCACAATCTCACGTTTCAGTATTTGTGAAAAATTTCGACCATTAGGCGAATGTAAGTGAAGACTAGTCTCTTCAACTCTTCAAGGAAATGGTAAGTTCCTAAATTAATAACTGTAAAACCAGTCATGATAGGAAACTGAATTTTCAAGAGAGCGTTGAGGAGCAAATGATAATAGTTATTTATTATACAAGGGAAAAAAGTAGTAGATTTTAGCTACGCTTCGGGGTGTATAATACACTATTTTTTTCTGTCACAGGAGAAAGGACGAATCAATATTGAGAAGATATTACATTATTTTTAAATTTGAGAATTATCGACGTGAAATTTTAAGTTTTTAACAGTAGGGACACCTGCGTTGTAGGCATCTTCATCATTCTTTTGAAGTAATCAAATATCTGATGTCACTTCTGTCAGTCTAATTCTGTGATTTGAATTCAAAAAATTGCGAATTTAGTGGTTGTTTATTAATATATGTAACCGCGAAGTCGAATGGAAGATAAAAGGACTTGTAGTTCTTTCTCGGAGACGGTATTATTGATTAATTTTTCGGAACTATAGCTCAACAAAAGCCATGAACAGTGTATACAGGGTGTCCCATAAGTAATGGATCAAAAGAAGTGGGGTGGTAGGGGGGGGGGGGGTCAGTTCCAATCAAACTAACCGTATATGTGGTATTGATAGTTCAAAATTTATTAATGTTTTTTCATTTCTGTAAAAAGAATTAATAACAATAAAACTATGTCACACTTGTGAAATAATTTTATGACATGTATTACTTCTTATCAATTACCTGAGAAAAATTTTGTTTTCCTTGTTTTGTCAGCGAATGAAATATTCAAGCCGATTTTTACATGCTGCTGGCAGATTTAAAAACTACCCCACAAAGATAACCAATCATATGAAAAAGTTGCCCATTTAATACATATTCCGAAATAGTATAACATATATGTGGTTATTCAAAACTCCGCTTTTTGTTATTAATTTTTTTAAAATGGGTCGCATTTTTCAAAAAAATTGAAGAACTTTTGAACCATCAACAATTTCATAACAACATATACCGTTAGTTTGATTACAAATGACCCCCCTACCACCCCACTTCTTTTGATCCATTCCCACGGGAAAAAAGTAATTTATGAAAAGTGACATTTTATAACCTGCCAACAGAGATGAAATGCCAAACTTTTTTTCCGTACAGAAAAAATATATTTTTTCGTCGACCTCTTCAAAAAATCACATTTTACGTTCTAATTTCCGAACGAAAAACTGACTATTTCCGTAGGCAAGTACTTTTCGACCGCAGACACTAACTTTTCGTTCGCTGCTGAACTGAATTAATTTAACAAAATGAGTAATAAATTTACATATAGGTACTAATAATATGTTTATACATATAAACCAAAAAAGGACAATTCTTTATCTGATTCAGATCAAATACAATTTTTATATACCTGTTTCAACAGTTTGTTTCTTATGTTTAATTTTTTATTTGTTTTGTATTTTTGTTGTTTGTTCATGTTTAATGTTTTTTATATACTCAAAAATCTTATAAGTACATATGTAACTGTATTTTGTGATATCTGTGAGTATTTTCAAATTGAGAATGAGAAATATGATTATTTTTTTATGAGGATGCTTGTTTTGTGTTTCGATTTTGTTGGAAATAGGTTACTTTTCTGTTTAGTAAAAGTACATAATGTTTTGACGTCATAGGTTAATTTCATTAGCCTTGCTTGGAATTCATATAGCATAAAATAGATCTGAATTTTTGACAAGGTATTTATTGATAAAACCCCTGGCCCGTACTATGTTACATACTAAAAGTGTGGAGTCCCTTGTACTGGGACAAAATGGTACATTATTTTCACAAAAACCAAGGCCTACTGAGTACATCTCTTTGTTGCTCACAATTAATAGATTACATCTCTAGATCACATGATACATTCACGTTATTGTATTGTATTGTATTTCTGTGATATCCAATACTTGTTAAATTAAATTTTGTGTAAAAGATCAGTGATAATTTTCCAAGTGCAAAAAATAGTATATACTGTGGAGCTAAAGAAACTTAATCCATTGAGTTGGTTGTTTTGAAGGTTATTGCATGATTAAATGGGTCACTTTAGTCCTGTGTTAAACAATAAAATTACTGTTGATTTGGAAATCAGTTATGATTTTATGTAGTAACCAGTAGAACAATAAAAAAGGAGAAAGTCTTAATGAAATAAGATTGCAGAAAGATTCACAATAATATTTTATTAAAACTGCCACAAATATTTGCGTTTATGCATTGGTTTTGTAAACAAAGTTTCACTTGGTCCTAAAGAACAGTTGTTCATTACCTTCAATTACAAAAAAAGTGTTTGTATAAGACGCCGAGGACTCAATAAACATGCTGTACTTTTCAACATATAATTCCGATTTATATAAAAAATATACCTTTAAAACTACTATACTATATACCCTGAACAAAAAAAAAAACAAAAACTACTTTACCATCAATCGAAGGTAACCTTCGGAGTGGAAATGATGTGGGGATTCTGCTGCTGCTCGCTCATCAAACATGCCATGAAACTCTCCTCGGTGGCGGAGAAATCCGAGTCGCATGAGAAGTCCGACGTCTCGGGCCAATGGACTTGCCTGGACGTAGAAGAAGCTGTGTAGTCCTCGAATGGTTCGTTGAAGCGCGGCACAACGGTTTTTATGATGCTCTTTCCTTTCAGGGGATTCGGTCCGGACGATTTCATCACACCTTCAATTAAATTATTCGAAAAATAAATAGTAGTTCAAAAGACTAAAGGGATACGCTTTTACAGATAGTCAAACTGAAAAGGAGTAGAAAATAAATGAATGAAAGTGTGTTGATAAATACACAACATAAAAAATTTTAGGCCCTTCATAATCAGTATATTCTATATTGCATATGCACCAACACACTTTCTTTATTTCATTTTCTACTTCTTTTTAGTTTGAATATGTATCAAAGCGTGTTTCTTTAGTTTCTTACCACTATTTAATTTCTATTTTTTAGTTCGGCTAACTACAAAAGCCTGTTATTTAATTTTTATACACTTCTCTCAAAAATTAACGCACCACCAAAAAATACCCAAAAGTTTGAGGTAGATTTTTGTCAAATCAACTTGTTCGATTTGGACGTTTTTGGTTTTGAATGACAGGTTATCTCCTTCTGAGCAATGGTGTGCAATTTGTATTCGTATAAAAACCTATTTTCTATAAATACCGGGTGTAGCAATTGTAGCGTGTTTTTTTCATAAAGTTTGTAATACCCTGTAGAGTGTAACACTTACATTATCAAGTTAGAATTGTTATCACACTCTAGTGTCATCTTTTTCAACATTTCTTTTTTGGATTTACTCCATTATCTTTCTTATTACTCCAGAAACACAAAGTCAAAGCATAACATGATTTTTATGGATTCAACTAGTATTACGAGCTTATCTGTAGCTATGGAATAATATGGAGGACCAGTAATTGTCAAATACAGATGCATATTGTCAGTGTTAGTTTTTGTTCTGCGAATTGTTTTATCGACGAATATGGAAAGAGAAACGCGAAATCTCACACGGGAAGAATGTGCTCAAACATTGATATTGTTTGAGGAAGGTTGGACTTACCGAAGAATTGGTGAACGATTTCAAGTAAGTCACACAACCATTTCACGAGTCATACAAAAACACAGATAGACTGGAAATAATGGTCGCAGGCCAGGACAGGGAAGGACTCGAATAACAACTCCGATTCAGGATCGATTTTTAAGACTGTCTGCATTAAGACAACGTTTTGTAACAGCTCGGACACTTCAAACTCAGCTTAGAAATGCTGATGATTTACAAGTTTGTACAGAAACTGTTCGTCAGCGACTAAATGAACATAATTTGAGACCTAGAATTGCTGCTCGAGGTCCAGCTTTAAGTAGAGATCATCGGAGAGCGAGGCTAAATTTTGCCAGTGAACATCGTAACTGGTTAGAGGCTGAATGGCAACATGTTTTATTCACGGATGAGTCCCGATTTTGCTTGTTCAACAATGACAGGCGTATGCGTGTATATCGACGCCCTAACGAAAGGTATTCTCAGTGTAATTTCTCACATATGTACCACATTATTCGGTGGAGGATCTTTGATGGTCTGGGGCGGTATTTCTTTGACTGGTCGCACGGAACTTGTGATCGTAAATGGAAGCCTAACAGGCTGAAAGGTACATACTGGAGATTTTAGAACCACATGTAATGCCATTTGCGCCTTATTTGGGGCAAGACTTTTTGTTGATGCAAGATAATGCCAGGCCCCACGTCGCCCGAGTTGTAAGCAATTATCAAGAAGAAGTCGGTATCGCTACTATGGTATGGCCAGCATGAAGCCCAGATTTGAACCCCATTGAGAATCTCTGGGATATTCTTGGAAGAAGATTACGAGAGGAATCTAACTTGAATACTTTGGAAGACGTTCGGCAGAGACTAATTCAGATATGGGAAGACCTTGACCAAAATGACATAAGGTCTCTTATTTTAAGTATGAGCCGTCGTTGCCAAGAAGTTATTCGTGCCAGAGGCGGAAATACTCGCTACTAACACTATTGTTTAATTTGTTTCTTTGCATTCTGTTTCGTTTTTTCGTTGTTAGATTTGGATGTTGATTTCCACAAAATCATGTTATGCTTTGAATTGGTGTTTCTGGAGTAATAGGAAAGATAATGGAGTGAATCCAAGAAAGAAATGTTGAGAAAAGATGAGGCTAAAGTGTAATTACAATTCTAGCTTAATAATTTAACTGTTGCACTCTACAGGGTATTGCAAACTTTATGAAAAAAACACGCTACAATTGCTACACCCGGTATTTATAGAAAAGAGGTTTTTATGCGAATACAAATTGCACACCATTGTTCAGAAGGAGATAACCTGTCATTCAAAACCAAAAACGTACAAATCGGACAAGAAGTTTTGACAAAAATCGACCTTAAACTTTTGGGTATTTGTTTGTGGTGCGTTAATTCCTGGGAGAAGTGTATATATTTTGTAATTATACCCAATATCGATAAAAGAATCATAATCTTTGACCCCGAAAACCCCTAGCTACAAATTTTAGATAGAATCTAATCATGATAAGAAATCTGTCCGCCATATTGAATTTCCAAATTTTGACGAAAGAATAACAATTTACGACCCCGAAAACCTCCAGATACCAATTTTGAATAGAATCGGATCATTATTACAAGATTCGTCTGCCATATTAGATCCGCCATTTTGAATTTCCAAATTTTGAGGAAGGAAACATAATCTTGCACCCCGAAAAGCGTGGCAGTTAATGAAAAAAATAGCTTGGTAGGCAACAAACGCATTAATTGCGTTTCAAATTGATCCTTCACACCTCCTTGAACACAGATTTTCGATTTTGATTATTGTGTATACTTTCTATAATGAGGAATTAGCTAGCCTGATCACAGGATAACTGTTCCGTAACAACCCGATGTTGAGATTTTTCTGTAGAATTACGAAATACGTGGTTTGTTCGTTCCTAGGAATCGAAATGTAATCTGGCAGCAGGGAAAATCCTGAAATTGAAAAATCTCGTTTTTGAACACCCTATATCTCTGTAATCATTCCTGCTAGACCCCAAGTGTGATACATCGATGAAATCAGCTCTTCAGGAAGAATCTAAAAATACAATAAAATACAGGGTGTTCCATTTGAAATATCAAAGTTGCTAGTTGTTTCTGAAGTGGAACACTGTATCGATGAAAATATTGCAGATGGATAGAGAATGTTCAATTATCGAAGCATCTCAATTTTCAGAATGTTTTGTCCAGATAATTCTAATAGGCCATCCACCGTGGATCACCCTGTTTATTTTTTAATTCTCAGTGCCTTTTCTCATCGTAATGAACGTTATAGTATTTTGTTCTAGAAATTAGTGTTTCGCCTATTTTAAACATCCTTAATAATAGGCTCTGGAGAAATGTTTTATATTGACGAAATAAATATATGGCGCCCAAATCAAAATCATTCTAATGATTGAATTCCACTTACAGTTTGAATCTATTCTAAGGATTCAAACCATAAAAAAAATCGACAAATGAAGAAAACTTCACTCATCATGTGACGTCATAAGTCATAATATGAGGCAGGTGTTTGTTGAAACAGTAAATAAAAACTCATATTATATACCTTTTGGTGTGGTTGGAACTTGTATGCTTTCCGTTTCTTTGGTCTGAGGTTCTATCCTGGACAAGAACAGCTCGTCCATGGTGCTATCGTTCCTTTGAGAAGACGAATCGAACGATTTTTGCAGATTCATTGTTGTATTACTCGTCTTTGCATGAGATCTTGATTGCCGAGACCTTTTTGATTTCTCAGAAAGACGATGTTTTTTGGTCTCAGGCTCATCCACATCGTTGTCCTTCAAAAACAATAAAATAGATCACAAATAGAGAAAAACTCATCACCACACTAGTTCATAAAATGAACGAAAATGGTAGATAACGAGAGAAAAACAACTACTTTCCTGGCTATATGCCACGCAGGACATTGGATAACATCCTCCCGAAATCTATGCAATAATTTGTAGACGAATAAAATCGCAGTGTTTCCTTCCTAAACGCCGATCTGCGCCTAAGTGGTTCAGGAACGCGAGACTACCTGAAGACCGGTTTCGAGCTATTGGCTCTCATCAGTACAGGGATGTCCATAGTGGAAGGAGAAGATGGTGTGCTTACGCGCATATTATGTGACGTCATCTGGGATACCAATATCAGCTGCTAGTCACAGACAGATACCGTTGCCATGGGCGTGCGCAATGAATTCAATCATATTTATTGAAATTTCTTCAAGTTTCTCGATCTGTTTAGAAATAATTCAATTTATATAAACAGGTTCCTATTCCTTCGATTTTACTATTTCATTGATTCTGGAAATTGTGATCTTGAGGTAATTCGCAATCGCAAATAGCAAATACATTCGAATTATCATGCATTGCCAATCCCATCTGAATGATCCACTACTGTGTCGATTCTGACAGATTAAAATTCAGCAGTTAACGACGTTGACGTTGCTTCTGCTCCGACATCGACAACAGGAGTATCAATTTTTGCCGTTTAGTTATTCAAATCTTTGCATTGAGAGTTAAGAATTCATTTTCAATTATTTCTGACTTGATATTCGGAAGATGTTCTGTAGGAATGGCATCTTGTTTCAAATATTTGTGATTTTTTGGAGGTGTGTAATTCAAGAACCGTACTTTCGCACTTCTTTGGAAACATTTTGCATGGAAATGTTTTGAAGAAATACGTGCTGTAATATGAATGTGATGATAATATGATAGGTGAATACTATGGAATGAGGATATAAGGAATATAAGGTAGGTACCATTATTTGAGTTTATATTCTGTCGGCAGCAAGCTCCCATCGTTTCATTAGGTATAGGTCTCCATTCTTGGAAAAGCAGAAAAATTCAATATCTGTGCCTTTTGTATGTTAGTTGGAATTTTCATAACCAGAAACGAAACAAAAGTAGGCATTTCGAAATTATTTCATTCAATTCTAGTACATACTTATATAATATCTGAAGTTCGAGACATCAATCACGAAAACAAATAATAATATCAATGACAGTTATATCCCAGCTGACGTCATGCGCAGAACAAGACGAGTTTGAGCTTTCTGTTGAGCACACCATCTTCTTCTTCCACTATGGGGATGTCCCATATAGCTTCTTGACCGCTATTTAGTGCAAACCTGACCCAACGTAAACGCATCTCAGCATTTATACCCAACGAGGCGTTCCACGTCCGCGAAATGAAGACGCGAACGCCGAACACCACCTGGCAAGGAAAGAACACTCCAAAACAAGATCCCATTCCAGGTGAAAAAAAATAAAAAGGGGATGTTTCCATTTAAAAAAATAATCGATGACGTCACCACAACTACGCGGATGACGTTACAAACTCCGTATGTACATCAAGAGGTGTCAATTTGAAAATAAAAATCGACCTGTCTCAGGATTTTTTTTTATCCATATGCGTTAGAGATAGTGATACATTTCCATATGCGTTAGAGATAGTGATACATTTCCACCATACTGTATATCGTAGTTATCGTATACAGGCAATATCTCCCTTATTTGACAAGATTGTTGAGAAATTCAAAAAATTCATTGAATGGCATTGAAGAACCTAACTTATGACATAAAAATCCATTGTATATTATATTCAGTTGAAATTCATACTCCATTAAATGTTGCTGTTTTTGTTATAATAATAAAAAAATACCAAGTATATGCTATCGTTTTATTCCTTATAGGGAGTGCCATTTGAAAATAAAAAGTGGGGGATGGATGCCAGAGAACTGTCAAATGTAAAAGATTTGTTTATATGTCACGAGGAAGGTTCTTCAATGCCATTCAATGAATTTTTTGAATTTTTCAATTATCTTGTCAAATAAGCGAGAAATTGCCTGTATATGATAATTTGGGACACCCGGTATACTATATACTCTCGGAATCTGCTCGACTCCATCTATCTGCAAGTTGCTGAACTATCTAGGAATATCCTTTGCGGGAGAAGCACTAACTTTGATGTTCTGAAGGCTTTTAAATACAAATATTTTAATCCGGCTTTCATGTGACATTCCATAAAAACATCTAAAAATAAACTTCCTATATTCTGCATTACCGATCACTTCCCTTCACTAAGCAAACAGTATAATCAAGGCATTGGGCGAGTGGACTGATAATGAATTATTGGCATTCAATTATTCCACTGTGTCGTTAGGGACCTAAATTAATTTCCACAACAAGTCTCGCGCTTTTTTATGTAAATAATAAGTCTAGGCGTTGTTCAAAATTGTTGAAGTCCAGCGCTCATTTCAAAAGTACCGTCATGGCCGCCATTTGGCGATACGTCGATTAAATGGTGACGTCAGTTTTTATGCTGCTTCGTTATTGGCCAGACAATCTTCCATTTCCACTCATGACGCAAGGTTGTCAAGTCACCAATTATAATCAATTTATCAAAGAGATTAGAGCCCTGTCGTTGAATGAAACACGAGATAAAACATAATATGAGAAAGCCATGATATAGTCCATTCTTGACCTTTTCGAGCAACCAGCATGTACAAATATCTCTTATACTCCATAACAAAATATCATGTTGATGTTGAAGACTTGGCAACAATGCTGAGAACTGACAAGGCACCGCCCACAATTCGTGCGCCGTGTTTTCACGTTTACCCTCAAATGTCCTCTAGTGTGAATTAATATAACAATATTATTATTAACACAAATGTATTATAATCAGGTATATAAGATATTCAAGATATTCAAAAAATCGTCCACTCCCCTTTTATACAGGGTGTTTGGTTCACCGACGTATATACGGAAGGAGGTGGTAGGTTATGTGATTTTGAACAAATTTTACCATATATACTATTATAGTATTAGATGGTACAAAAATCGTTTTTTGAATTGTAACGAGCCAAAAAATATTTTCATCACATTAGATCCCATTTCATGTTCAGAATCGATGCCATGCGTATTCAACTTTCTAAGAAAAAAGAGATTTAATCAGATGAATTGTTTGAAAGAACGATTATACCTCGAAATTTGAAACACTGCGTATAATAGTATATATATGGTAAAATATGTTCCAAATGTTCTCAACTATCACCCCTTTTCAGATATACGTCGGTGAACCAAACACCCTATATAAGTCAATGTCTTTATGTTATCAGCAGTTGTCGATAAGATACGGAAATTCGTGTTATTGATAATTTTTTATCATTGTTAAAAAGCTACTGTGATCATTCATTCTAATTTCAAATCAAACCTACATTGGTTAAAACTACTTCACTCGGTATTGTCCACAGTTTACATAGATCATCCGGTAGAATGAATGTTCGGTAGTCTAAAGGAAAATAGAATCGAACCTAATACCTGACTACATCAAATACATACTGAAAAAATGCTGACACCTAACATACCTCCTCCTCTCTCATAGTCCTCACTCTTTTCAACCTATCCCTGAAGGTCTCTTCTGAAGGAGCCTGATACTCTGTCAGGTGCTCGTGATATCTGTCGTGCTTCAACAGCTTCACATTGAGAGAATCATTCGACAGTTCGCCTTTCTTGGCACCGCATATCTCGATGTTGTGAGTGTTCGCCAGTTGAAGAGATGCAATGAAGTACCTGACATCAAGGAGAATAAATAGTAGATTGTTTCATTAGGATCAAAAGTGACACTTTGTTTGACAAGCGAATTTTGCATTTGCGAGGCGGAACGTCTAGCGAAGCCGAGCGAAAGCAAAATTTGCGAGTCAAACAAAGTCACTTTCGATCCGAATGAAACATGCTATTTTTTCTGCAACCGAAAGAATTGGCTAAAATAAATATGTGAAGTAACCACCAATGTGACTTACTTGACAGATTATTATAAGAGTGAGGGTTGCTGGGCTGTGTGCACGTGAATATATACCAAAGAAGGGAAGATTTGTATTTCGTGCAAGAAATTTATTCAAAATATTCGTAGCAGAGCGCTTTCGACTGTTAAGTCATCATCAGTGCGTACTCGTCAGGTTAGCAGGGAAATTCGTCCATGAAAATATCTTTTGTCCAGTTTGAAACTAACGACATTTAAGTAAAATACGTTACAAACAAATTAAAATGTGTTTCCCAGGGGGTAAAATATGGATTACATCTTGTTAAGCAGCCATTGACGCTGCGACATGTAGTGTTGAAGTGAACTTGAACTCATCAATGATAATCCGAAGATTATCCTTGAATTTAAATATCCGTAGAAACCGCTAGATTTGGTAACTCACATTTGGTGAGGTTCTTTTTCTTCTTCATCTCTCTTCCGGTTTGAATTTTCTATGGGTGGGTTAGAGTTCTTATTATTTTATAGTATATTAAACTAGAGTCACTGGATGGTATTAGTTTGATAAGAGTTCGGACACAGAAATGACAAGGGTTAGGGTATTTGAATGTTTAGATTTATGAAGTTACACACCTTGCATTGTGACAAGAGCACCATAGTCGTCCTGCGCTTTTTCATTCAAAATTTTTTGAATTTGACAATTCATTTTATAAACGTCAGAATTGAAATAAAATGGCATAATTATTATACTTTCGAGATAAAAACAGCTATGGAAATCACTTGCTGTATTATAATTGTTCCAATTTCGAAACAAGTGGATATCATTTATTCGATTTTCCAAATCAAATATCAAGCATTCGCTTATGGAAGGAAGATATGAAACGGCCTGGGTGAAAAATCAATTTGAAGACGAGCGAAATTTGTGAGGTACTCATTGAAATTCACTTCTTATAACAGTATCTGATTAGAATGAATCTATATTTTAGGACCATTTTCAAACAGAAGATTTCAAAATCTGTTCGAGAGAATCTGCTGTTCCATCAATTTACAAAGCAGACGATTTCAAGAACAAAATTCCATTATTATCATCACACAAAATACAAAACAAAATAATCATGGAAAGAGGGGAAATGATCGCAAAATTACATTATGAAATTGAAAATTTGAGAACGAAATCAAGAAATGCAAGTAAACTACAACGTGATATATCATTGAATGGCGTTTTTGGTGCTGACCGCGAATTCAAAATTCAACAGTGAAAAGTGGATAGATATTTATGTATCAAGGGAATTATTATAAGGGCCTTAATGACGCTGGAGGTTATAGTTTTGGAGATATTTTCTATATCGAATCATGTTACTTAGCTCCTATAGGGCGCTGAGTGAAGTTGCTGAGAACTTAACAAAACCAAGTATTTGGTAGGTCTCGTCAAAATAAATTACTTTTTCCCCATGAAATCTTTATCGAAAAATGATTTGTTCTCTGTATTTCAACACCCTGTATCTCCGAAATGAAGCATTTCCAGACACAAGCTTATATAGACTTTATTCCTTAAAATTGTCTCAGGAATACTTCACTGGAGTACAGTTCCACATACAATAAGGAATCATAGCTATAATTTTATCCATATGTATATATTCTCTAATATTAAAATGTTGTTACATGCATTTTTTTCATTTATATAAATCTTGCTCTGATAGAAGCACGCTAGAAGTGTATCACTATGAATTGGAGTGGGTGTTTGTACCCTATATCCATTGTCCATCTACGGCTATGATTGATTTGACAGAAAATATAACCTCTAAAATCGTATCTGACAATCAGGCGCTACTAGGGAAATTGAAAAGACAAAGAGCAGAATATATGTCTTATTCTTTTATTCACTTAAACCATTGTATTATAGAAAATAGAAAAGGACAAAAGTTCAGCTGTGTCCGAACTCTTATCAAACTAATACCATCCAGTGACTCTATATTAAACTAGTTATTTATTTATTTATTTATTTATTCTCAAACAGGTAGAAAACCTTATTACATGAGAATCATAATGTATATAACAACAGTATCTATATGATAACAGTCTTGGAGTATATCATTGCAAATATTCTACTAACTACAATAATTGGAATGATCATTTCAAATCACTGATGGCGCGAACACACTATAAAAACTGTTTATTCTAAATTAGAAAAATATGTTTTCAAACCATAATAAAATTTTGAGGGAGGGAGAACAAAGCTGACTTCTGACAATAGTAGGAAGTTGTTTGTTAATTTTATCATTGTTATAATGGGTGAACAGTTATTAGTTGATACAAATGGAACATCAAAGAATTGTACAAGCCGGGTCAATCGATTGGGAGATCTTCTTTTCAATACTGATCGGAGATAGGGGCAGTTATAATATTTTTTGTAGATTTTATAACACATTGTGACTATAATTGCTTGTCTTCTATTTTCTAGACTGGGTATTTCAAATTCACTTCTAAGTGCTACTGTTCTAACTATATTATAGTCCGGGTAAACTTTATATTTTTTATAATACAGATATCTCAGAAATCTGTTTTGAATTTTTTCCAAAATATTTTTGTTGATTAGCTGAGAGGGATGCCAGATTGCAGCGCCATATTCAAGTTTAGGTCTTACTAGAGTATTATAAAGTGCAGTTATTGCTTTGGTGTCATTGAAATGTGCACTTTGTCTCATTACAAAGCCCATAGTCCGTAGTGCCTGCGATGCGATATGATTCAAATGTGGTTTATACGAGAGTGCGGAGTTATAATATATACCCAAATCTTTAACAGTCTCTACTCTGGATAACTGCATGTCGTTCATCGAGTAATCGTATAATATTTTAGATAATTTTCGGCTACAAGATAGTACGATACATTTGGATATATTAAATGGGAGTTCGTTTTTTACACTCCATCGGTGGACCCTATCAATATCTTCCTGTAATTTGACGCAGTCTTGCGGGCTTTCGATCTTTCTATACAATTTCAGATCATCTGCAAATAATAGGCACTCCGAATACTTTATATTATGCGTAAGGTCGTTGATGAATATTAGAAACAGTAGCGGGCCAAGGTTTGATCCTTGAGGGACTCCGGAGTTAGCGCGAAATTTCTCTGAACAGTTTCCTGCATATTTGACCCTGAAGTATCGGTTATTCAAGTAAGAGGCCAACAATTTGAGTGCTTGGAGATCAGCGCCATATTTATGGAACTTTTGCAGTATCACATCGTGATTGACTTTGTCGAATGCCTTCTGGAAATCAGTATAAATTACATCGACCTGTTTATTGTTATCTAGATGGTTGAGGACATGATGAGAAAATGTTAAAAGATTTGTATTGTTATTGTGTATGTCTCAATACACCCCTATGGTGGAAGTGATTTCTGGCTCTCATTGGTTGTTGAGAAAGAAGTCACTATTAGCCAGCTTATCGGTGGATCACGTCATCAAGATCAAAAGTGTTGTAAAGAAAGTATACACATCTTCATGATTTAAACGGTCATTCTAGATATTAGAAATGTATATGGAATGAAATTACTAAGTAGTTATGAACTCATTTGAAGCAAGTCTGAAGGAAACATCCCCATGATTGGTTTATGTTTTCATCCGAACAATTTCTGTAATTTGCTTACTGTTTCACTGACAGTTCTCTGATTCAATCATGAAATAATCGTACGAATACAACTCGTGAATCTCGTGATACCATTTTTTCTTTAAATATCCGTCGATTGATATACTGCAGCTTGCTGCTTTAATTTCGCTCATGACGTTCCAAAGCCTACGGCCCCAAATAATTTGAAAAACGACATACGGCGAAATTATTAGGCATCAAGCTATCGTAACAATCGTCGAATGTTTCCGGCAAGATAGTATCTCATTCCACCCTTGGTCTCAAGAGTCAATCAGAATCGGCCGTTTCCACGGTTTCTCCTGTATTACAGCGATATTTTTTGTTTACTAAATTTTTTTGGACTTGTTCTACCAATACAGAAGCCGAATTGACCAACGTTCCTCGTTTTTCAGCGATAAAATTTTGGACGTTTAAAACGTCAATTATCTCGGAAGCCAGAATGATGGATGCAGTATGCACAAATCTTGCAACCCGCTCGTTTATTGTCACAATCATGGAATATATTGAAAAATTCGTCGATTGACATACTCCAGCTTGCTGCTTTAATTTCGCTCATGGCTTTGTTCGAAAACTACTCGCCTACGGCTCGAAAGTTTTCATAAACAATGTCATTCGGCGAAATTATTAGGCAACAATCTCCGAATGTTTCCGGCAAGACTGCATCACTTGTGGTTTTACATATGAGAATATTTAAATCAAAATCATTAGTATAAAGCTGTAAAAAACTGCCAATGGGTCTGCTGCAGATAACAGAGAACACAGCAAACAACTGAATAATCAGATAATAAGAGGAATATCTTTGAATATTTACATCTTGACAATAGATGAAACAAGGATTTTAAGATGAAGGTGACATTAGGAAGTTAGGTTGACAATGTCTGTCTTTTTCTTCTTCTTTCCTTCTTGTATTTCTGGGAACTCTGGGCATTACGTTATTGCCAGTGCCGTAAAATAATTTGGGCTTAAATAAAATCTCGATCATTATCAGGAATACTAGGATATTTTTATAGGTACAGAAGCATCTGGCAAGTATACAAGTATTCAATGAGTGATTATTAGGGACCAGGTCGAACTATTGTCTTCTATGAATAGGAATACCGTTGTCAATGGTCATATCGAATCTCATAAGGTATTTACCAGTTACAAATCTGGCAGCGTCGATATATATGTGGTCCTACTTTTTATGCGAAAGATGACGATGACTTTAGATTTGGTTCATGACGTCATCGAAGCTGGCTTCTTTGAGGGTGCCGAATTTCATTATTGAAAAAATATATTTGTGATGATTTTAAATAACGAATGGGCTTATATCACAAAAAAATTTCATTTGATAATTCGATAGAACTCACCCAAACTAGCTCACCACCGCGAACCGTTTCTTGCTGTGAGTTCCCTACGTTTTATAAAAAATTATTGAAATCCCCGATTTTTCGAACCTCTGAAAACGAGGCGATGATGTGACGTCAAAACCCTAATACTGAAACAAGACTATTCCAGACAGAGATGAATGATACATGATTTCTGACAGAGTGAATTAGCGTGAGATCACAGTTGAAATAATTAATATATCAGTTGTCTCAGTCTCCGTCGGGCATTTGGTATTTTCTTTTAACTATGGCGAGATGAGGTTTCTACGTCATAAGAGGGTCCGTTTTTAGAAGGCACTATTATTTATGTCCAAAAATAAAACTTTCCTGTAAATTTTTCGATCGAATTATGTCGTCAATCATTATTTATGTATAAAAGAATCATTATAAACATGGTTTGAGTTGAAAGTTCTTCTAAGGTGTACACGCCCATTATCAATATGAAATAGGTATGTGGCGTAAATTCGACTAGTGTGTACATACAACCCCAGATCTTGTTTTACCTGACCACTTCGGCTGAAGACTTTCCATCCACTATGGACGCGAACGGCTTGGACTGATTCACCTCCATCCCCTCCATGATGCTCGATCCGTAATCATGAATGTCGAAATCGTTCTCATTGAGGTTCCGAAGAATCGGATTGATGGTGTCTTTCCATTGGTCGACGCGAGCACGCGATTCTCGCCTTTCTTGCTCAAGCCGGTGCTGCTCAGATTTCAGTTCTGGAATGCAAATAGTAATCATCACACACAGTGGTCCAGAATTGTCTCCCAATATCAGTTTGATAGATGTTTGTCAGAACGACACTGGATTGATAAAGCATTGACTGAGGTTAGTACTTCCTGGTTTCTTAAAAAACATGAATCGGAAACACAAACAACCATCCAACATAATTTCCAAATCGCTCAAAACTGGTATAATTCCTGACAAAATTAAAATTGCTAAAGTATTACCAATTCACAAAAATGGGGAGAAAGATGATTTAAATAATTATAGACCAATTTCTGTTCTCCCGATCTTTTCCAAAATTTTAGAAAAAATTATGAATAACCGTCTAATAAATTATCTAGAAAATAATGGCCTATTGTTTAGTGAACAATATGGATTTCGTAGGTCAAAAGACAGAGGTAGCTGTGACGGATGTCATTTCAGATATTCAGTTACGAATAGACGACAATCACAAATGCGGCATTCTGTCTTTGAATCTGTGTAAGGCCTCTGACACTGAAAATCATAATATTTTATTGACTAAATTATCGTCAATAAGTGCCAGAAAAAATTCATGATGGGTTTCGAAATTATTTGAAGAATAGGAAACAGTATGTTGATGTGAATAATACTTGTAATTCCTTGATGAATATTACATGTGGTGAACCGCAAGGGTCAGTTTTGGGGCCAATTTTAGTTTTAATTTACATTTACTCAATATCTACTTTAAAATTGAAAGGAAACCTAAAATTATTTGCAGATGTTATAACAATAATCTATACTTCAGAAGATTTTAACGATATCAATAATGATATTGAAAATGATTTGAAACAAATATCATCTTGGCTAACGACCAATAAGTTGACTCTTAATTATAGTAAATCTACGTATAGTTACATCTCAAGAAGAACAACGGATATATTGAATAATACCCCAATATGTTTCAATAACAAATCCATGGAATATACTAATATAACAAAATTTTTAGGTCTTTATATTGATGAACAATTATCGTGGACTCTACATATAGATCAATCTAGGAAGAAATTGAATCCTATTGCTGGTATTATATATAAAATTTGAAATTTCATTCCTGTTAGATACCCAAAGAGTATTCATTTCTGTCTTTTTTATTCAAATTTACAATATCTTATATCATTTTTGGGAAGTACAAATATTTCACCTTTGAACACTCATAAAATTTCAAAAAAAAACAATAAAGTGCATTTTCAGTTTACCTTTTTTAGAACCAACTGTGAATCTATACAAACCTTAAGACTTGCTGAATCTAGTTTCATTATATAAACTCAAAATTTGTTGTTTTATTCATTTTGTCAGGAAGGAATTGAAAATATCTAATTTGAATTTTAATGAAGTTAATACGATTCACGCCCATGAACCAAGGCAATTCAATTTATTGATAGCAAATAATTATAAGTCAAATTTTGGTAAACAATCAATATTCCATAATGGAATAATTTTATATAACTCCTTACCTAATGAGTTAAAATCAAATTAAAGAAATATCTGCTCAGTAAACTTTAACTCCATATCTACTAATCATTCACAATTTGATTAGTTGTAATGGATTGAAATATTTTCATTTTATATTTTATCATAATTTTTTTTTAATAAAAACAATAATTGTGCAATTATTATTGTTTTGATGTATTGTTACATGCATGTTTTGTTGAATATATCCCTATTATAAACAATAATGTTTCTTGGGGTAATAAAGACAATCAAACCCAGCACTCACCCTCAGGTGTCGCCTCTATCGCCTCGTCCATCGTCCTTCTAGAATCCTTCAGAGCCTTGAGCAACCTCTGGTACTCCTCTTCGCGTGGATCAAGCGTCGAATTTCCCGCCGCTTCAGCCACCTCCCCCACATTCCTCTCATCACCCCCACCCCCAATATCTTCGATAGCACTATCCAGGACATCCGACTCGTTTACCGACCGGCCGAGAGTACCATCGCAAAAACCGGAATCATCCGCCGGTTCCGGTTCCTGTTCCGGATCCGGTAGTTGACTGTAGTTGTGATCGGAGAATACGGACTGCGCATCGGCGTCATTGCTCAGTTGGGGGTGTTCTTCGGCCGGATGGGAGTAGTTGTGGTCGGAAAAGACGGACACGTTGTCGTCCTTGTGGGGGGTGGTGATGGGGGGGATCGACGTTTGGGGGGATGATGGCGGCAGGGGGTCGACGGGAAGGGGGGCGACGAAGTTGTCCTCCGCGTCTGATTCGGACTCGTATTCCATTTCCTCGATTTCTCCTTGAATAGAAAAATCCCGTATAAACGAAGATGGAATGGGCTATTTACATTCTCATGTGAAGTCATACAATGGAACGGTCTATCCCCCAAATCGCTGATTTCATTCTTGTTCAGTCAAACTTCGGGACAATTTTTGTTTTTTACTCATTAATAACCATACATTACTCAGTTATCAGAAACTTTGTCTCAAGTTATACACGTCGGCATCCGAGAATCAGCTGTAAATTTATTACTAAGTGATTCAATAAAGAGAAATTCTGATAACCTAATGCTTTCAAGAAGCTTGGCATCACTGGCAGCGTCAACCAATCACAGTGCTATTAGGGAAACGAACATGGATGCCGCAGTAGTGTTTACTTTTAATTTGTTTCCTCTGTTTACATAGTGTTAATGCTCTTGAAATTTGTGATATTCAAGTGAATCGGGGAATTTTTGTGAACAATCGTTAATCCTTGAGCGTCCTGATACTGCGAAATAGGCGAATGTACATATTTTTTTATTTCCTAAATAGAATCATCACTCGAATAACTTTCAATTTCATATGACGTCACGATTTGGTAAGTAGGGACAGACCATAGCACAGTTGCCATATGTTGAAATACGATAAACTGATTATAATTGGTGACTTGACAACCTTGCTTCATGAGTGGAAATGGGAGATTATCTGACCAATAACGAAACAGCATAAAAACTGACGTCACCATTTATTCGACGTATAGCCAAATGGCGGCCATGACGGAACTTTTGAAATGAGTTCTGAAATTCAACAATTTTGAATAACGGATAGACTCAATATTTATTTCACCAAGTCGCCTAGTATTTTATATTTTTTTGGTTTATATAGAAACGCATAGTTATTTATTTTTGAATAAGATTAACAAAAAGTTAATTTTGTGGTCAAAATAAAATTTCTACCCAATTGTGATTCTCTGGATCATGCATAAGGAAACAGTTCACTTTCCAACTAATTTCAACATGGGCGTAGTTCAGGGTATTAAATCATAATGTCCGTTGAATCAATATCAGTTGAAGCTAATTAAGAATTATCATGGGAAGGATACCTCCATATTGCTAGAAAATCCAAATGGAATGATAATACTGCTAATAAGGTTAGGTGTATTTGGTTTAATGGCTAGCCAATATTGTACTCTTATAATTTAGGGGTGCTAATTTTCCTTCATATAGTATAGTTGAATAGACTGAGTGACAAATAATGCACCAAGAAATAGTACAGCTCTTGATTATGCGATTTTGAAGAACAAAAAAGCAATTAAACAGAAAAAAATCAAGAAACATATGATGCCATTTGAAAAAAAAATTAACAGTTTCTACATGATCCAGGGGATCCACTTCGATCTTGTGAATAGATTAGCTTTCATCTTATGTTGTGGTCTAGATAGTAAGTTTCAGTGAAATCAACAAAGAACAATTTTGAATACAAAATCCCGATTTTGGTATACCTCAATTGATTGTGTTCTATAAAGAGGTCGAATTATTCAAATTATTTACTGAATATGAATTGAAAATACTGGGATGGTGCAGAATCCTTGAATATTTGATAAGATTCATTCTCTCCTTCAGTCACAGTTTTTACAAAATTCCCTTGAATAACTATAACTTCAATATTTTGTATTGAAAAAACCATCTTCATAGTAACTCTTGTTTTCATTTAATATTTACTTTGTATTATTTGTATTAATATAAAAATTTAATTTGATATTGGGTGTAACTTATACATTTTTCTGGGCATTTTTCTGTAAGTATATTTATATCTTTATTCATCAATTTGTGTACCTTTTAATGAATGAAAATATGTTATCATTATTATAATCATCATTGCATATATTGATGAGAACCACACTTGAATAACAATTATAGTTTTACCTTCTCCCAATTGTGGTTGATAATTTTTGGAGAAGAAATGCTCAAACTTGTTCTCCTTCACAGTTGGTAATACAACCATTTTGTCAACTAGTTTTTCCAATTGTTTTTGGGACATCTTCCTTCTTTTGGATGGAGAGGGATCATTTTCCTGTCCTTTAGCTTTAGACTAAAATAAAAAAGATGTTTACTGCTACAATTTGTGGAATCCCATTCCTCTCAATATAAATCCATAAATTATTGTCATTTTCAACACAATCTTATGATATATTACCTGAAATCATCAAAAAGGTAACATTTCTCAAAACATGTTGATCCTTGGAGGATATTACATAGCTATATATTCATATACAGGGTAAAAAAAAGAGGTACCTAGGGAGGAAATAGACAAAAGGTTGGTACTGCCGTTTTTTTTATTTGGAAGGTTACAAGTTATTGGGAATACTTCCTTGGGCAAGGAATTCCAAGGTTTTGCTGTCTCATAGATAAAGGAATTTCACTACAGGGTTGACTACAAGATGTCATTCTTATTTCCAACCATCCTTTCAAAGTTGAAAATTTAAAATACTTCTTTTTCAATAATCAGAGTATTTGATGGGCTAATGATTTCAAATTTGATAACAGTGTTTCAACATAACAAGTAGTGATGTGAAGGGGGGAACGTTCCCTTCGTGCTGTGGGGAACGTTCGCGAATGTTTGTGCAACATAAATCGATCGTGCGCGCATGATAGAGCGTGCTTTAGCACGAACGAGAATTTTCAGCACAAACGAGAATTTTCAGCACGAACGAGAATTTTCAGCACAATCCCGACCAATCAGCGCGCTCCATCCGCTTGTATCGCATGTGAATCCCCTTGTTTTGTTTTGGTGGTTCCTTGAGGAGTGAAAGCACAGATGCAAAGGTAAGTGCGTGTCGCATGTGGTTACAGGGAATTATTAGTGTTGTTTTTTTTTTGTTTTTCAATATGCCCGGAAGAAAATGCGAGTCATTTGATTTCCTACTTCACAAAAAATGTAATAGTAAAGACGTTTATTCTTGCAAATGTTGTTATTATGAATATAGCCGGCATGCCACACGAATGGCAAATCATCTGATGAAATGTGTGAAATATCTCCAGTCGGTAAGGAAAAACAATAAAATTGTTGTTCCTTTCAAAGATTCTCAAAAAGGAAACATCAAAATCAATGGTACTGATTGAACTTCAATGTTTGGAATCTTCCACTCCTTTAGAGACTTCCACAGCTGGTTTAGATCTTGGTAATCAGGTTCAGGGTCCATCATCAAAAAATTCTGAATTTGAGAACTCTGAGACTGATGAGTCTGAAGAGGATACCAGGTCCTAAAATGTCCACAATGCGGATACCAGAAAGTTTCAAAGGGGATATTGAAGATTTGGAATAGATGAAGTAGAGTAGGTTTACAGCTAGTTTATAGGTGAAACATATTACTTCTCAACCTAATATGGTATTTTCAGTTAGTTTTAATATTCAATTGTTACTTGAGTTTTTGCTATTTTTCTACTTAATAAAGGTTTTTTATTATGTTATAGTATAGAAGTTGATCATTACTATTACTGTATTAGTTGTAACACAGAATATTGATACAGTGTGTCATTTTTTTATGGAGCATTAGGGGAATTTTAAGCATTTTCAGCATTTTCAGCAATTTGAGAATTTTGAGCATTTTCAGAAAGAACCACGAAAAGCATGTTTTTGGATACTTTACTACACCCCAAACATAAATTCCCGGGTTTTTTTCGTTTATGCTTGTTTATTCATGCTCATTCATGCTCAGGGAACATTCTCCAAAAATACTTTCTTGAGAATTTACTAATAACAAGTCCCATAGTTTGAGCAATAAAACATAAATTGTGCTCTCAACTCCTAATATAGCTGTTGATATTTTTAGTCTACAATAATACAATAATGTTTTTGTATTACCTCCTTGAGAATATTTTCCTTAGGTATTTTGGTCCTTACTGCTCTTGGAATAACCATAGTCAAACTACTGACAAATGGGGACATTATATCCTTCTTAGCATTCCTTTTTCTTAGACCATTATTATTTTCTTCCAGCACTTTCCTATTAGGAAGTGGTGTCATACAGTAGCTGTGATCACTAATAACACTTCTTGTATCAGAATTATCCACATCAGCTGAATTAGGATCAACATTTTCCTTGTCATGATCACTCATAGCATTTTCCAAGCAGGGCTCAACATGTCTGCCTGTATTTTCCTTTGAACTCTCAATATGATCACTCAAGGCATTTTCCAAGCAGGGCTCAACATTTAGCGCTGTATTTTCCTTTGAACTTTCACTATCAATTATTGTTGGTTGTGTCACTAAACTATCAACACTTGCAGGCAGATCCACCAGATTATCATTTTTTTCTGGACAAATTTCACAATTTCCCAATATGGCACCTTCACCATTTTCTGCAGATTTGTTGGCACCAGAATTTTCAGTGGAGTCTATCTGAATTTCATTATTGTTACCATCTCCAGTAAAATATGCATGACTACTCAAATCATCTCCACTATCAGACACCCTCTCAAAACATCCAGAATCATTTCTCAACTTGTTATTGATGATATCAGTAGACAACCTTTCTAGTCTGATGCACAAGTCTGACCTCAAGGGATCATCACAATTGAAGCTCAATTCAAACAAGCTGTCATGATCTGATTCATCAATTAATTTTTCCAAATCATTGTGATCCCTACTTTTATCATTTTCTGTGCCATCATCACAGCAATGAATAATTCCACTTGATATTTGGTTTGGTACTGGAGATGGGTTGTTACTGTGAGGGTTATTATGCCTGAGTGCCTCACGTTCTTTCTGAGCAAGAAACTGTAGCTGCTTATGCAAGTCTTCCATGGTGTCCAAAGGCATATTCTGCCATTTCTGGGCTTCTTCTTCAAAGTATTTTTTCTTATAAGCAAGATATTGATCTCTGTACAAAGGGTATTTAGCATTCATAGGTATTTTGTTGTCCCTCATGAAAGCTAACCTCAAGTATGAGCCCAGTCTTAGAGTTGCAATCAAATTATTCTTGTCAGGCAATAAACCTTTCTCATTGTATTCAAAAAGGTGCTGAATAAAGTGCCAGCCAGGTATTCGGCCATATTTGATATTGAACTCACCATCTTCAATATCAAATACATCATAATTTTGATGCTTCATGATGTAATAATTTTTCATCCTATACATAGTGAGCTGTTGTTTGTATACAGCATTGGGAATGCTTGTTATTTTTGCACTCTGCCACTCCAATTTTTTCCATTTTTTATATACTTCATCATCAGATTCAAAAGTATTACCTATTGAAGGTAGAGGTTTATCAAAAATGAATCCATCTATGTTATCATCACATGAAAGAACAAGTTTGAACTTTTTCTTTCTCTTGTACCTGTTTCTACGTTCCTCTAACTGTTGAATGACTTCAGTGTTCATTTTCTTGCCCCTAAAAATAGTGAAAACACATTTACCCATGAGGATCATATTTTGAAGCACTATAGAGCAAATATCATTTTAAGAAGTCATTAGTGCCAACTTATAACAAATAATTTCAGGGCCCTTCTAAACTTCCAGAATCTGAACAAAATAGAATGCACCTGTATGCTTAGATATTGAATTTTAAAACCTACTTTTCTTTCTCATGTTCACAATCATACTCAATAAGCCTTGTATGAAACTCCAGTAGCTGATCCCAGAGTAAGTCAATTTTCTTGCCATATAAATCAGCACAACTTTGTAAAAAAAGGGCAGCTTCAGCAAAATTGATGTTGAATATACCATTTTTCAAATATACTTGTTGTTTGCTTATCTTATCATGAAATAAGTCCAAGGCCTGAAATTATACAAATTATAATTTGATCCATTTGCTTGAAATAAAGATTTCCCACCAAGCCAAGTTCCTTATCAAGTTTTGGTTTCTTGGACAGAGCATTCATTTGCTTTATTATTTGACCAATTGGCGTACTATAGTCGCATTCCTCTTCTTCCATATCCATGTTTTAAGAAATATTCTTGATATCAGTACCTTCAGAAACTCCTGAAATAAAAAAGAATCAAGTATTTTTCTCATAGCTGTTCAGAATTTTGAGGATCACAGCCATTAGTACCTTAAAAATATTTCTTTTTACCAATTACAAACTGTAACAAATCACTCTAATCAGAATATTATTATTATGTTTACATATTTGAATTTGACAAAATCGAATGAAAACATATCCCTGCATTCTGAAAACTGGGCCATTTTATTTAGGAACTTTCACAAAAACATGTTCATTCTTTGAAGATCTAAATCGTGTTGTTGTTTCACTTTTTCATACTGTTTCGAAGATGTTAAAAAGAAACAGAAACACGAAAGCGATCATTAAATCAACGAGATCGGCTCGAACGAAACCAAGAGCTACGAAAGCGTCATTTTCGAATACGCATGCTCAAGTATCAAGTCAAATGTCGTAGTCAACAACGTGACGGATTGCGTTACGGATACTAATCTTTGGAGGCGAGTATACGAAATACAATGTTGCCATATAAAGAATATTCAGAACTCACGACTCTCGAACCAGGAACGAGTCGTGAGTGATGGCTGATGGCTTAATTTTTTTTAACTCTTGGAGGGCAAGAAAGGAAATTCCTATAATGTTTGTGAAACATCGCTCGTACCTAGGAAAGAAAGGGAGAGGAGGTAGGTGTTGGATTTTTTTTTCGAGCTTTTGGAGGTTATAAGTTCTTGGGAATACTTCCATTGGAAAAGCATTCCAAAGATTCGCCGTTTAATAGACGAACGAGTTCTGGTAGAGTGTTGTTCGACATTTTCAAGCGTTAACGACAAAGAGATGCGCTGACTGGCCTTTCGAGTTCGTCTGACTGGTATTGTTAGTGATGGATTCATTGCAGAGATTTCTGAGGAATATTTTCCCTGGAATTATCTATAGAAAAGTGGGAGGTTGTAAAATTTTCTACGATGTTCTAATGTGATCGAAGAGTTGGTGAATGTGCAATGACATTGAAAACTACGGGAAAACATCTTAATTTCTGGCATAGATTGAAAGTTAGACTCGTTATCCCGTAGTTTTAATGTCATCAGAACGTCATCTGCGATTATTCCTGATCTTCCCAGATATTTGAAATGTTTATGGCTTTCTCCTTCACTTTGGAGATGACCGATAACAGGGCAATTGGTCTATAGTTGTTGGGCAAGCTCTTAACTGTTTCCTCTTTTGCGGATTGGTTGGACTCTAGTTATCTTCCAGCAAGATGGAAAAATACTCGACTTTTGTAGGAGATGGTAAATAGCTTGCAGACAATCGGTATCAATTCTGGTGCACACTTTTCGAGAATAATGGGTGGAATTCCATCAGGACCATAGGACTTGTACATTTTGAGACCTAGCTGAATGCATCTGATAGTGTGTTGGTGAAAGACAATTTCGGGTATTCGACTTTCAACGGGTGGAAATGGTGGAATGTCTGGCGGCACACCCTTCCCTGGAAATACAAGGTGGATTTTGCTGCGAACATCTCTGCAGAAATAATCACTTCCTCTTGCGATGTTGTTGCTAATGTGCTAATCTGCTTTAGAGAGAGGTGGGAAAGAACTTTCAGTGAAATTCTTTCAGGCAGCCTTGCGAGGGACCAAAACGAACGAGAGCCATTGGGACAAACTATGGGTTTTGATCTAATTTTGGCATTGTGTGATTCTTTTGATGCATCCATTGATGCATCTATTGTTTGGCAGCAGTTATTCCTTGCTTTCAACATGATTCTGCTCTAGTCACGAGGTTTCTGTTTCTGTTCTGACATGGCAGTTAATGAGGAAGAATAATATCTTTCAATGTGCCGATAGTGATTCATTGATTCAATGATCGTGTAGGATAGAGAAATATCATTGCATAAACAATGAAACTACATTCATAACCATCAGAATGAAGCCAACTGCCCCCAACATTCCTCCGCCGATCTCATGCCACTTGAGATGTTTATAAGTTGACCTTTATTTATTGCGAACCCGGCAGAATGCTAGGCTGTGTCAAGTCGTTCGTTCTACCACAGTGGTGATACCAGAATTATCAATGACTGCCTTGACTCCCATTAGAAGTTGACGTGGTAACTTCGTGGAGGTTTGAAACGTGACCAATATTCCTAAACAGCTGACAGCTGGTCCAGCTGGTTGGTCAGACTTCATACTGAACTTATGTGCACGGTGAAACCGGTGAGTTCATTGGTCAAACCAGAAACTTGACACAGTCCTACTCGTTTCAAGATGTTCTACTGGCGTGAGACACTCGTACCGATTTGGGTGAATATGCATTCGGGCACTGGCAAGGTTGGAGCTGAGTAGAGTTCCTAAATGTACTTGACACTGCTGATTTTGACGTATTTTTAATATACAAAACGTCAAAACAGCAGTGTCAAGAACATTTAGGAACTCTAGATCTGAGTAGTAGTAGTAAAGAGAAACTAGAAAGAGAAATCAAAGAATAAAAGAAAAGAGAAACAATAATAAATTGCTGTAGAGTTTTCGGTAAAGTCAGAAGTCAGTAGTCAGTAGACTGTTTATAAAATAAAAGTGCGAATGTGAATGTAATAAATTATTCACATATTACGTTATTACGATACCAATTTTTCTCAAAGTTCGCGATTCGTTATCAACTATGGGGGCTGGATATAATTGCATGAAATACTTGTTCATAGTGATCAACATCATATTTTTGGTAAGAGTAAGCTCTATAAATAGAGGCCATTTTGAATAATCAATAAAATTTCCAAAACAACTATTTAAATTATTTGCTGTTTGTGATGTACCTTCTATTTTTAATGATTGCAATAGAGAAGCAATATTGCATTGCAATCGTGATAACGACTCATGATTACTAGTTTGGATATGTGATCACTATCACCGTACAGAAGTCTTCTGTGTATGATGGTGAGGTGATTATGTGATTATGTTCTGAATCTTCCTTATATGTAGATAAATACAATTATGGTAGATTACTATCAGTTTACAAAACATGAACATTTGTGTCTGCTTCCTCTATCGTCTATATCCAAGTCAATATATTCTTCCATTTCATCAATATTCTTCCTATAATCGAGGTTGAGGAAACCAAAAATGGATATACCTACTCATGCTTGCTTTAACACTGATCACTTCATAATATTATGTAGTCATATAATTGACTAAATAATCTCTACAATTTTCAAAGAAATATCAAGTGACTTTTTTTTTATTGCTTGGAGCGCACGAAAGGGAATCCCTATAATGTTCAAAGAACATCGTGCGTCCCTAGGGAGGATAAGGATAGGAGGTAGGTATTGGATTTTTTTTTGAACTTCTGGAGATTATATGTTGTTGGGAATACTTCCTCAGGCAATGAATTCTTGTTGGTGTAGATAATGGTATCCAAGAATTACATCATAACCCATTGAAAAAGTCATAATCTGCTTACAAATAGTTATTACACAGGGTGAGTCGGGAAGTCAGTAAACTTATTAACCTTATTAAAGAGTGTATTCTACACATGAAAAAAAATCTCAACTTTATGAGGTTCTTTTGGACCTTGAGTTGGTGGAGTATTTCCAGTGGGGTGTTCATGGAACTTTTTTCTTGAAAAAAAAAATGTAAAGTTGAATAGGTAAGAACATTTCAATTTCCATTTTGAGAATACCTATACTCCCAGGGTTTGGTAGTTGCGTTCCCCTCATCTCACCTTGTATATATTGACAATTATAATGAGCAGACAATGATAATGAGAATAATGAGTTGGTATGGTCATTGTCAATGACAACCTAGTTAGGTAGTTAGTAGGCGGTACCTCCTGGCATACTAGTCTGCTGTTGCATGGCCTAGTAGGTTTCCATTTAGATCAACAATGGTATGGGTATACCCGTTACCACCGATACAACAAGGCCAGCAGACTCTGACGTAAACAGCTCGTGACGTCACCAAGAGAGGCCAGTGTTTTATTTTATCGCTTGTCGACTAACGCGTCAGTTCGTGTTAATTCATCGGTGATTCACGTATGTTTTTGAAACGGTCCCGAATTCTTTTGTTGTTTATTCATCAAAATAATTGGCGGAAAAATTACTGTTTTGTGAAATATTTTGTGTTGTGATCGGCGAAATAACAATGCCTTTAAAGTGTTGTGTTCCCTTATGTCGGGGGAATTATGTGGATGGTTCAAAAGTTCATGCTTTTAATTTCCCGTTGGACGAGCAGCTATCGAAAATGTGGGTATATGCAATTCACCGCGAGGATTTTACTCCATCTAAGTTCAGTAGTAAACAGAGCTTAATTTATAATGATGAATTAATAATAGAAGACAATTACTCTCTCATAAAAAGTATAAGTAGAGGAAAAATAGAAAAGCTTTGATTGTGCAGTTAGTTTTGTATTCGTATATTATAGTCAACAAAATCATCTCTGAATTCGAGGAAATTTTCTTGAATGTTCATAATAAACGGGCATTTTTAATTCTCATTCTCAAATTTCTTTCTGAAAACGGTCTCGTGGCAATGAATGCAGAATTCATTCCCATGATCAAATTGCAACTATCATATTAACATGAACTACAAACACTCTACTTAAAAAGGTAAAACTGCATTTATCATGATATTTATCATGAAGATATTTGTCTAAAAAGTTCCAAATCTTCCTTCTTTTTCACCTGTCTTCTGGATGGCATTTAGAACAAATTTCCCTTCTTTTTTCATCATATTGGACAACTTATATATAATTCAACTATAAATATGATTTGCTTGAGATTAATCCATATTTAGTGAAAAGAAGGAAGAATATCATTCAAAATAATGGCGTGTGTAATGTCATTCGAAAGCAATCTATTGACATTTGACATCTCGTATTTTGATTGACTATTGATTAAATGGTCGTCATCTGGAATGCTTGTTCACTAAATATGAAAAACTCGCCGTAAAAATCATATTTCCTGTTGAATTTTCTATATAAAAATATGCCATCGAAGTACATCATGAGTATATAAAGTGTCCAATGACAAAATAAGAGCAAGTAGCTTCAAATGCCCCCAACACAAGGGCAAGGGGAGAAAGAATGCGAAATTTCGAACTTTTTCTTGAAATATCTCAATAAATAGTGGTTTGTTCACATTTTCATTATAAAATTCGGTTTATCAGACAAAAATACGTGAGTACCGAAAAAAATTTTCAAAAAAAAAACCATCGCATGATAAATGCAGTTTTACCCTTAAAAACTACAGTTTCAAGTGTAACGATCCACTTGGGTGAAAAATCCAACAACAGAAAATTGAAAACACTCACTGGTTATTTTTTCAGGTAATAGGAATTCTCCTAGATAAATATAGGTAATTGTAACAAACGGCATTTCAATCAAAATAAAATACATTTTCCACAATTTTCTTTTGATCAATCTCACGATAAGTTTATGTTCTGCGGGCTCTGTATAAGTAGGTGTGAAGTTTACCTTAACCACAATTTTTGCCAATATATTTAATTCGAATGGGTTGCTGTAGGTGGATATTTGTGTTTTATCCTGGTTTTTGCTTTAAAACTTCGTTTTTCCATAATAAAGTGGAATGGGGTGCGAAGAAGGGCTCAGTTGAAGACTGGCATCCTTTTTTAACCGGAAGCCCTTCAAAAAACTGCAAAATCGGCTCAATGATGATGTAAAACTAAAATCGAAATACGCGGTCGGCTTATAGGGCTATAAGCGCTTGTCGTTTCGAGCCGCTGGTTAGGCCTCACTAAGTGACGTCACCCACGGAGCATGCAGGCCTTGTTGTATCGGTGGTAACGGTATACCGGGTAAGCCATTGTAGGTTGAAAATAGCAACCCAGATAGCTACACTGAAATTAAATGACACAATCAACCCATTTTATATTGTGAAAAATTTATATTCATCACTTAAATTGTTTTTTATAGCTGTTTGCCATTGCTGGAATATCAGTTTCAATATGGATGTTTGTGGACCCAACTATTCCACTACATTTCACTCAAGAGTCTAAGGACTATTTGATTTCCACAGTCATCATTCTTCTGGCTTCTATTATTCTTTTGATACTATCTATTTTGGGAATCTACAGTGTTGGCAAAGAAGTCCGAAAAGCTCTTGTTGTGGTAAGATTAGAATGAAATATCATCATATTGCTGTTGAAAGATAAATATTTGCTAACATTTTCAATTGAGATAATGGACCTTGAACTTTCAAATGGAATTCCTGAATCAGCATTTGGATTGCTGTCACAAGGCTGTCACTCATGGACAGGGCTGTTCCTGACCGAGAATAGGTCAAAATAGGTCGAAAATCACTTCAGATTTGGAATCAGGACGCCCAATTTACTAACTATTCAAATTTTTCCTGGAAAATTGTCAGTTCGGAAAAATGAAATTTTGTCGCATTTTTTATGGAAGCACCCTCGTATCTCATGTAATTTACTTTATCTTTGGACTTTCTCTTCCTCCGGCAAATTTCAGAACCCTGCCTCAATAATTACGTGAGATACGGCGGTGCTTCCATAAAAAATGCGACAAAATTTCATTTTTCCGAACTGAAAATTTTCCAGGAAAAATTTGAATAGTTAGTAAATTGGGCGTCCTGATTCCAAATCTGAAGTGATTTTCGACCTATTTTGACTCCTAATATCATTTTCCGGAAATTGGGGTAGTTTCATAGCTGTTGGCGAGCAGTGTATATCACTGAAGATGACCCCACTTGGTCATAGAGTGCATTTTTGGTATATCTCTCGCTCCAGCAAATTTCAGGATCCTTACCCAACGATTACGTAAGATACAGGGGTGGTTCCATTAGAAGTGGGTCACACTGTATACAGGGTGTCCCTAGACCAGTGGGACAGTTGAATATCTCCTGAACCAATAGGAATTTTCAAAATATTATAATTTCACATCATATCGCATTATGAGTGCTAACTTCAGGAATGACTATATTTTCTACGAGGGGCGCAAGAAAGGCTCGCAAAATCGAACATCAATTTTTTCAAATGGAACACCCTGTATTTCATTGCATTTTCATATTCTCCTTGAAGAGCTGAATTCAACGACCTAGCACACTTGGGGTCTAGCGGGAATGAAGCATTTTCATATTCTCCTTGAAGAGCTGAATTCAACGACTGACTGAAACTGAGAATTCTACACCACCCTGTATTTGTTTCAATTAAATACGAGTAAATAGTAAATCAAAAGTTGACATATGGACATGTAAGCCGTTTTGACCAATAATGAATAGTTTTGACACAAAAAATTCCCAAAAATGAAAAATCTCGATTTTTCACCCCCCATATCTCGGATATCATTCCCGCTAGACCCCAAGTGTGCTAGGTCGTTGCATTCAGCTCTTCAAGGAGAATATGAAAATGCAATGAAATGGGTGTTCCATTTGAAAAAATTGATGTTCGATTTTGTGAGCCTTTCTTGCGCCCCTCGTATAAAATATACTCATTCCTGAAGTTAGCACTCATAATGCGATATGATGTGAAATTATAATATTTTGAAAATTCCTATTGGTTTAGGAGATATTCAACTGTCCCACTGGTCTAGGGACACCCTGTATATATATATATATATATATATACATATACAGTATGATGCAAATGTATGGAATTAATTCATTATTTCAGAAATGGGCGACATTTGAAAAAATTCCAAAAACACGTGAGGTTTCATTTTTGAAGCCTCATCTCATGATATCCATATGAGAGATATTACGTCACCGGTGTTGGAGTAATGACGTAATGAACGATTTTTTCAAATGAAAACAGGGGTCATGTGACACCTCGTTTGAAAGGTCTACTGATCGTCTATTCAACAGTCAAGATTTTGCGTAAGAAAATTGAAATTAAAATGGATTATCATTTGATTAACTGAATCTTACAGAGGTCTGCTACTGAGAATTGAACAACGAAGGGTCGTCTATTTAAAAAAATACATCAATTGATAAAGTTCTGAAGTCTAGTTTTTGGATTTTTTCGGAAGTCGTCTTGTTTTGAAATAAATTTATTCCAGAATGCCTTCCTGTCTATTTTTTTGCTCTGGAGTAGCTCTGGTGTTACCCACACAGTCAAATAGAAAGTGCCTTCATCAAAAAGTGCTTTGGTACCATAGATCTAAATATACACTTGGTACTGAACATCTTCAAATAGTACTAAATCTAGTACTAAAGTAATGACTGGAACAGCCCTGCTCATGGATCTATGGGGAATATAATAGTTTTATTATTGTCAATATATGTCAGTACTTGTTACAAGGATGGACAGAACCATCCTTCCTTCTTGTTACCATACAATTTTATTTCATTTTCGGGGTCGTCAAGGTCATTAGATGATGTGATGACAGTAAAAACTACAGGAAAACATCACTCCTATCACTCCCACTCCTGAATGTCATAGATTAAAAGTTAGACATATTTTTCTATAGTTTTCAATGTCATCACAACATCATCTAATGACCTTGGCGACGGCTTTTTTAAAAAAATTGCAGTTAGTGAAATTTGGCACTGCCAAATCCGAAATGTAATCAACTTCATTATTCCCAAGAAACCCATTTGATAATTTTGTTGAATTATTAATTCATCAATGTTTCTCCATGATTTTATAAAACTTGAACATTGCACTGGACTATTTTAGTGAAGTTGAAAATGTGCATGTTTTTTATTAATTGCTCTGAACAAAAATATGGCATTAAATGTTCATAAACAGTCATGAATAAAGTAATTAAATAATCAATTTTGATCGGTTGCCGAAAATATTGAACCTACCATCACCTAGCTTAAAAATCGGCAATAATGTCCTATTGTCATAACAAAGGTCATAACTGATAACAGATATTTTTTGTTCCATTAATATTAAGGGACCTTTACTGTTCAAAGATATGATAAAATGAAATTGGTATAATAGTTATTTATGTATCCAGGGTGTAAAGTAGGCTTTTATGGACCTCAGCATGTAAATAAGAGCCTGAGCGATCCTCCAGGGCTATTAAAACGCGTAGGTCCATAAAAGCAAGTTACGCCCGAATTACATATAACATTTTATGCACGACCATTTTAGACATTTATTTACTGTCAATATGGAGTTTATCAGTTAACGCCCCCTGTACTCCTTTTTCATCCTAGGATCCTCAAGTGCTACTTTACGCCCGCGAATCCGGGCGAGAAAGTACCATTTTATGCCCGGTCGCCCATAAAGAAAATTAAATTTCTATAAAGGCTCCATATATCTCAACAGTAGGTATACAGAGTGTCCCTACACTATTTAGACTGGCATTTTTGAGGAAACTGTTGATCCAAAAATTGAGTTGATATCTGAGAGCCTTTTTAGGATTTTTTCAATGACTCATTTGGATCGTGTTTTCAAAAATTTTCAAAGATTCCCAAAACATGCCGATCTAATTGGATAGACACTTTGTATAAATCAACTCACAGTGATGTCATTATAGAACCCTGTAATATTACTAAACATTTACATGGTAACTTCATTTTTCCAGTCTTTCTGCCTTCTTTTGATCATTGTGGTTGCTGAAATTGCGGCAGGTGTTTGGGGTTACATTAACAGAGAAGGTTTGGAAGCCCATATCCGGGCTTCTGTTAAGAGCACTGTGAGAGATGATTATGTCAATGATCAGAATATCAGGGATCTGTTTGATGCTATCCAATCAAAGGTTAGTTGTCATTTGTAGTTTTGTTGACTTTTCATATTTATTCACAGGAATCAATGTTACCAGGTGGGTTCTCGGTTTTCATCGTTCCATGTCAAAGCCACGTCAAAACTGGGGGAAAACAAACTCAAACCTCACTCAATCCCATTAGTGCCATTAGCTTGTGTTCTGTGTACTGATAAGAGTGATAAGTTTTTAAATTTCTTGACATTAGTTGTCAATATTCGATCGAAAATGCCTGTTGTAGATGTTCCTTTGGCAGATATTTTGCTCTATTTAGATGGAAAAAGCCGACCAGTAGTTGAAGGAGAATCAGTTCTCCGTGCTAATCATGTGATTTTGTGTGAGGCAGAAGACTTCAACAAAAGGCACATTTTTACACTTTGTCTACAAACTTCGGCGATGAATAAGTAAAATTGAGGTTGGGGTCCAGGGTGTTATATAGATTTACCATTGAGTTCATTGAGTAACTTGTGAAAACAAGGGATGTATGATATTATTGATTAGTTACGGAATAAACAAATTCAGAGACGTTGGTACATTTTTCAATTCTACATTTTCCGATTACATACACAACAGTTTTGGCGACGAGGATAGAAAAGTATATAGGTAGACCCACATACAGAATGCCAGAAGGTAATGGAACTACAGTTGTACCTTCATCAACGGCGCAAATACAGACGTCCTTCAATATTGAAGCATTTGAGCCAACAACGATGAATTGGAGAAGATGGCTTCAACGTTTAGAAGGTGCGTTCAAAATATTTCAAGTGGCTAGTCATGTCCGTGTGCATTACTTGTTGCACTACATGGGAAGTAATTCGTTCGAGATTATTTGCAACAAGATAGCACCAGAAGATCCTTACACGAAAACTTTCGAAGAGATAGTAGAAAAACTTGAACAGTTCTACTCTCCAGCTCCTTTAGAAATCGCAAAAAATTTTCGCTTTCACCAAAGGAACCAGAGGGAGAATGAAAGCCTACAAGAATTTATTGCTGCTTTACAGAAACTTTCAATCTACTGTAATTTTGGTACGTACCTGAAAACAGCACTAAGAAATCAGTTTGTTTTTGGGATTACAAGCAAGAGAATACAATCCAGATTATTGGAAGCTACAGAGTTAGATTTTGACAAAGCCGTCAAAATTGCTGTCAGCATGGAACTGTCAGAAAAAGATGCACATCAGCTACAGAGTGTACGAAATACAGGTGTTTCTACAAACATCAACTACATGGGGACCAAGTCGGAGTCGAAGAACAGATGCAGTACATTGACGAAGAGATCTATACATTCAAATGATACAAGGCCAAATAAATGTATTAATTCTATAATTAAATGTTACAGATGCGGTGGTGGGCATCTAGCTACGAACTGCAAAATGGATAAGAATATTCAATGCAGAGGATGTGGAGTTCGGGGACATCTGCAGAAGGTATGCATGCGGAAAATGTCTCAAACCACTAACCAAGTTGAAGAAGTTCAGGTAGAGGAGATTTTACAGATGGAACATCCAGAATATAGGAATAAATTTCTTACTACGTTGGAAATTAATGGTAAAACAATCGAAATCGAGGTTGACAGTGGTGCAGCTGTTACCTTGATGGGTAAGAACCATTTTATGTCTTTATTCCCCTTATCGTCCATCAACAGTACGGATTTGAAATTGATTAGCTATTGTAAAACTTCATTTCCGCTTCTTGGTTTTGTTACAGTAAATGTTAAATACAAAAATATTATGAAAGATTTGAATCTCTATCTAACAAACAATGATAGAGAACCCCTCTTAGGTAGAGAATGGATACATCAATTACATGTACAATTGGGAGAATTGAATGCTATTTGTTTAGATTCAGATAAGGATTTAGATGTTCTTAAAACCAAGTACCAAAGTATATTCGAACCCCGCTTATCAAAAATAACAGGTATTCAAGCCAAACTACATTTGAAACCTAATGCTAAACCTGTATTCTTGAAAGCTCGTACTTTACCATTCAAATTGATTCCACTAGTTGAGAAACAGTTGGAAGACTTAGTTGATGCAGGAATTTTTGAGAAAGTTAGCTCGTCAGAATGGGCAACACCAGTTGTACCTATTCTGAAGAGCAATAATACAGTGCGTTTATGTGGAGATTTTAGTGTTACAGTAAATCCACAGCTAATAATCGATGATCATCCTTTACCATCAACGGATGAGCTTTTCTCATCAATGGCCGGAGGCCAGACATTTTCGAAAATTGATTTACGTCAGGCATATTTACAAATGGAAGTCATTCCTGAAGATAGACACTTGCTTACAATAAATACACATAGAGGTTTGTTTCGTTGTAATCGACTTTTGTATGGCATTGCATCTGCACCTGCAATTTGGCAGCGGGAAATTGAGATAATTTTACAAGGCATACAAGGTGTATCAATTTTTTTAGATGACATAAAAATTACGGGGCCTACGAAAGAAATACACTTACGAAGACTCGAAAACGTTTTCCAGAGATTACAACAGTACAATATTACAGTAAATATTGAAAAAAGTGAATTTTTCAAAGATCAGATTCAGTACTGTGGTTATGTAATTGATAAACATGGTGTTCATAAAGATCGTAAAAAAATTGATGCCATAAATAACATGCCCAGACCCACAAACATCGGAGAGTTGAGGGCTTTCATAGGCATGATCAATTATTACGGGAGGTTTATCAAGAATTTGAGTTCTATACTATACCCTTTGAATAGACTTTTATGTAAAAATGTTTCATTCAATTGGTCAAAAGAATCGGAGGATGCTTTCCTCAAAGCTAAAGATGCCTTTCAAAGTGATGAATTTTTGGTACATTTCGATACAAAACTACCACTACTAGTAGCTGCAGATGCAAGTTCATACGGGGTGGGAGCTGTTTTATCACATTCATATCCAGATGGCACAGAAAGAGTTATACAGTACGCCTCACAAACACTCTCGGATACCCAAAGGAAATATTCACAAATCGACAAGGAAGCTTATGCTATAATTTTTGCCGTAAAGAAATTTCATCAATATTTATTTGGAAATAAATTTACATTGATTTCAGATAGTAGACCTTTAGTTCAGATTTTTTCATCTTCAAATAGGTTACCAGTTTACAGTGCAATGCGAATGCAACATTATGCAATATTTTTGAAAGGTTTCAACTATGATATCAGATACAAAAATACAAAATTACATGCGAATGCAGATTGTCTGTCCAGATTACCCATTAAACAAGAAAGTGGTTGTGATTTACAGGATGTAGTTGATATTTTTGAGATAGAAGTTATTGAAAGTTTACCAGTATCATTTGAAAATATAGCAGAAGCTACTAAAAATGATACCGATTTGAATGAACTGTTGATAAGTTTACAAACTGGAAAAGAATTGACAAAGAAAAATAGATTTAAAATGCCCATATCAGAGTTTAGTCTACAGCAAGGTGTAATCATGCGAGGGCATAGAGTTGTGATACCAAAAGCATTACAACAGAAAATGCTATCAGAATTACATACAGGGCATTTTGGTGTTGTTAAAATGAAAGGTTTGGCCAGGGGTTACTGTTGGTGGTCAGGAATTGATTCAGATATTGATCAATTAGTTCAAAATTGTGCTCATTGCAATGAGGTAAGGAACAATCCTTCAAAAGTACAACCACACATCTGGGAACCTTCAACGGAACCATTCCAAAGAGTACATGCAGATTTTGCATCTTTCATGGAATACAATTTTTTCATTTTAGTAGATTCATTCACAAAATGGCCCGAAGTGTATATTGTGAGTAATATTACAGCCTCTACTACAGTAAAAAAATGTCGAGAAATTTTTGCACAATTCGGGTTACCGAAATATTTTGTGTCAGACAATGCAGCGACTTTTACTTCACGAGAATTTCAAAATTTTCTGAAAGTGAATGGAATCATTTCCAAATTCACAGCACCCTACTGCCCATCTACAAATGGTCAAGCGGAGCGCTTTGTACAAACCTTAAAAAAATCGTTGAAATCCATAAAAAGCAATAATTCCTGTTTTGACATACATGCAGCTTTACAAAAAGTTTTGTTACAATATCGTATAATGCCGCATTCTTCAACAAACATGTCACCATCTAAACTTCTTTTCGGAAGGCAAATCAAATGCAGGTTAGATTTAGTTTTACCAAGTCAGATGAGTAACACTACATCAACTGTTAATTCTTCACTGAAATGTAGAGAGTTTAAGGGGGGAGAAAGAGTGGAATGTCGGAATTATATTGGTACACGAAAATGGATATTTGGAACAATAGAGAAAAGATTAGGGAAACTACATTATACAATCTTAACTGATGATGGACGATGTTGGAAAAGGCATATTAATCAATTACGTTCAATCGGAAGTAATACTACCACTAGAGATATGGAGTCGGATGAAAATAATCTCGACTATTTCATGCCATATGAGACTGAAGAACCTCAAACTAGAAGTACTAATGAACCTGTATCTTCAAAGTCTGAAGACATACCAACTGTAGAGCCTCAAGCAGATTTTCCCGAACCTCCGCTCCATGAGCAGCCAGAAGCTACCACCGCATGTAGACTTAGGAGGGCTAGAAGGAAGCCTTCTCATTTGAATGATTTTCAACTGTTTTGAATTGTTATTTTTCAATAATTATATCACGTATCTCTTTGTGAGGAGGGGAAATGTTATATAGATTTACCATTGAGTTCATTGAGTAACTTGTGAAAACAAGGGATGTATGATATTATTGATTAGTTACGGAATAAACAAATTCAGAGACGTTGGTACATTTTTCAATTCTACATTTTCCGATTACATACACAACACAGGGGACCTCCTGTAGAACAATGGATTTGTATTTGTTCCTGCAAAGCAGGACAATCTGGGTATTGTAAGCATGTTGTAGCTGTCAATTGATTCGCTCGTCATAATTAGTTTAAATTGTATGAACTATCTCCAATTCTTCACCCGTTCATTGTTCACTAAACTAATAAAAATGTAATAATGTGAAGGAATTAACCAACTCAACCATCATCACTACCAACAGTGCCATGTCATTGACAAGTTTGACTACAGCTACATGGCTATGCACTTTATCCATAGACAACAGTTTGTTTTCCCCCAGTTTGAAGTTCGTATTATGTAACCTAGATGTCGCCCACTTCGTGAATCTCGCGAATACACTGACCCAAATCAATTGATTTTCGCTGAGTCACATTAGCTATTTTAATGATTTCCTGAAAAGGTACAGTCGTATTCAATAAAAGAGCGTACAAGTATTAAACATAGAAGATTTCGGCATTCTAGTTCTCGTTGTGTTAAATTGGCTCAGCCAATAATGCTTTGTGTTTTTGAGAACCTATGATGACTCTACTGTTAACATTTGGTAAAAATTCATTCCCGATAGCCCGTTTTACGTAAATAGGATGACGTTAATTTCTCCCTCCAATATACTTGTACGCTTTTTTTTAATACGACTGTACATACCTATCAAACAATGAGCATAAGTGGTAATAATGAAAGGAAGTATCATCTATGCTGAAATTGATGAAACATAGCGTAAATCAAAGAAATGAGATGAACTCGACCCAAATCATCATTGATATTAAAAAGACATTACTGCAGACAGGTTCATGCTATTATGTGATTTCAATTGTTGATGTATTGATCTATCTTATTAATAAAGAATAATTATCTAATATTCCCTTTGACTGAAAAGATAGAGTTGTAATCTTAGGCAATCGCCTTCCATTGGCGATAGGGGGGGGGGGGTAAATATCCAATAATCAGGTACCTATATAATTTACAGGGTGGTCCTCTTTATAGTTGCAGACGGTGAACAATCGGTAGATGTTCATTGAAGAATAATTGAATTGAAAATATACAAGGTGGGCCAAAAGAAGTCATACGATGTTGTTTGGCTCTCATTTTTTCTCTAAATGAAAAAATTTGATTCTGTTTTTTGATACCCTGTGTCACCAGCTATGTTCTATATACATGATGAAACACATTTATATTGCCCTAACCACGCTTCTGGTATGGACAGCTGAAAATTACTATGAATGTATTTGCTCACAGATACTCGGTACTTATGTCAGTTATGTCACCAGAATATCTTGTATTTTTGTTGACGGTTTCCTAGTATTCTTATTGAAGGAAAATAATTTTTTTCATTCAACTTGAATGTTTATAAGAAGTATTCGTCTTGAAATAGGGTTTTCTATCAACTGTAAAAGTTGTGTTACTAGACTCGCCAGCAAAAAAAAACCGGCCACCAAAAAATTTTGCCAAATTACTCGCCCCGATTTACTTCATTTCTTTCTTTTCTAACTCTCCCCCATTACTTGGGTGCGCGTCTGTCGCCTTCTGTTTTTGGTGTAACTTACCCTGGTGCTGGTAGCTATCATTACATGATCATTCCATGGAATACTAGCGTGCGGAAAAAACCAAGTGTTAACATGAAGAAACATTTATTATTAAATACTTTTATGAAGATAAATTTCGTCAGGTGCTTCATTTATAAACTGGAATATTTCTTCTTTCAAGAAAATTTTCGCCTTTTTTTGGCCCAAATCCAATGTTTTGTTTGTTTATATATGCCGTGACATTAAAAAACTTGCTCAAATCGAGTTTTTTTATTAGTTTGATTACATTTTCTAATATTGAGTACCTGGACCAAAGAGTGTTTGGCTTGCATGTTTTGGAAATTTCAGCGAAATAAGCCAAAGAAACGTCTTCTTTGAAACGTTTGATTCCCTTATTCTGGCACCAGTTTTCAAAAAAATTATATTCCTTTCCATATCTGTGACGGGATTTTGATGGTATAGTGAAAGTTTGCATTGTTTCCCTGTGTCTTCCCAAATTTTTGATTTCAAATGCAAAATTGATTGGCCTATTATTCAGATGCACTGCTGTGGCGCCGAGAGGCCGACCGATTGGACCCGCGGCAAAGAATTCAATATGGCCGTCTCCGCAAACGCCAAATTATTTTCTATCCCGGCCAGCTGTTGCCGAGAAAACATGTCTTCACAAAGGTGCCTCGAAGCCATCACAGATCTGAAAGTGGGCAGCGAGCCTGACAAAACCGTAATTTACGATAACGGTTGCTACACACTGATTCTCGATAAATTGAAGGAGAGCGTTTGTATCATTCTGATAGTGGGAGGGGCTATTCTTTCCGTCCAGCTCCTGGGTTTGATTTTGGGTTTGATTCTCGCTTGTTCCATGAACAGACCTCACAGATATAAGGCCTAAAGTGGTAGGTAAATGGTTTGTTGTGGTAGCAGTGGAGTGAATCTGAGGCTGGAAAATTGAGTTCTGAAAACTTTGGCCATGTTTGGTGAACAACAAGATGAGTTCATATTTCATTAAATCTCTCCAGTTCTATTGGTCCTATCACAGTTGACTCCATGTATGTAGTCTCGTTCTCAACTAGGCAACACTGCAGCACTGCACAGCCTACTATAGTCTTTGATTCAGAGTGATAGGATTTTAATTTTGAATAAAACAACAAAGGTTTGACATATCAACTTCATTCCTGCTTTATTCCGCCAAGAAAATAAACCAAGGGTGTCAAATCACATCACCTTGACGGCCAATTCACAAATCCTCGAACATTACTGCATTGTCCAAACTCTAAAATAAAGCAGGAATTAAGTTGATATGTCAAACTTCTGTTGTTTAATCCAAAATTAAAATCCTATCATTCTTTATGATGAAACACCCTTTACATCCCAGATAAGAATAAAGTGAATGGCATGGGCAGAGCCCGCTTTACACTAGCGAACCCGCTAAATATAAATATTTGAGAATGCTTGCAGAGTTTAGTGATGAACCAACTATATATTTGTGTAATGACATCGATAATTTATTGGGCAGAATACAAAATAAATGAAATCTTTAGTTTTTGAGTGAATAACACAATATTGATTTTGATAGTTGAAATTGAGGTTATAGTATCTTGTTTGTGGCTAATAGACCTTTTGCGGCTGACTAAGGAAGTAAAACCGAATTCGTGTCCTGGTATTATTATACGACATTAATGATATAATCACCATATAAACCTTTGCTGGTAAATAATATATCAACTTTCAATTTTATTCAAGACTGTTGATAGATACCCGACCGGTAAACTAACCACTTCCATTTTTCATTATCAATAACGATATCGCTAGTGTGAACTAAGCGAGGTCAAACAGTGCCTATTTCATTACACACTTTATTCTCAACTGGAATGTACTCTGATGGTCCAATCTGGAAAAGAAATATAATATTTATTTTTTTTATCAATTCTACTGTACATATTGTACGTACAACTAACAATACACAACCATTTAGTTACATAATATCTCGTAAACTATGTTATAAAAACAAAATTGAGAGATGAATACAAATGGCATCTTTGCCTTCATTTGAATATTCAGTTGAACCTTGGGGTCTCCAGTTTTCGGTATGAAATTTCAAATGGGACATTTTTTCCTTTGTTCATAGTATGTGTTTCAGTTTTGTAAGCAGTACTTTGAACACTTCTTGAATACCAAACTTCTGCTACCCCTGGCATCGTAAATTAATTTGTCAATAAAAAACACCATACAGGTTCTTTCCAAAAGTATACCTAACACTTACCTTGTTAGTTGAATGAAAATAAAATCACTGTCCTCAAGGGAAGCCCAGATTTACTCCACTACAGGGTCGGATTTTCAAATTGTTTTATGAGAAACACCTTTGAAAATCAAGAAGATGAATCTATATCTATAGTTAGTTTATCATTCTTTGACTCACCAATACTCATACGTACAAAATACTTTGAACTGTTTGTTTTGAATCTCTACAAATACCTTATTTTCTGATGATGTTTATGCCAAAAAAGTTTATATATTCTATGAAACATTATACTATTTATAGTATTCTTCAAGAAAAAAATATATTGATGTATATGTGCCATATTAATATATTGGTCCAATGACCTGTTGGACCCGTATATCTTCTCTGCTTAGCCCTGCAGTACTCATCCATCTATTACTCAGTACACAAACTCCAAACATAAAAAAGATGTTAATGCTGGCTGAAAACTTGAATCTAACAGAATCATCAATGACAACATAATGTTCACAACCATTCATGTCATGTAAACATCACTTTGTAAACTTGGAAAGTAAATATGGTGAATACCATTACTACTTGCCAGAGTAACTCATAATAGTGACGTCAATGCGATAATTGAGCTTGATTTGAGACAGTAAACTTCAAAAGTGAATCGAAATGGTTGAAAATAAAATAGTGTTTCTGCTATCTCCAATCTAGTTATTTCTGGATTCGTATCGTTATGTTATAACAAGTATAACATATACCGGATTTGGTGAAATTGTTATCGCACGGTCAGACAAACAAAAGAGGAAGATAATATGTATAGTTTGACTTGCCAAAGAAGTCCTGGGACAAAAGGGTGAGGATGAAGTCGTTCAGTCCTTAGAGCCTAGAGTATTTAAGCAATTCGGTTTCGCAGATGACGTCGATTTAATCTAGTCATGAACGATATGGCTGACTGCACTTTTGAACTAATACCATCATTGCTATCAAGTGCTCGAAATTTCGTTTTTAGATTCATTCTTTCCAGCGGTCATCTTTCAGAAGTCAAACTATACTTAGGTGGAAATCGTTATTAGTATCTCGAAGTTCAGTTGACGTCGTCAGTTATCTTAATTCTCAGCAGCAATATGTACCTAATTTACTATTGTTGCATTTGTAGATTGCTCAATTGACAAATAAGTATAAAATAAGCTATTTATGGCAAACTCCTCTCATTGGCAGAGTGCTGATTCTTCAGTAAATTTGACTTGCAAAACCATTTATGGAATCATGCCATCTTTGAAATATTTCTGCTTGATTAGTGAAATTTGAATGAAGAAATTGAATTATACTGAGATTGTATGTATAATGTGAAATTGGAAAAATATATTTTCTTGAGTTTTGATGAAGATTAGATGTCGGAGTACTGCTTGGTTAAAAATATCAGTGTTTAGTACCTACTGAAAATGCTTTACGAATGTGTATTGATACGATGCGAATCTCGAATATTTATCGATCTATTTAGTTTTTCACAGTACTTACGTAAACTAATTTTAGTGACTATCCATGATATAATTATTAACTGATATTTATATTATTAAGTTTTTTTTTTCCTCACTGCCTCACTGTTAACATTCCAGTGTTATTATTTGCTCTGTCACTTTTGTCGTTATTTAATCGCTAATTTACGCTACAGACAACTTTTGTCAATTCTGTAATATCAAAATTGAATTTTCGAACTCTTATATTATTATATAAGCTGTTAGTTTCCAAGTAATTACCTTCTACTCAATTCCCTACATATTGCCGAATAGGCAAATTGCACTTAGGTGACATTTATTTACCAACAAATTCAAGTGAACAAAATATCTCAGTCAGGTTAGGTTAGGTTCATCGATATCCGATTTTGAAAAATAAAAAAGCAGATGAAATTAATCATCAGATACTATGAGTAGGCTGTGAGCTAATTTGTCTTACATCATTGTATTCAGAAAAGAAAATCAAACAATAACAAGTTCCTGAAGTTACATTTCAAATTTGAAGAAAATAATCAGAGCATACTCATAGTAGCTTTTTTGTTCTTCGAAATCGGATAGTTAGTTTTTTGTCAATCAGCCTGTATGTCCACCAAAATTCGATCATTGATATTCTGGTTGTGATTTGCAAGATAAAATAATTGTTAGCATTGCTGCTTGATGATTCCTTGATTTGGTCAGAACTCTATTATATGCATATGGAATGATACATAGTTGCTTTGCTTTGAATATTAATTAACACAACATTTTGTATTTTGGAAGAGATGCTTTGTTTTACAGATAGCTTTAACTGTTAGTTGTTAAACAAGCACATAATATAATGAAACATGTAGTCAAACGTTAGTCGGTATATTGTAATATAGAGATTCATAATAGGTGTAATTCACCCCTTACCCCATTTTGAGACTGTTTGTAGATGTGCCAAATGATGAGTCATCGTATACAAGGTAATCTCGATTATATGAAAATATTGAAATGTTTTTAATTTGACCATGATGATTATTCTTATACAGGGTTGTACATTACTAGTGCTAATATGGCTAGGGGCGTCCGCACGAATAATCTCAGGGGGGGCATGTCGTCATAATAATGTACAGTATATAGGTATTTAGTTCATTCTATATAAAACATGAGAATGAAAAAAAAACTGGATAAATGAATTCATCATCACACATTACGAGTTGTAGGGGAAAAGTTGCAATTATTATGAATATAGGTATGGATGGAAAGAAAGTCTCACACTCTCTGCATGGAAAGTTTTCTCCAGACTAGTCCACACTTGAATTTATTCACTCGGCATCATTCATTTTACAAGTATCATGTAAAATATCTGCTACATAACTACCATTGTTTTTAAAACTACTGCTTTTTTATCTAGATCATTCAATTTATTCATTCAAGCAAAAAGTCGAATAATTTTGTAAGTCTCATCTGAGTGACCAACAAAATAGGGATTGAATGCAGCAAATCTATCTATTAATTGAGAATGTATCCGAGTAAGGATAAGGCGCTTGGGTGGGGCATGCGTCTCCCCCCCCCTTTGTCCCCCTCCCCTCCGGACGCCCCTGAATATGGCAGTTTGGAATTATCCCTTGAATAGATGCCGCATGTTTAGGAAACAACCTGTATTCAGGACACATTAAGTATATTGATTCACCCTGTATTCCCTGATTTCACAGTGTATCAGATAAGTACATAACATCGGAGTTGTATAGAAGCAGTTGTAGATTTCTTTTGTCGTTTTATTGTGTGTATAAAGGAACTAATTGGATGACCTTATGTTGTCTGTCTTTCCTTATTATTGTTCAGTATATTGAAGTTGTTTTAGATAAGATATCGTTCTAGCTACAGGAAGTTTGAATATAAGTTGTTATAATACAGCAAAAATAAGGAAGATGAACAGAGCGTCTATAAAATTGTTCAAATAATGATCATATAATTTATGACTAATAATAATCAGATATTAGATGGATATTAGGTAAAATTGTAAATAAAAAAAACCTTACTTTCTGTTCATTCTGTCTCACTACTGGACATATACCTTTTTCCATTGCACTTATGTCTCTCCATACTGGATTAATTACAAATGATTGTTGAAGACAGAAAATATTGTTGAGTGCGGAAAAAGTTCTAGTGGAGAATGGGTATAAAAAATCGCCGGTAAAATTTTGTTCTATGTATAATATTATTTCATTATTATTTGATATCATCAACATAATATTTCTGTACATTTGAAGTTGAAAGGAGAATCTATTTTTATACAACAGACAGGGTTGAGAGAAGAGGTAGACATAATTATTATTATTCAGATCTGAATGTCTGATTATTTCTAAATTCCGGAATGTGCACAGATGTATCAAAATTGTGTTGTCCTAATATGATTTATGAATAATGTACTAAAAATATTTGAGAGGTACCTACCTATTATAGTTATTATAATAATTATTTATTTTTGTCTCGTTTTTATGAATAAAATTTGAATTGTGAGAATTTTTTTCATTCTGATATTCACCAAGTGGCCACGTTTATACCCTATGGAGATTTATTGGTATCGGATTCCTTCTTGTCTCGCTGCATTTTTTGTGAATTGTACAACAGCACAATATGATGGCATACTTGAAATTAATGAATAGCCGAAAATTGTGCTGTAATATTTTCAATCATTATCGATTTATTGTTATTATTAATCCCCTTATTTCTTGATCTAGAAAAAGTCAGTCTGCAATAAAAAAGTCGTCACATTCTGTCAATAAAAAAAGGTTCTGAAACAATTCGATGAGAATTAGAAACTGAAAATTTTGGTGACTTCTACATTTAACAGTGTTGTTTTCTGCAGAATATACAACTAGATTGTCATCTAAAACGACAATGGATATCAGGGTCCAAACAGTTTATTTCAAAGTTAAGTACGAGTTCTAAAGTGTTACATAATCATACACTTATACAGAAATTGGGCAAATCATACATACCTGAATCAGGGACACTGCCTCACCCAGTAATACTAAAAATCTCGCACACAAATCTTCGAAACGTTGATATCACAAATTTCGTTATTGATATCTCTATTTATATTTGTTTACTCAATCTTTCCTGAATTTCCGAATTCTGTTACACAAGTAAGGTTAGAATGTTTAAAAAAAGTAGTCTCCTTTCTTATGCAGAAGATATATTTTCCTTCTCCCCTGAAAAAAGTACTACTGTTGAGGCCGATAGTGGTTTGCTATTTTGATGATGGTTATTTTGTTTATAATAAGTTCTATCAACCTTGCGAGATTCAGAAGTGGGCGACATCTAGGTTACATAATACGAACTTCAAACTGGGGGAAAACAAACTGTTGTCTATAAATTGATGAAGTGCATAGACTACATTGCATACAGCTTGCTGTAGCTGTCAAACTTGTCAATGTCATAAAGTGTTGTCATGTGTGCTGTGTAATTTTTTCACATTATTAGATTTTTATTAGTGAAACAATTCGAACTAACTATGACAAGCAAATCAAAAAAGTACTGCTCAGTGCCTCAGTGCAATAATTATATTTCGGAAACTGTGTCTATGCATTTTTTTCCGAAAGATCCGAAGCTAGCTCAACAATGGAAAATATCTTTGAAAATTGGCAAGCCACTTACGAAATACATGTGTGTTTGCAGTGAACACTTCACTGATGATGATTTTACACCAGGTAGGCTGATGAACAAAATGTACATATAATTATTATCAAAAGTGAATGACCCTACTTTTATTATAGGCACTAGGGGGAAAAAGCTGAAAAGACTCAGACAAGATGTTATTCCATCTCAAAAAATACCGAAATTGAATTCCAAAACTTTCCCTAAGATGAGCCCATCCAGAAAAACAAGGTAATTTACAAAGGCACTGAAGGGCCACCTATATTCTTTCTTTTTTCGAATCCCGACTTTAAAAGTCCGAGCCCCGACTTCAATCTCGGGGTCCCGACTTTAAAGTCGGGGGTTCGACTTTATTCTCGGGATCCCGACTTTGAGAATTATTCCATCAGGGGAGTACCCTATCCAAGGGCAATTTTTATCAATAATGAATCCCACTTTTAAGACAGAAAATTCATTGTGCTTCTCACTGAAAGCCTCCAAAGCTCTTTCCTCATAGTTTCCCATGTTCAACAAATTTATTGGAGAATCCTTTTGGCCAAAATAAACGTTTTGCCTTTTCTTCCCAATTTGTTTTACTAGGTATATGTAAACAAAGAGTATATTGATGATCCTGAAAAAATATGTAATAGTCATTCATCATCATAGACACTTGATGAAAAAAAAAATATTCATGAGACAGCAAGACTTACAGCACACATCTAAGCATATATAATATTTCTCTACCTGTAACTCTAAGTTTTCTTAGATTTTTCCATTTATCAGAACCCTGCATACTCATTAAAGCTTTCAATACATCATCTTCGCCCAGTTTTTCAGAACATCTCTGCAACATAAATATAATCCCTGTGGGACCATAACTGCAGTATCTCATCAGAGATGAATTTAGACAAATGACCTGTTTCCAATATTTTTTTATCTGATGGCATGTCATAATGACAACGTTATGTCACTCAATTTTGATGACATAAGGAAGCTCATTATGGTACTAAGTACCATAATGAAATTCTATAAGGAAAACATGTAATGGTTTGATCAAAAAAGTTTATTCAAAATGCATAACTATGTACAAAACTATTTATTATAAATGGTAAAAGAACAATTACTACAATTTGTAATATTAATATAATGGCAAAGCACAGCTCACTCACCTACTAATATTTGAAACTACACAATACTTACTCCTTTAAAAATAGTTGTCATTGTGACATATGTCGAAAATGCAGTTTTTAATTTTTCGAAAATGTATTGATATAAATGCCATCAGATAAAATTTTGTATGTAATACGAATCATAAACAATCATTATGGCACACGCCGTGTTATCGGACTCGGCTACGCCTCGCCCGATAACATTCACGACTTGTACCATAATGATCGTCTTTATGATCCTTATTACATAAATAACTATTAAATGATGCTTTTCAGCATGAATTGCATAGGCTGGATATTTGCCATAAAATCATGAAACAAATTTAATACAACCTTTGTACCCCTTTTAAAGCTGCTTTACTGCAAAAAACTGAGATGGTGGATGATGGTTTGCTTGTAAATAAAGATGAAAGCACCAAAAATTACTCAACAATCATTTTCAGGATGATATTCATTACACTTCAATAACATTTTCAGATTTGTTTTATCCACTTCTGTGTTAGATTCATATTCCAGACGAGATTTTTTCTGGAAGTTCCAATAGTCCACAGCTCTTTCTGCAGAATAAAGCATTTCAACTTTCTTTTTTTCTTTACCCCACACTTGCTTCACGTCTGTACAACTTAGAGCATCTAGTTCCTGATTACTACAAACAAAAAGAATTATTTACAACAGACGAACATATTAGTGTTCTACAACATGTTTACAATACTGCCGTCGTAACGAAGAGGGCCGTATCTGCATATTTCATGATTTTGGGGTTAGATGTCAGCCCAATAGAATCGAGGACAAGAAATCTATTTATGTAGCTTAAAATGCCGTGTCTGTTTCAGAAATGCCTGAAAATACACTTACGTTTTTCCTAAAATTACGTCATGAGGAGGTAGTTGTATATTAGATTACCGTAACAGACATTTTGTAGGTGAAAAAACAGTATATGGTTATTTACCACGTTATAAGCTAATCATACGAGTTGATAATCAGATCCCTTTTTAGCTTAAAGAATCGTATCACAAACTCCTTACTTATAACACCGTATCTACTAGTTTGACATATCGATATTATAAATTTACCGGTGTCCGAGTCAGCAACAAACCTTACTACAATTTTCCAGTGAGAAAAAATACTTTGTTTATAGCGAGGTTTATAGTATCTTTCTTCCATAATTATTCTAGATGTTCTGTATAATGTTAGATACCTTGTTCATGATTAAAATATGTCTCTTTATTTTTTCTCTCAATTTAGCTTATAGAAGCGTAAGTGCATTTTTGATGCTTTTAAACTATATTTTTTGCATTTATCCGATCTCGATTCATTCATCATCATCAAAAAACTTGATACATATCAAAATCACAGAATGTGCTGTGTATTTTTGAGAAAAATAGAGTTTCAAAGTTATGCGCAGTTTACTCCAGACAGTGTTTTTGCAGATACGGTTCTCTCTATTACCACGGCAGAATACCCAGATTGTCCTGCTTTGCAGGAACAAATACAAACCCATTGTTCTACAGGAGTACCTCTGGACCCCAACTTCAATTTCACTTCATGTGGGGAAGATTTCATCGCCGAAGTTTGTAAACAGAGTGCAAAAATGTGCCTTTTGTTGAAGTTTTCTGCCTCACACAAAATTACATGGTTAGCAGGGAAAACTGCTTCTCCTTCCACTACATTCAAATAGAGCAAAATATCTGCCAAAAAAACATCTACAACATGCATTTTTAGCGTTTTCAGTCGAATATATTGACAATTATTGTTAAGAAATTTAAAAACATCGCTCTTATCAGTACACAGTACACAAGCTACTGGCATAATGGGATGGAGAAGGGATGGAGTGAGGATTGAGTTTGTTTTCCCCACTGTTTTCCCCCAGTTTTGACGTGGCTTTGACATGGAACGATAAAAACCGAGCGCCACCTGGTGACATTGATTCCCGCGAATAGGTAACTAAACCGATCAATAGGCGTTGATACCGACGTAGGGAAATAATAATGATGGAAGTAAGATATGGTGTGCGGGTGCGCGCATTCGACCAATATTACGTATTGAAAATTTCAGAAAAATCACTCGACCGCCTACGCCTACTATGATTTCTCTACGTCCACAACGAGCGAGACGTTCATTCTACATTTTCCCGCTAGATGGTGATGCTGCTATTGCTGCTGTGACGGGTGAAAAGAAAATGGCAGATGGCATTTTAGATACGCGGAACATATGAACCAGTGGGATTATTCAACTCTGAATTCGAAAAATCTGCGACAATTTCAAAACTAACATAATATATCATAATTGTGCAATGTCGCCATCTATTAGAAGATCGACGGAACCATTGCTCTCACTGTTCTCGAGAGGTCGAGTAAAATTTCTGAAACAAAAGTAATTACACCATATCTTACTTCCATCATTGAAATAATAATACGAAACTTGTCCATCCTTCACTTTCCGCCCTTATAGATTCAAAAAGTACCTCTCACTTTGGTCCCATTTTTGTTGAAAGGCAATGCGCCATATATAGAAATAGTAGATATATGAGGCTGTCGTTGGTTGTCGCATTGTCATTGTCAACTGTCTTTGGTCAGTGTGATCGTGATCGTTCATTTGTGCTGTGATCTGTGACACTGACTGCTGTGAAGTGTGAAGTGAGATGTGTTGTGATTGTTTACAAATTGACATTGATTGTCATCATCTGTATTTTTTCCATTTTTTCGGATAGCTACCTTTTAATTTATTAGCGTTTGTGAGTATTTATTAATAATATCATTATTATCATTGTCATTGAAGACTGGCAGATATTTCTTTGGTTTATTTCCACCATTGTTCGAATATGAATCGAATGTGAAACCTACACCAAAAGTTATCAAAACTTGAAATAGATGAACATTTGAAAAGCAGATTGTTGTATGTGGAATTTTGGGTTGAAGTACAGGCAGGTAGATAGGGCTAGCCGGGACTAGAATATTCACATAACTGGTACTTTCCAGCCTTTGAATCTATTTCATTTTTGTAGACCTATGCAAAAGGGTCATTCCTAGAGTACGGTTGCCACATCCTTGTTGCCATTATTTCGCCTCAAAATTCCACCATGAATTGAATCGAAAATATTGGCATATAGGTACAGTTGACAGCATACAATGGATACTTTTCCATAGGCTTGTACCACCAAGAATAATAATGGAAGTTTAGTTCCAACTTCCAACATCAGTTTGAACCGAGGTTTGAACATATAAAAAAGAACTCCTAAGAGTTATATTACATAAACATAATGGCACTATGACATGGTGCATCCTGAAATTAAGTTATTTCCTCGGTTATTTCTGATTCTGAATATCCTGGAAACACTTCATGATGAAATGATGCAGTTTCATAAAGTGACCAATTTCTTGGTGCTCAATAGGTTCAATAGGAAAGGCATAAATTCTTGATTCAATTCAGTGATGTATAGTTATCCCCATATTGATCTCATGAACACTCCACAGTCCACACACCTTGAATTAGGCATAATATCAAATCAATAGAATCTGAATTTATGGCAAGATGAACTTTTCTTACCTACTTGAAAACTTTACAATAAATGTCATCACTTTTGATTGAAAGTGAATATTTTACTATATACCTAGAAGTAGAGCTGCCTGCAGATTTCTACCGTCATCTGATAACGAAATGATACTTATGTCCCAAACGAATGTAAAAACATTGTAGTTCGCAATTTAATAATGAGGAGATAAGAATTATCTCATCATGGTGGATCTCAAAAACCTACCTGTGCCACGGCACAGCGATTCATTGTCTGCTATTATTTCGGACATTCAGCTCTGCAATACGGCCTAATATTTTGGGGATCCTCGACTTACTTTTTAGAGGCATTCAGGTACCTAAAAAAAAATTATTAGAACTATGAACAAAACTCACCCTTCAGAACCTTGTAAACCATTATTCAGAAAATTAAAAATATTAACGCTACCTTGCCTTCATATCTTAAACCTAATAATTTTTATAAAAGACAATGAAAATAAATTTCCGAAAAATGACCAGATACATGGATATGATACAAGGAATAAGGAAAACATTCATCTGCCCTTTTCCCGTCTGCTGATTTCCCAAAATATATTGGTGTTAAATGTTTCAATAAGATGAAAAATCTAATAGACATGAGTGGTAGCATGTCAACAATTAGAATTAGGATATCAACATTTCTGAGTGATGAAGCTTTCTATAGCGTTGAAGAGTTTCTGGGCTCCTGAATATATTTTGAAACTATTTTAATAGATATGTTGTCCCTATCTGTTTTATCTGTTTTATTTCATATACATTCTTGTATTTATGTACCTACTACACTTGGATGATATTGTATTTTTCATGTAAATAATTTGAAATTATAGTCATTCGAGTTTTGAATTGATAAGTTGTCCAAGTGTTATATGTTTATTCCATTTTAAAAATTGTTTTTATTCAGTCTATCGGATCTCTATATAAACTGGGCGTCAATTGAAACGTTAATAGTGAAATTTGGCATCCCAAATTTCACTATTAACGTTTCAATTGACGCCCAGTTTATTAGTTTTATTTCGGTTTTATTACACTTAGTTTTTGTATTTTTTCGTTTCCTGACTAGTCCGATAAGTTTATGCATTCTCTAGTCTTCACCACACGATGTGTATTCTTTTGTGATGAATAATAAATGATTTCTGATTTTCTGATTTCTGATACTTCCGTCATGTGATACCGAGTTGAAACAAAAAGCAAATAATATCCAAACGTGCCGCGATTCAAACTGATCTATGTTAGTGGCAGAGCGTCAATATTTCCGTGAATATTTCGCCCTCGTCGAAAGATAATATCCGATGGACCAGTGTGAAACTCATGTGTACTCACACTACAAGTATTCTAATCCACATGTTGAGTTTTACACTGGTCCATCGGATATTGTCTTCAGAGGAGAGCGAAATATTCTCGGAAGTATGGACGCTCTGCCACTAATTACATCAGTTTGAATCGCGGCACGTTTGGATATTCGCAAAGGCGACACCATCCCCTTTCATTTGCTTCTTGTTTCAACTCGTTATCACATGACGGAAGTATGTCCGGAATAATAGCAGCAAATAAATCGCTGTGCTGTGGATTTGGCTCAGACTGAGGGGTGGCACAGTTAGGTTTTTGAAATTTGCCATTTAATTGGTATTGGATGGCATAATTCTTATCTCGTTAACAAATCGCGAATTCAAGTGAAAATTTCCGCACAGAAAAGTGCAATTTTTCAATCATTCTGCTCAGGATAGTGATTGGCAGAAGTGCCGTGAACTCACATGCCTTTGGGACATACAGTATGGTGGAAATGTATGGAATAAATTCATTATCTCTAACGCATATGAATTTGAAGAAAAATCCTGAGACAGGTCGATTTTTATTTTCAAATTGACACCTCTTGATATACATATGGAGTTTGTTATGTCATCCGCGTAGTTGTGGTGACGTCATCGATTATTTTTTTAAATGGAAACATCCCCTTTTCATTTTATTTTTTTCGGGAAGTTTATTCATTGTCTATCCAACCATATACTGATATTAGCAAAATAAAGTAATACAGAGTGAGAAAAAATTATTAATTATTCTATATTTACAACGGAAACAATTACAATTAATGAAAAATTCGACCTGTATACATCAGAAACAATGTATATCGTCATTCACATTGTATTATTGCAGAATTCGAACATTTTTATTGTAACGGTTTCCGTTGTAAATATAAAATAAGTAATTTTTTTCTCATCCTGTATTACTTTATTTTGCTAATATCAGTATATGGTTGGATAGACAATGAATATACCTTCCGAAAAAAAAGGGGGGGGATGTTTCCATTTAAAATAATAATCGATGACGTCAGCACAACTACGCGGATGACGTTACAAACTCCGTATGTATATCAAGAGGTGTCAATTAAATAAAAATCCACAGGTCTCAGGATTTTTCTTCAAATTCATATGCGTTAGAGATAATGAATTTATTCCATACATTTTCACCATACTGTATATCTGTGTATTGGCTGTCACCTGCGCTATGGAATCCTAAATTGGGGTATGAGCTCTTCTGTTGAAAGAGTATTCATTCTACAAAAACGCGCGGTCAGAATAATTGCTAATTTAGGATGACGACAATCATGCAGAAACTCATTTAGAGAGCTGGAAATACTCACAGTTGCTGGTCTGTATATATATGAGATATGTCTCTACGTTTATAAGAATATATATATATATTCATCTCCTACTCTCTTATTTATACACAGACGTATTCCTTGTTACTGTACGTAAATGTTTATTGTAACGCTTTCATACGGTTTAACAAGTGAAATAAATATTATTATTATTATTATTATCATTTCGTTATCAGATGACGGTCGAAATTTGCAGTCGGCTCTTGGACTAATACAGGTGGTCGTCTTGAGACAATCGAGTCTTGAGGCTATCCACCTTCAATATCTTCCAGTAAAATACTTACATTAATCCGAGCAAAAATCATATCACAGTACCTACCAATATGATTCCAATCGTGATTCCATTTGAAAAAATGTGCCTTGTGCCAAATTTTCTAATCAATCAAATATTCAGCCGATCGGAACCGAGATCAGTCATGTCACACTCTTATGAAGAAATAAAAATAAACTTGAATATAAATACAGGGTATGGACATAGGTTAGGTCGAGGGTTAGGTAGAACAACCACAGAATTTCCAACTGAAAATTTTATTCTCTCGGTTATTCTTTTCCTAAAATTATCATCAATTTCTGGCCATAATTGTTTCATTATCCTATATAATTTTACTGAATTCGGCAGTACATTATGTTTGTATGTATTGATAGGGATTTGGCTAACAACTAAAAGCTCTTGAAGTTCACCTCATCATCATTCTGATTATACCTTCTGAGACTCATGTGAAGTTGAGCTGTTTTTTTAAACTCAATTATTTTTTGAGTTCTGAGTAGATTTGATAGAGTTCTAGACTTCCTTACTGAAATTTTGTATAGTTCCAGTAAATCGTAGATGTAAATGAACAAAATATATTTCAAGCGCTAACTCCACACAGCGCCGTTTTTTTCGAGAAAATGCATTCTGATATATTTTTTGTTATATTATAGAGAGTTCAGGAGTTCTCGAGGAGTTCTAAATCTATATCATCAATAGTTATGGTGAACTAAGCAAAGAAAATAAAATACGAAAATATGTTTCTATAGGCGGCATTTCTTGGTGGAATACCTGGAATACTATTCCGTTCTCCTCGCCGTTCTCTTTCGGATTGAAGAAAATGCTATTGAGAAAAAAAGGAGGAAAGTCATTAGAAAATATAAAGTCCTGAACAAATCAGCTCTCATAAAGTGCCGAGTTAGGTGGTAAAAAACTATCAATTTCGATAAAATCTTAATTCCAAAGAACAGAACAGTTCTGATGAGGGTTCTGAATAGCGCTCGACGAGTTCTTCAAAATAGTCTGATTGTGTTTTAGTGTCAAATCGATACTTTTTACTCGATTTTTCATTTATCAGCTGTCATAAGGTGCTGACCTGAAAAAACTAAAATTTTCGATAAAAACCTAATTCCAAAGAACTGAACAGTTCTGATGGGACTTCTGAATAGCGCTCGACGAGTTCTCCAAAATAGTCTAATTGGGTTTTAGTGTCAAATCTATACTTTTTCATTCATCAGCTGTCATAAGGTGCTGACCTGAAAAAACTAAAATTTTCGATAAAAAATTAATTCCAAAGAACTGAACAGTTCTGATGGGAGTTCTGAATACCGCTCGACGAGTTCTTCAAATTAGTCTAAATGTGTTTTAGTGTCAAATCCGAGGTCGAATCTATATTTTTTCATTCATCAGCTATCATAAGGTGCTGACCTGAAAAAACAAAAATTTTCGAGAAACACTTAATTTCAAAGAACTGAACAGTTCTGATGGGAGTTCTAAATAGCGCTCGACGAGTTCTTCAAAATAGTCTAATTGGGTTTTAGTGTCAAATCTATACTTTTTCATTCATCAGTTGTCATAAGGTGCTGACCCGACAAAACTAAAATTTTCGATAAAAAATTGATTCCAAAGAACTGAACTGAAAGAACTGATGGGAGTTCTGAATACCGCTCGACGAGTTCTTCAAAAGAGTCTAATTGTGTTTTAGTGTCAAATCTATAGTTTTTCATTAATCAGAAGTCATAAGGTGCTGACCTGAAAAAACTAAAATTGTCGATGAAAACTCAATTCAAAATAACTGAACAGTACCTTTGAAATACTTGTGTGGAATACCCATGAAATTCCTCGAATGCTTGTGAAGTATTTCACGCTATTTGGTGGAGTTATCAACAACCCCTCGTATCTTACCTACGCATTCGAAAAACTGTAAAGAAAAAACAAATCAAAAGGTGTGAAAGTTATTTTAATGTAATACTTGCTGGCTGATCTAACACAGTTGAACGAACATGATAAGAATTGGGCATTGATATAGGACATAATATTAAGATATTGGAAAGAAGATTATGTTCAGATTGAAAAGTAAGATTTGTTTGTAGGCGTCAATTCTAAAAAAATGAGCCGAGAAGATGTTAGAGCTCAAGTGCTAGAGCTCATGGGCCAAAAAGACAAAATAGAAAGAGAGATACTAGAATTGACATCTATACTATCACGGAACGGTGTCGGCATGAAGGACCCCCTGGTTGACCCAGAAGGCTTCCCGATCAACTCTATCGACATATACCAAGTGAGACACGCTCGGCAGCGCATAATATGCCTCCAGAACGACCACAAAACCATCATGAAGCAAATCGAAAACGGCCTGCAAGGCTACTACTGCAGCGACTCCATTGCGGATACCTCACAACCAACTCCAATGGAAACTAATCGCATCGAAGTCCCAGTACACAGAATTCCTTTCGCTAGAGTTACCATAGTCAGCGAAGGATCTCCAGCTGATCATGCAGGGATCAGAGTCGGCGATGAAGTTGTTGAATTCGGGTCAGTAAACGCGGATAATTTCAAGAACATCACCGATATCGCTACGGTGGTGCAGCATTCTGATGGATCTCAAGTTAGTGTGAAACTGAAGAGAGGTGAAAGATATGTGACTGTGCAGCTGGTTCCGAAAAAGTGGTCAGGAAGAGGTTTGCTGGGGTGTAATATAGTTGCTGTGTAAATTATTTTCACTATTGTTGTTGCGTTTTCTGAAGTATATTCATTTTTGGTTTTTGGCTATCCATATTTCTCTTCTTGTAGTGAAAACTTGAAACTGAAACAAAAAAGTGTATCCTACTTCTAATGGAAACACCCCTGTATCTTATGTATTCGTTGGGTAAGGATCCTGAAATTTGCTGGAGCGAGAGATATACCAAATATGTACTCTTTGACCAGTGATATACACTGATCGCCAACAGCCATGGCACCACCCCAATTTCTGGAAAATGATATCAGGAGGCAAAATGGGTTGAAAATCACTTCGGATTCGGAATCAGGACGCCCAATTCACTTACTATTCTTATTTTTTCTAACATATTTTCACTCATATTTTCATATATCGAAGACTGGAACCTTTGGCACGATAATACACTACACTGTTTTACCACTAACCAAACCGATTTTCCAACGCCTCGACACGTGTTTCGCTATTAAAACTAAATATCCTATTCTAGTGTGCTGCTTATATACTAGGTATATGTTCACCCAACTGTGAAAAATACTAACCGTCAAGTTAATGTTTGTCATGGTTGAGTTCACATGTTAATCTTAATTTTCATTTTACTAAACTATATAGAGGGCTATATGGAATAGGTCCATTATCCTTATTCATTACTCTATTACTATTCTTAAATATCTCTAAGCTTTCATATGCGTCTAGTTTTCTGTTATTAACTTGCTTAACTAATTTGAGGTTAGTAATATGTGTGTTATGAACATATGTTCGGCTACACAAGATTTATCTAACCTGCCGTATTTTAAATGGGCTATGTGTTCTTTGAACCTTGTTTTTATGGGTCGCCTGGTTTGTCCTATATATGTTTTATCACAATCATTACAACTTATTTCGTATATTCCCGACTTTTCAAGTTTGTGTGTTTGTGGTTTTTGCTATTTTTGATACAAAAACCACAGATATAGATGACTTTATTTCAAAATTTAGATACATACCTAATGACTCCAATCACTGTTTTCAGCACAAAATGGCAAGTTTAAATTTTCTAGTACACAGATTGATTTCATTTCCTCTGAGCAAAGAAAGATTCAATGCTGAAAGAAGTGTTGTTTATGAAGTGGCTGGCGTCAATGGGTATGATATCAAAATAGTAGATAAATTAATACGTAGACATAAATTTAAGATATTCTACGACTTTTCAAGCGGATGAAAAGACTTCTAGGAGAATCCCAATCCCGTTCAATCCCAAGTATACGAAGGGAATTGATAAGGTTTTCAAAGACTTAGGTTTTGAAAGCGTTTATCAGTCTGGGTCAAAATTAGGCAATTTATTAGGCAATCCGAAAGATAAAGTGGACACACTTGAAAAGTCGGGAATATACGAAATTAGTTGTAATGATTGTGATAAAACATATATAGGACAAACCAGGCAACCCATAAAAACATGGTTCAAAGAACACATAGCCCATTTAAAATATGGCAGGTTAGATAAATCTTGTGTAGCCGAACATATGTTCAATCACAATCATAACACACATATTACTAACCTCAAATTAGTTAAGCAAGTTAATAACATTAGAAAACTAGACGCATATGAAAGCTTAGAGATATTTAAGAACAGTAATAGAGTAATGAATAAGGATAATGGACCTATTCCATATAGTTTAGCAAAATGAAAATTAAGATTAACATGTGAACTCAACCATGACAAACATTAACTTGACGGTTAGTATTTTTCACAGTTGGGTGAACATATACCTAGTATATAAGCAGCACACTAGAATAGGATATTTAGTTTTAATCTTCTCCTGAAGATGCTAACATAGTTAGCGAAACACGTGTGGAGGCGTTGAAAAGTCGGTTTGGTTAGTGGTAAAACAGTGTAGTGTAACATATTTTCAGTCCTGAGAATTTTATTTTTCTCTCATTTTTCATGGAATACCCTCGTATCTTACGTAATTATCTTGTTAGGATTGTTAAATTTCCAGGAGCAAGAAATATTTCAAAGATACAGTCAATGATCAATTGAACTAACAATCAGTGATATACACTGCTCGCCATGGAACCACCTACATGTCCGGAAAATCATATCATCAGACAAGATAGGTTGGAAATCACTGCTGATTCGAGAACAGGAAACATAACGTCTAAATTCGCTAAGTACTCATATTCCTTCTGAAAAATTTTCAGTTCTGAAATGATAAATTCTGTTTTACTTTTCATTGAGCACCCCAGTATCTTACGTAATTATTGATGACCAAGTAGGATCATCTTCAAAAATACACTGCTCGCCAGCAGCCACAGAACCACCGACATTCCAGGATCATAAAGTCAGTTCTAATCAGGGAAAATGTAGTACAGTCGAATTGATTATCAGGAGTGATCCAATGGAAATCATAACGGGTGTCATTGAAATAAATTAAGATTGAAATGAATTCTTTAATACTATGGAGAAAATCGTTACCGATAATAATGTGTCAAAATATGGGAAATTGGTGATTTAGGCGTCATAGATTTTGATTCCGAAGTGATTTTCGACGTATCTTGTCTCTTGATATTATTTTCCGGTGTGTGTAGTTCCACGGCTGTTGGCGAGCAGTTTATATCACTGAAGATGACTCCACTTGGTCATAGAGTGAATGTTTGGTATATTTCTGGCTCCAGCAAATTTCAGGATGTGATTAAAGCAACCGATAAGGGTAAGATTACTGTTCTCGTTTGTCTTGACTATTCGAAGGCGTTCGATATGATTAATCATAAGATTCTATTAGCTAAACTTGAATTTTTTGGGTTCACTAAAGAGGCATGCACATTGTTATCATCTTATCTAAATGAAAGGACTCAAACAGTCGAACTTGATAATATTACCTCAACCCCATTAGTAGTGAAATCAGGAGTTCCACAAGGAAGCATTTTGGGGCCACTTCTATTCACATGCTATACTGCCAATTTCACTGACGCGATAAAACACTGTAACTATCACTTCTATGCTGACGATACTCAGCTGTACTACTCGTTTGAACCGTCTAAGCTAGATGAAGCACGATTTGCAATAAATAGTGATCTAGATGCAATTTTCCGAATTTCCTCACAGCATTCATTGAAAATCAATCCCAACAAATCCTCAGCCATGATATTTTGCAATGACAATTATCAAGATCACATAAGAAATAACATGATACTTGAAATTGATGGAACATCAATACCCTTCAAATCTGCTTGCAAGAATCTTGGTCTAATGGTTGACTCTAAAATGCGCTTCAAGGAACATATCACTTCGAAATTGAGAAATTCTTACTCAGCCCTGAAATTATTATATCCACAGAGACAATTCCTTTCATTAAAAACTAAAAAAATTTTATGTGATACATTAATACTGTCGCAGTTCAATCACTGTGACATTGTATATGGACCTTGTCTAGATAATACTGATATTCGTCGAGTTCAAAAGGTCCAGAACTGTTGTATTCGGCTTATTTATGGTATAAAAAAACGGGAGGGAGTTTCTCATAAACTGAAGGAGTTGAATTGGCTCAATATGAAAAACAGAAGGCTTCATCACATGGGTTGTTTCTTTCACAATTTGATTCTTACCAAAACTCCGCCCTATTTATTCGAAAAAGTGTCGTACCGAACGGATGTGCATAACCTGAATATAAGGCGTCAAACCATTTTAACAATTCCAAGTCACTCCAAAACTATATTTGAACGGTCTTTTTCCTATAATATTGCATGCAGTATTAACACTCTGTACAACATAGACCCCTCTCTCCTCAATAGATCACGAACCTCATTCAAGATCAAATATAAAAGTATTCTTCTAGACACTCAATAGCCGAAAGTTACTTTTATTTCTCTTCTTCCTCTTTCCTCCATCTCCTTCTCTCTTCTTTGTTCTTTTCTGCTTTCTTTTTCCTCCTTTTATATACCAATGATATACTTGCCAACTTATTTCATTTTTATTCTTCATCCTAATGGCATTGGTGGAAGAACAGAAGTGGATGCGTTCCACATTCTGAACCTACATGCCAATTGTTTATCGAAATGTATATTTGCAATATCTATATGATGTATATCCACATATGATGAACAATAAATGTATTATTATTATTATTATTATTATTATTATTAACCCAACGATTTCATAAGATACGGGGGGCGTGAGACAAAAATGAATTTTTCAGAACTGCAAATTTTTCAGGAAAAATATGAATAGTTAGTGAATTGGGCCTCCTGATTCCGAATCCGAAGTGATTTTCAACCTTCTTTGACTCCTAATATCATCTTCCGGAAATTGGGGTGGTTCCATATGGCTGTTGGCGAGCAGTGTAAATCACTGGAGATGACCCCACTTGGTCATAGACTGCATTTTTAGTATATCTCTAGTTTCAGCAAATTTCAGGATACTTACCCAACGATTACGTAAGATACAGGGGTGTTTCCATTAGAAGTGAGACACACTGTATAACGGAAGAAAAATATTATGTAGCTCCATTTCTGGCCATGAGCACTATGAATGGCTCAATAATAAAGCATCGTTCATCAAGACTAATCATCAAATCATGTTCGATGTTTAAGTGGGAAATGTCGCTTGGTCCTGATGACTGATATATCGATCGAAACCTGTATATAATCGATCTCGGAATTTAGTTCCTAACCATGATATTTATTGAGTATTATATTAAAGAATAGAATATACAGTATGATGCAAATGTATGGAATAAATTCATTATTTCAGAAATGGGCGACATTTGAAAAAAATTCAAAAACACGTGAGTTTTAATTTCTGAAGCCTCATCTCATGGTATTCATATGAGAGATGTTACGTCACCGGCGTTGGAGTAAAGACGTAATGGACGATTTTTTCAAATACAAATAGGGATCATGTGACACCTTGATTGAAAGGTCTACCGATCGTCTATTCAACAGTCAAAATATTGCATAAGAAGATTGAAATTAAAATGGATTATCATGTGATTAATTGAATCTTGCAGAGGTCTGCTACTAAGAATTGATCATCGAAGGGTCGTCTAGTTAAAAAAATACATCGAAAAAAAAGTTGTGAAATCTAGTTTTTGTTTTTTTTTCGAAAGTCGTCTTGTTTTGAAATTAGTATATTCCATACATTTGCATCATACTGTATATTCTTCCAATAGACCAATTTACATTGGTCAACAACAAAACCATGAAACATCATGCATTCACATAAAGTGGTCAATATAATATAACATGCTGTTGAGAAAAAAAATAGTAAGCGACATGGAAATATATAGACACAAATAGATAAGAGAATACATCAATCTTGTGTATTCTTTATACTTTTCTCATCATTAATAAAATACCCCAAGTGTGATGTATTGGTGGAATCAGCTCTTCAGGAAAAAAAAACTAAAAATGCTATGAAATACAGGGTATTCCATTTGAAATAACAAAATTGCTGCTACTTTTCGATAGAAGCGGTAACGACGCAGCGCTGGAAATATTTTAGAACGATGTCCTCCTCAAAAATATAGTTGACGTGTCGTTTTTGTTTTAATCCAGTTCTGGATACCTACAGAGCCTCTGTTTCGTTTTCAATGGACCACTCTTCATAATGATCAATTGAACAAATTATTTGTGGCAATTACATAGGTACCTATTTAATTTGTTTTTCAATGTAATGAAGAGATTCTGAGTTGATAGGAAC